CTCGAATAAGTAGAAATACTAAGATATAAACTACCGTTCACCCTCTGTCTTACATTAACGCTAACCAAATAATACGTTATTTGGAAATCTCCATTCCCCAATTACTTAATAGCAAAACAATTGCTGTGGAACAAAACGATATGAATGGGAAACTAACCGCTTCGTAACGTTAGCTCAAGTTCTCTTATATCCACACGTTATGTAAGACCAAGGCGTACGCCTTGATGTAAGACCACATGATTGTATTGCTCCTAGAATGTGGAATGTTTATGAAAAGTAAAAAAACCCCTATCTAATTTCGCCTGTTAATCAACTATTTTGACAGCTGTATTTTGCTTTTGCAGGCCTTAATATTTAGTTTATTTAAAATTCAACCTGTATTCCATAATTTTAACTTCTTAATCAACATTGTGCGACTGTACGTGTTGTTAAATTTACATAAAGCAAATAAAACACGCCTAATAATGAAACACATGAACAACATCTATTGGGCCTGGTGATGATTGGAGTGTCCAATCGAAATCTATCACCATTTACCACCGTTTATGAGATTTACCATTTTTTAATCCATCTTTTAGAAGTTAACTTTTAGAAAGGACCATGAGATCCTAAGTTCAGCTCAACAAAGAATTATTTTCTTTTCATTTCATTTATATGTATTTACCTACTTTTACGTTAACATGTATTTGTATTTACTCTATAACTTTAACCTTAAAAAGTCACTACATACTTTTAAGGGAAACCGTAAACATAAAAATTGTAAATTAATTTCAAAACACCAATCAAATTCCAGCATTGTACAGACACATCCTGTAACCAATTTAGCTTGTACGGATTGAATGTCAGATTATCATGAGCAAATTCAACATACAATATAATATTGAAAATACAATTCGACAGAAATACACTCTACGATACATGATACTTGTCTTACAACTCTGTTCCCAACCAGTCTTTGGTTCTCGTCCAAATTTAAGCCCTAAGTCTGCTACGTATCAAGGATCCAATTAACATCGATTAACCGTTCTGCCGCATCATACAATGATAAAGGATTGTTTGTGAGTAGTTCCCTGGGAATTAAACAATGATCAAGTCATCTAATGATCTTTCGTGGAGGTCACTCGACGACCACTCACCCTGGATCATATTAGTGCTTTGTCACCTGTTTATTCCGAAGTCAACTTTCCCTTGATGATTATTATCGAATGAATAAGACACAATCGATCGACAGTCGATTGGTTGTGTCTAAAATTCGTTCGATATCGACCATCATTCGATTTCGATACGATTATCGACTTTGAATTTATACACATCGATAAAAAGCTACATGTGACAAAAACGTAATTTTAGTTCCCTAATGGGTTGCGTCGTAAATAAGAAACGTTCTTTGATTGTTTCCTGGAATTAGCAACACACAATTTCAGAGATTTCCTTTTGTCTGTTCATTATGAAGATCCGTTGATGACAATCTTAAGAAGGGATGGTAAGCAGGGAAAGGTTTTGGGTCTGAAATTAAAGCAATTGCAAAGCAAATATATTTAAGAGGACGATAAACAACAAACGAGATTTCCTTGGGCAGATATTTTTAAGGATTGCATGTTAAATAATCATGCTGTTTTATTTTTTGTGTGTTTTCGACAACACACTGGATTGTTTACTCCTTTTCTAAAGGAATAGTATATTCCTTGTTATTCTTACTGCGTAACATCTACCTTTTGTAGACTAGAGAGCATTGATAGCTCAATGACAAATGGCATTTGGGTCCAGAATGAATGGGTTTAGATCGAACTTTTAAATTAATTATCACATTGAATGAACCGACCTTCTAACAAAGCTAAAAGTAATGTTTTACGCAATAATTATAATTGTGTATAATGGGGTTTCATATTTTTATTCTTTTTTTTAATTTCAGCTCTAGTTCTTGTGGTGACACTCAGGGATCAACTTTGGGACCTTTCATTTTCAATATACAGTACATATGATCATCGTGTTGCAAGTTTTGCGATTCAGTAAAAATATTTCAAATACGCTTTCGCAGAGGCGTAGAACACTAAAAAGGCTCTGATAGTTTCGCCAAACAGAACACAGTTGTACTTGACATATTTTGTAAATTATGTAGTTTCTGTAATTTCGTCAAGCGGTCAGAGTTTTGTAGCCTTGTTGGACGGCCTTGCTAGAACAATACCTCCTTGTTTGTGATGAGTTCGAGCACCGGCTGGGTACAAATGAAGACGAAACTCAAGGATTTCAACATGTTTGAAATACGATTCAACGAAGGAGTCTTTGTTAGACTAATTATCACACCTCCTGAAAGGTATTGATGAGAGTTTTGGTTGAAAACACATCTAAGAATTCAATTCGTGATCAAACTTGTTACATGTTTAAATATTTCACCAATAAGAAACTATCTTGTATTTGATTTCCAATTCTTTGGCTAATTGTTCATGATTATTTATCTATTTGGAATCATGGTAAACCCTTACAAAAGCGTCGGTTAAGGTCGTTAAAATAGTAATATTAGCGTTAATAGTCACAATTTTATCGGCAACAGTCCCTTCATTGAGTTTGTCACAGCCATCGGAATGTTTAAACGTTTATTCATGAACTGTCTAAAATGTGATCTTGTTGCTACCTGTATTCTTGGAAGTAAATTTTTGACCGTCCTACTCTGTTGAAGTACATAAAGTTGAAAAAATGGGATGTAATATGTTGAGAGTTTAATGATTTGTGTAGCCTACTTCATTTTCTGTAAGCAAAGCTCAACCCCAACCACACTATGACACAGGACAGCAAAGCAAATTGGTATTACATGTATCTACTGTTAATGAGTACGTTTTATGTACAACAAAGTACAGTATTATATCTCATAAAATAAACGACACGAACTGGTACCAGAAGTGTTCCTACCCAAATTGAATTTTTACTAGTCTCACAGGTGTATCAATGGGTAAAAACAAATCCAGACCAGCAAAACAACTTTTAATCGAATGTATACGGTTTTTACCAACCATGACGGGAATATAATGCGAAGGGGTCCCTCAAGGTCGAACAACAATCAACAAGATTTCTTTCACTTTCATCTTCCACTGTGAAAGTGTTTTGTTTTTATGCGGAAATGATCCTGGGAAAGATCGATTACGTTTGATAATTCAAAGCTGGACCTGTCTATAATCATTGAGCTGTACATGGAAACAGCTGATATTACGCACAGCTGATCAACAGCTGTAGTAGTAACAATGTTGCACAATACATCAACTGTCCCACATCCATATTGTGTCAAAATGCGATGTAGCTTCCCCTCATCTCAAAATGACTTAGGCTTAAAATAGTACGTTTTACTACCTCAGCTATTATTACTAATATTAAAAAATATTAGTAATAATAGCTGAGGTAGTAAAACGTACTATTACAAAAACACCCCTACTCTGACTGCTTATTTAAAAAACAATACAGCACTGTCTGCACTGTCTGTTTTGTGTTAACAGACGATAAAAATATCGTCTACGCATGTGAGATTTTCAAGGATGTGTAGGGAGAGGGGATACACAAACGCTATTGCAACCTCATTCGTAATGGAGTTATATTATTAAATTTTAGTGACATAGCAAAATTTGCAGTTAACTATTACCACTTAATTAGACTGTTGCAAACTAGTTACCGTAGGGCTAGGGCCTAGGGAAAGGAATTGGGAACTGTCCCTGTCTGCTGCAAGTAGAAATACAACACTCATTTTGGCAATCCGTTAGCAGTTAATTATGCCCTTAGAGGAAAGACTATTTGAGTTTTGTTCCTCCTGGTATAACTTGCTAGTTTCACGATTTGGTCCTCCATATTAGCTGAGTGGTTTTATTGCTTGTAATCCAAAGATCGCCGGTTCGATCCTGAGAAAATTGTAACTTTTGATGGTTCGAAATTGGACCCAGCTGTCCTTGATCATTGGGCTTAAATGGTCCTGGTATTGAAACAGCTGATCCTAGTCAGTAACAAAGCCCACAAGACATCTGATTCTATTTCATTCATCAGTGTTCACTAATATTTTGGTTAAAATACGCACTAAATGGCGTCCTAATTTCAATTGACAATGACAATCGTAGCATTGCACGCATTACATTGAAATAAGCGATTGGAGTATGTTGATAATGTCTTATAGAATAGAAGCTATGTTCACTTATGTTTTGTACCGTAAAATTTGTATCCTAATGCAAAATTATGAACACTTATATGTTATTGTTTTCGTTTCTTACTTAGTCTTATGCAAGACTAGCGCTATGCTTCGGTTACATAGACTAAGCAATTTGGGGATTATCTGATAAGAGTATTTTTGAAAAAAATCGCATGATATCCTGAGATGTGACAGCTGCATGTTAAGATAAATTATTCCAATTTTATCGCCTTTTTATAGTAGTTATGCAAGACTTAAAGACTTACAATGTGCTGTTCTATGAATATTTGGTTCGAAATTTTCACATGTAATAACGTTTTTTGACGTTTTTTTATATAAAAAGTTTTAAACAAACATTACGTGATGGTGTTCCAAAACTGTAGGCCTATGCCAAGATTGTTTCATCAATATAAATGTTATCATCCTCATTGGCTAGTAGTTATGCAAGACCTATTCTCTACAGTATGGACTACGTATTTTCTTGAAAGTTCGAGTTTTACTGTTATTTATGCCAATGTACTGAGTTGCCATGTACCGTATTTTGCGAAAATTTAGCTGTCTGTCTGACAAGTTTTCAATCCTTTTTGACGATTGACGGACGACGATCGTTTTATCAACAGTGATGAGTGATGATAATGCAAATGTAGCAATGCAAAATTCAATTTTAACTAAACATAGAAAGTAAAATCTAGGTAAATTAGTATTGCTTATGATACGTGTGATATCCTGTCATTCGATGCAATCATGGCATTTGCGTCGGGGTAAAGATTCAAACATTCTATTGAGCTACGCTAACACTTTATCGTCTAGGTTAGCTACATATTTCATCTCAACTTACGTTATGCTACTGCTCCAGCTGAACATCTTGCGAATCCTCTCGTTGTTTTCGGAATCCATGACGTCACTGAAAATCCAACCGAAAAATGCGTCACGTACACAAAATCCACAGCGCGGATCAGAAAACCATCGCGCGCCAAAAAGCACAAACCAAAACTCAGACACGGAAAGTCGAGGCGGAAGAGAAGGAAAGTATTTGTCAGGAACGGGTTTTTGTGGCGAAGTAGGGTAGCCGTCGAGTCCTAGCCTTAGGAGGTCCCCGCCACTACCCACTGATCAGACTGGTTTCTCGGGGGAGGGGGGGGGGCGGAGAAAGTCTTGTGCGTGTCCACGTCCACCTTGCCGTAACCGTCCACCTGTACTTCGCGGTCTTTGATTTATCAATTTACAAGCCTTTGGCCCAAACAGATTGTAAATGACCTTGAGCTAGGAGGTGATTTTGGTCGATGGGAATGTTATGACAGTTTAGTATCCCGTTGCAACACCATGTGGTTCTTTGATCCAAAACGCAACTCCATTGTAGTTCTTTGATTTGTTATTGAATTAAAAGTTTGATCCAAAACGTTCTCATTGCCTTGAATGCAAGAAAAAAATTTTCGTAGACAGTGAAGGAGGTTATGTTAATACTAGTACTTTAAAAATATTATGATGTCAGACCACGTATTGACAGTCCAAGAGCTGAAACAAAACTATTTTTGTTACCAGCTGTAAAAAAGTAAGAAAGCATAGAGTACACTTTTTTGCATTGTTAGCGGAAGCGGAAGGTTAGTAGGTAGACATGAGCGCCCTCAGTGATGGAAGATGCACTAAGAAAAAAAGTTGACTTAAAACTGATTTAAGCTATGAATGTAAGATAGATCTTATGGGTGAGATGAATAAGTATGATTTGAAGAGTTTTAAAGATTATTTTGGTCATTGACCCCTTGGATTAAGATGCTGGTTCCTTCAAATCCAGTGGACTCTCATTGATGGGTGTAGGCACATGGACCAGGCTGTAATCCTCTTAATCACGGTCGGTTGAACTGTCAGTTCTAGGTTGGTGTCGAACGCTTCCGCATCATACCGTGCATAGCCGAACTGTTCGCGGCAAATTGTTAGCACTATCACCGTCGCTGTCAAAACGAATCGTTTGTAGGTTAAATTTAAATTTAATTAAACTGCCATAATCTAACCAAACTAACCAAACTTGCTGATAATGAAAAATCGAATGAAGGTTTACTAATTTTAAAAAATAGTTCTGTTCATAAAATAAAATTACAAATGCCTAAAATTCAATTTTATATATTTTTTAAATCATAAAATTAAACTGTTCTAACCTAACCAAACCAACCAAACTTGCTGATAATGAAAAATCGAATAAAGGTTTACTAATCGAAAAATAGTTCTGATCAAAAAATTATAAATGCCTTAAATTCTAACAAAAGATGTACAGTTAAGAAGTAATCGCATTCTAAGCGAAATCTTTGACAAAAAGTTAACGCCTCCGGTAGGATAATTCCCCACCCCTCCTCCGGTGACCATTACCCTCAGGCCAATAAGGGGATTAACCCAAACAAAGATCTGGTCCGTTGTCCGTCTCCCCTCATTGATAACAACTACGGACAAGGTAGTTATTTTTTACCTATTCACGGAATCTACATCTGTTTATTTTTATTTGACCGATTCAACACGCAGACTCGAAGACATTAAAACATATCCTAAGCTTATCTTTAATACCTCCTGCGAATTATTGATTAGCATTTCTGGATGGACTGTGTCAAGGATAAAAACTAAAGATTAGAAATATTCCCTACTGGCCTACAACAAATATCATCTATATGGATCAGCTTTTGAATGTTTAAAATGTAGTATATTTGACCAGTAATGCGCGTGTCTATGTCATCTCTTTAGTTCAATTTACTAACTTAATAATAATGACATAGGACAGATCGATCCATAGGATGGCTACTGATTGTTCTGTAACAAAAGTATACAGTACGAAGCGGACAGTAAGTATACGCCGTACCCTAAAACAAGAAAAATTGAACTAATGTCAGTAAACTCAAGTGTCACCAGCAACACACAAACACACATTTATTGCATCTAAAGTCAATGTTTGTAGACAGGCTTTACTTGAAGAGAAGATTGTTACACTACCTACCTACATAGACAAATAGAATAATAATATAAACTGTCAAAAGGAAGTTTCCGGCGCCCACCGCAAGGAGTGCCGTGTAGTTACGGCGCTCACCGCTGCAGGCGAGGAGTGCAGCAGCCGTGTGACCTGCAGCGGTGTGCGCCGTAGCTACACGGCACTCCTAGCGGTAGGCGCCAGAACATATGCTAGCCGCAGCACTGCTGACGTCCTATATTTATTCTATTTTGTCTATGCTACTACCACTTTCAGAGAAGATGAGAAATATATCTTATTCCCTTCCTTCCTTTTTTTGCTTCGAATAAAAAGTCTCCAAACCCATATTATTTGTGGATGTGAACCAAAAATCCGAGACACTAACCACTGCTAGCAACACCCAATGGGCTTGGTTGGATAAGAAGCTGATGAATGGTGTATTCATCAGAAATCAGTAACTGGTACCAGCTCACTCTTTTGGTATTGATTCAATTAATTGTTAATAGGTTTTACTATATTTGAATTCCAATCCTGGTTTCAACTTTATCATAGAAATGGGATGTCTACTTCTACGATTCGATTAAAGTAAGAATCTAACATAATAGAGAAAGACAGACACATTTAGTTTACATTAACACTCTTAAGAGTGTCATCAGACATGCATGAAAACGCATAAAAACAAGCTTCAGATTTTAGGATGAGATAAGTATGGCTATATGGGATTGGGAAGCTCAGTGCACAGAGAAGTAATTAAGGTGCAGAGGAAACTCGCTTAAAAGACGACCGTGTGCTTTTAGCTCTAGTATGTTGAGCCGGACCCGGAAATATACTTCTTCTTCTTCTTCTTCTTCTTCTTCTTCTTCTTCTTCTTCTTCTTCTTCTTCGTGATGTTTCAGTCCAGTGAACTGAAACCCTACTGGACTGAGGCTGTTTCAGGACTTTGTCCTCACGCTTCTCGGCTTGTTGGCTATTAAGATCAAAGTGTAGAGTGTAATATACGTGTGACGAGCAAAGATGAAGAGCCAGAGCGGCGAGCCCTGGGCGGAATATTGCACAAAACACATCTACAGTGCACATGACAGAACTAACGATAAAATTGGCATCAGCTGTTCCATAAGGATGGGAAATCTATCAAGGGAGTATGTTTTATCTATGGTTTACTGTTCAATACTGTTCAATGAAATGGCGACCATACGTAGGTATTTTAAGCCAAGTATGAATGGAGGTGAGTGTAGGATGAGTGGTGCGATCTTGTAGTCTTGTTAGTGACTTTTAATCCTAGATTCCCATTTTCTTCGCACATCCAACAGTTACTCATGCTTTCATGAATATTTAGGTAATAGGCTTTTACTTGTCCTGGTTGGTCAAGGTGCCATCTCAACAACCCGCAACCTCGAAATTTAGGTCAGAGGCAAAAATCCACCACCCTGCATGTGCATGTTAGCAACACAGGGTAACACTGCGACAACCACACATTTATCCAATCGGTTATCATCCCGAAGTTTATCATCCCGGTGGGCTGTCATTTATGCGATACAGTCCCGCAAGATACCGTTTTTGTCAACCCGCAAAGATACCACTATATCAAGACAACGCTACATATATTATTTAGAGGTGGTGCATGGATTCTGGATTGATGTGCACGTTCCCGAAAAGGTAGGCATGCCACATCGACAACCTGCTTCGTTTATCCATAGATAAAACACATTCCCTATGTTTTATCTATGGTTCGTTCATCTATCCGATGTGGTGGGGTTTTGTGCACGCTTTCGTCAAGGTAAGGTGCCACCATGTCAAACCCACCACCTCAACTTCTTTTTTTATAAGGCTTAAGGTAGGTTGTCTGGATGGCATATTGACGCACCCCCTCTAGTAGTACCATATTTTAAATCAAAGTTGAGAAACATTGATTCTCTCTCGACAGCCTCTAGGAATTAGACTTTCCGGATACACGCACCAAATTAATTGCTTCTTACTCAACAATATGCTCCTTGCACTTGCAGTACCTATTCAAAGTCAATCTCAGTGAAGACTTTTATTCGTGTGTGTGCCCTACACTATAAATTTTATGATATAGTGCAATATATGGAAATGTTGCAGGGCGTTTTGGTTCAGACATGAAGACTCTACACTATAATGTCCATGTAATTGAGAAATATTTAGTAGGCTACTCAGTCAACACAGCTGGATCAACAAATAAACAAAACCGTGCGGGAGGGACGGGTTCCGATCCCCGGCACACCCCAAAAACCTAAATGAGTTTGAACTGATTCCCCTTCGAGATTTGATTGACCTAATTGAAAAAATGTACTGGCAAGACAAAGACACAAGGAAAAAATAGATACTGTTAATACTGTTCAATGAAATGGCGACCATACAGTAGGTATTTTAAGCCAAGTATGAATGGAGATGAGTGTAGGATGAGTGGTGCAATCTTGTAGTCTTGTTAGTGACTAAGGCCGACATTCCTTAGACACAGCTTTATTAATAGCCCATACAGCTAATGGTAAGGGACCTACAGTTTATAGTAGAATCCGAACCACATTTTTCCTTCGTATACGAATTGGTCTAATTATCAGGATAGTACTGCGGATAGTCGTAGTTCGTAGTATTCACTCGTGCGAACGTTAATCCACACCAGGGATTAAGATCAATCCGTTAAGAAAAAAATACATGCTCGGAAACTTCGTTCAGATGGTTTAACATTTAAAGAAACTTTAAACAACACTTTTATGTAACATTAAACTTATACAAGAAAATTTCAAATTACTAAATTGGTATTGTTATAGTATGGACCCTTAGTTGGAATATTTCGGCTGAGATATTTACAAGGCGCTGAAAACATATGATTATTATGTTTGACACTTGAGCAAAATGGCAATGGCAAATATTGTGTAAAAAGTAAGAAGTGAAGTGATATGTTTTCTGTTTTCCGTGTCAAGAAGATGGTTGCTGATTTTAATTTTAAGCTGCTAGGTCGAAGAAAGTGATGTTTACAATTGTAATTACATAGGTTTTAGGCATACAATGTTAAAGCTCTCCTATTTGTATGTTTAGTTTGTCCGAACATTATACTTCCTGATATTTTGAACTAGGCCTTCAAGAAAAGCCAATGTAGGACACCTACATTTCTTTTGAAGTGGTTGACGTTGCCGTTAACCTGGACCATATCAACATCACATGTTAATATCGTATAAAAACGTACCAAAAATGAAGAAAATATTTTCTAAATTTGAAACTAAAATTGACAACACCCCCAAGGAACCCAATAGCTTTGTAGGGAAGGCCTTTACTGTAGGGAGGATTACAGTGACAGTTGAAGATGTAATTGCAGAAGGTAAGCAACCACTTGAGGTTACAATCTTAATTGGACATAAGTTAGGTTAATTAAGTTAGCCTAACTACAACTAACAGAATAAATTTTGTTCCAATTATGCCTAAGTGTAGGCCTAGGTCTAGGCCTAACTTATTTCTAAGGGTTAGGCAAGCCCTCGATGTATCATCCCTATGACTAGGCCTACCCACAGTAAATTTCTAGCCTTAAACTGTTATATGTATTTTTCAAGTGTTGGCATGCAGAGGTAGGTTGATTAATTTCACTTACCGGGTAACTAAAGCTGGGTTTTCCTAGCCGCTGAAGCGGAGAGAGGAACACGGAGAGCAGAAAAGAGATTAACATGGTGTTCCGCTCTGCTTCTAGGAAAGCAGTAACATTAAATAACCTAAGACAGTGGAGTCCGCTCTCCACGTTCCTCTCTCCACTCTACGCTTCCGTGCCTAGGAAAACCCTAAGTCACCATAGGTATGGGGTTTAAAGTAGGCCCTAAGAGTAAGCTAAACTTGACTTGGATAGCTGAGTCTAGGTCTATAGACCTAACTCACTAAAAATACCTCTAGCAAACCTGCAGATTAAATGAATTTCCATTTATCTGATTGGATTTTAGGTGGATTATTCTATACTGGTAGGCCTACCTCCTAACAAATCTTGCTATCTAACTTATTTCATAGTTTTACACTTCCTAAATAAGTTAGCCTATAGGCTAACAGCCTACCTACCATTATTTTTTTCTGCAAATGAAATGGTAGACCTAACTAAGTTGAAAGATTCAACACTGTTTAAAAATACAACTTTTGGAGGGCTGTCATCGGTAATAGGTATGCCTAGTTGCGTCACTTCTCTATACCGATAGGTACGGTAACTAGAAATTAATGGGCTGCTAAAGTTAGGATTAGGTGAGATGAAAAGAGTTGAAGAAAAGAAGAATAAAAACATCTTTAATTAATATATTATTGGTAACTATAATAAAAACTATTTATAAAACACATCTAAGTGATTATAATCCAATCATATACTGGTAGGCCTACGGTAGTTATTTACTTTTTAACCCATTGACAATGACTCACTGGTGTAGCCGTCACTAAAATCTGCCATGAGATAGTGGTACTGCTAACCGACTTGCCCTCAACTACGTAGAATCTCATACGGTAAAAGCGCAGTGACGTTGTGTGCTTATACTGGCATTCGACCTGTTCGGCCGACGATGGCATGGAAGCACAGTTTTGCCTGAAGGTGTTGCACTGGGGAGTAGTGTTGAAGTCTTTCTACATGTTCGAGTTCACATCCGTAGCCTACATATGTGTTCAGTTCTTTTATCTAAAATATTTCTTTAGCCTGTTTAGAATTTTTAAATTACTAAAACAGCTGATGATTAAAAAATAATCCATTGTATTATATAAATAAACATCATTTCTTTCTGTTCTTCTTGTAAACATGACTTTTATTTTTTCTCTCTTAATTTTTCATTAATTTACTCAAACACTCCACACATATGTGCTTTAATCTAACAGTTTATTGAGTGTGCTAATGTATGACGTAGCTAGAGTGGAAGGCCACCTTAAAGAAACGGAGTTTATTTTGAGTGGAAGTTTGGAAGTTAGGTACTTATTGTAATTTAGATTAGGCCTACATAAGGTAAGGTAAAATTTAGGTTGTAATGAACCGAGTTGTTAGTATATGTTACGGTACCTCTAGGCTGTTTTTGTACAACTGAAACCCTGGGGAAAATAGAATTTTTGAAATAGTGTAGGTGTAAACTTTAAATTTAGGATTGCTAATTTTCAAATTTGTGAGCAGTAAAACTACAGTATTTTTTATTATACCGTGCCTTTTTAGGTGGGTTTGCTGTAGTGTTTCTAGTCAAAGGCAACAACAAGAGATATGCATTGAAGCGAATGTATGTGAATAACGAACATGATCTAAGCATCGCCAAGAGAGAAATACAGATTGCTGTAAGTAATTATTGACCTAATTAACTTTTATTTTATGCAGTTAGTTTTCTACCAAACAAGATTTTAACATGATATTGACACAAAATTGTTTTAAAATTTATAAAAATTTAAAGATTTTTGTTTGAAATTTAAGAAAAGTTTCAGCACTGTAATAGTTCCTCCTATATATTTTAGGGGAATTTTAAAAATATCAGTTTACCTAGTTTCCCATTTCTTAGATACAGTTGGTAAACATTTTCTAACCTAAATTGAGATTAAAGGGTGTGATGCTATCTAAGCTTTTAAAAATAGCTTAAAAAATTTTTTAGTTACATGCGACAGCTTGTTTAATAATGTCAAGATCACTTTTTAAATTTGAAATTGTATGATTTTAAGTAGGTATCAAAATTTACAAAATAAAAAATAAATAAAATAAAATAACAAACAAAACAATTACAGAATTTCATTTTAGTACCTACCTAATAAAAGTGTTTTATCTTGGAAAAATACTTATCTTTTAATATAGTATATAACATTAATATATATTTTTCACACTTTTTAGCATGAATTTTATACATGTAACAGCAAATATTGTGTCATATATGATAGTAAACTGTGGAATATAATAAGTGTCTGAATTGAAATTGGACATTACTTATGTTTACCCTACAAAATATGTGTAAGATTCATAAAGTTTTAAACCGACCTTGGGAACTGAACTGAAACTCTCATAATCAATATCAATTAGTTACTCCCTGAATATTAGAGATCATTGTGATGAATTTAAGTAAGCTTATTGTAACAAAAGGAAGCCATAATTATTGCAAATCTAAAGGAAACTATTGTGGCCATTTAATTTCATTGGCAATTGTTACAATTGATCTGACAGGAGATAGGCATTCCTGTTTGATTACATAATCTATAGAAATCTTTCTTGTTTTCTGATATGTTATAGTCTTGTTTTATTACTCACTTTACAAATTGCTGTTGAAAAAATTATACAAGGGGACCCGTGCACAACTTGCACACTTTGCTTTTTAAATATGTTATATGAAATCATGTTCCTCTATTCTACATCATATTTGGGTGTTTTGCTGGCCTAGTGGTTAGTGTCTCGGACTCCGGTGTGGGAGGGAGAGGTTCAATTCCTGGCAGATCCACAAAAACTTTATTCTCGGTTTGTAACACTATGTTTTCCTTACAATTTTTATTTTGGTTTAATGGATTGCCGGTTCTCGGATTTTTTTGGTTTTTAATCGGTAAAATAAGCATAAATTTATACTAAAGTTACTTAACTGAAATGATATAGGCTATATTTTTTAAATGATATTGCAACAAAATATTCAAGGTCTCTGCGAAGACATCATCATTGTTTTGCGGGTGATCATAGCAAGGTCTCAGGCGGCCGTGGCAAAATAATTGCATAACAACCAATTAACTGAAATTGACGATATCCGTCAATTATAGGTTTCAGTCTTTTGCTAAAAACTGGTGAAACTGACGTTTCCTTGGATTATATCCCTCCCTATAAATAAAGGGTTACTATGGGATCAAACCCTAGAATGTTTTGTCCATTAATTCTGGGTACCAAAAATACAAAAGGCTGGCGAAAAAGGATGGTAACTAGACTAGACACTCGATCATTCGGATTATTTGGGGCTCTGACCAAAATTACTGAAGGTGCCAGACGACTGAATGATATCTAAACTAGAAGTTATTATTCAGTATAATTTACCTATATTCGGTAGCCTAAAGTGTCAAAAGTTGGAGTTCTGTGATGTGAGTCAATGTGAGCTAATGTTTTAACCTGTATAATTACGCAGCTGAAGATGTGTCGTAATTGACATGAAACGCGTACTGCAGAACTCAGACTTTGACACCTTAGGCTACCAAAAAAAGGTAAATTATACTGAATAATTGACAGGTGTCAAGGCTTTAGTAACAAATAGAAGTTATTGTGAGATTAGTAGAAATACCAGAAGAATATTGAGTTAAAAGAACTATTTAAATTCAAACCACCTATCCTTGTGATAGGCCTAGTTACTTTTTTCGATACTAAACAAACTTTTGCCAATTTCCTGATAATCTCGCTTTAACTCAAGACATATTCAGTGTGAAAATTCCTTATTTACCGATGCTGAATTTAACTGTACGGTATGTTAAAATTAATTATCCAACGCATCTGAATTGTCTTTGCAAGTAAAAAAACTAACAAGAATTTTATAACAGAGCAACCTAAGCGGTCACAAGAACATCATCGGATATGTGGACTCTAGCATCACACCTACAGCCAACGGTGTGTACGAGGTGCTGCTGCTCATGCCTTACTGTCGGACTCACGTTCTGCAGATGATGAATACCAAGTAAGTGGTCCTATAACAACATAAGGGTTGTCAGTAAATTATAGCGTTTAACAAGCACTCACGACCAAGCGAGCTGGTTCAAATGAGACAGCAATATCCTTTACTTCCCCCACTACTATTCTATTGGGTCTCCACCCCTTTACAATGATCAATGATTAGTTTTGTCGTAGAAGATAACAATGTAAGATAATCAATGTCCTCGCAAAGTATTTATGTGACGTTTGTGACTAGACTTATATGGTGTGGGGCTGATTAATTTACTTACTATTTGACAGCTATGAACAGTGAAAAGTGTGTGGATGTACACATAGCCTCCTCTAATACAAGGCTGCTACGTTGGTGTGTGGTACCGTCACACCGCATTGCTGTTGCCATGGCAATAACAGTAATAAAAATAAACATTACGCAGAAGCTTCAATATGAATTATAGCTGTTTCAGTTTTTTCGGTAGGCCGTAGCTGTGGCATTGCCAAGCTTAGTCTCGCCGCGGCCATATATTAGAGAAGGCCATGATGTAGAACAAGTGCACAAGAATTAAAGGAGTTCAGAAGTGGTCGCAAACATTTTCTCTCATTAGCCTCAGCTAAGTCAAGAGATTTTCTTAAGCAGTTCAATTGTTAAATGTCAACATTCGTTAAATTATTCTCAATGCAAGCTCTCTCAACAAATAGCTCTTATATTTTTTTTCAGGTTGCAGTCAGGCTTCACAGAAGCAGAAGTGTTACAGATATTTTGTGACGTTTGTGAAGCTGTGTCAAGACTGCATCATTGTCAGACTCCTATCATACATCGAGATCTAAAGGTATATTTTATTTGTGTGTTTTCTATGCCAATGACATTTGTTTAGGTTTTAAAAGGGAACCGTCCAAACCCTGGTCTTGTTACTATCTGACGTTGATCCTTTTGTTAGATCGCATAATGTATTCATAGCCAAAATGGCATCTGGATATGGAAACAATCCCGCTTGAAATTGAATCAGCGACCTTCAGATTTGAACTGATTGCTTATGTGTAAACAATTTTACTTTTTTGTAGGCATGTCTGGTTTTGTGCTTATCATGCAAGGACCTATGAACTGGAGGCGTTCAAATCCCGCCAACCACCAAACAATGTTTTTCAATCACAACAACTAACAACCTCAATGTTACTTATTGGTATGTCGTGTGTCCGAAATCCAACCTATGGATCCACTTAGAAACACATGTCGTGTGTCCGAAATCCAACCTATGGATCCACTTAGAAACACACTAAATGACAACCAATGCATGAACTTTCTTTATCTAAGTGTCCTCCACCAAAAGCCTTGTGATAATTTACAGGCTTAATACTATTTGTGTTACCGCAGGTAGAGAATATCCTGGTGAGTGAGACAGGCAGTTACGTATTGTGTGACTTCGGCTCAGCCACTGGTAAGGTGCTCAACGCCTGCGCGACAGGTCAGAGCGCGCCTGCCGCAGCCGCAGTGCAGGAGGAGATACAGAAGTATACAACGCTCAGCTACCGAGCACCTGAGATGGTGGATTTGTATTCCGGCAAGCCCATCACGACCAAAGCCGACGTCTGGGTAAGAGGAAGAAATTTGGAATCAGAGTGTTTACCCAACCGTTGTAAACCTTGAACTGTGAATCTAGCCTAGTGAAAAGACTTGGATTGAGCCTTGAAATTCACGGTTACATCTTTAAAATAAGGATGGCTGCTTCTCATTCTCATTTCTTCAAAACTTAACTGGTAGTATCGACAAATCGTTGATTCTAAATACTTAAGAGACTTCAATTTCAATATATCCAAAAACGTTAACAATTACGTTGAAATTTGGATCATCTCGCATGGTTATACAATAAACTCCCACAGTTGCGTTGACATCATAAGTTTTTGATCATGCAAACTTTGCTTATTTTTGTGGCTTTCATGATTACTGAAATTTCCGTATTGAAAAAATTCCAAAATTATTTACCTTCTTAAAACAGGATCAGGTTCCAGATCCCAAAATGCTGTCCTGCTTTTTTTTAGTAATTGTCTGTGATAGAAATTGTCCGTAAAAATCCTTTGACATCTCACCATTTCTGTTAAACAATTGTAGCGTGAAATATTGTGAAATCAAAATGTTAAATTTGATTTGATTTTAGAGTTTTTTATGGTTTGCTCAGAATTTAGGATGTTTCAGTAAGAAACTATTTTCATTGTATATTTTGTAATGAAGATTTTTAACGTCCTAATCAAGATTGGAGAATCAGTTTGATAGGCTTTTGAATCAAGTTTGAGATTTACGAATTCAAAGTTTTTGTATTTATTAACCACTTGTGAATATAATTTTGTAAATGTATAATCCTAGTGTTAATAACTTACCAAGTGTAAAAACTACAAAAAAAATTGTTGTTTCAGGCTTTAGGCTGTTTACTGTACAAACTGTGCTTTTTCTCATTGCCCTTTGGAGAAAGCACCCTGGCTATTCAAAGTGGAGCCTTCACTATCCCGGATAACTCCAAGTTTTCACGTGGAATGCATTGCCTTATAAGTGAGTAACTTTTCGTAAATTTTGTTTACATGGTCAATTATAATTAGGCTTAGGAAAATCAGTTTTTTTCTGATGATTGTCCGAGCCGTCTAAGGCGTTATATACCTATCCAGTAGACAGCGTAATAGATCGAGGGTTCAAATCCTGTCTCGGTTAGGCCTGGTGTCCAAATTATGAAGAATTCTCATATCTGTAGTCAGCATAAAATTTGTCTGTATCTTCGGTGAAGTCCACATAATATTAAATATAACTAGAAGTTGAAGCGATGGATAAATTCATTATAAGTTTTAGTCAGGCATTTTGTACACCTTTATTTGTACACGTCCCTCAAAAACTTGTTTTTAAATAATTTGGATTTTTTTTTTTAACTTTCAAATAAGCATAATTAAATCATTAAAAAATCAATAAGCATAAATAAAGGTTGTGTGTGTGTAAAAAGCTAAAAATAATTTTTTTTCAAAGCAGGACAGTTATAATTATTTCTGTGTTTTAAAAATACCTCCTTGTCTATTACTACTGTAGAATAAGTAGTTAAATATTGAACTGATGAAACAGATTTTTGTTTTAATCTATGATGATTCATTATCATTGTACGCTCATCCTGTATAGATAAATTGAAAAAATATACTTCCAATCAGGCCTTAGTATTGACTACATCGTTTTTGAGATCACTTGTGATTATTATTTCAGTAGTTGTGGAATAGGAAAGAGACCTTTTTGAAAATGAACCTTTAGTTGATTAAGGCTTGAAAATTAACGGTTAAGAGTTTCAATTCCAAGATTATTCAATCCTCCCAAATATTTGCAGATCAGTTACCATTAAGACAAAGTATAGTCCCTTTAGTAACTTTTTATAGAATTTGATTTTACCATTTTTTTTTCAGGATATATGTTGGAACCGGATCCAGAAAAAAGGCCTGACATCTTCCAAGTCTCCTACATTGCCTTCACATTGCAAGGGAAAGAATGTCCTGTTCAAAATTTATATGTAAGTATTTACTCAAACTTTTTAGTGGCAGTAAGTATATTAATTCTCTGTAGAAGTTCTGGATGAAATATCATTGTTATGTTGATGACAAGTCTGTTGACTGACTCAGGTCCCCCATATCTATGTCCTTTTGGATTAGTTAGTACCCATAAATACAGTAGTGGTCCTAGAATAGACCCTTGAGGTTTGCCATATTTTTTTTATTTTTTATTTCAAAAACTATTAAGATTGTTGAAAAGTTTATTAATATTTTTTTAACATTGCTTACGCAGAACAAAAACAAAGTATTGAAACAGTAATCCAAAAAAATTTTAAGCATACCATTTCTTAGTTAATGTATAACTAAGTACTTCATTTTGCTTCAATCTTAAGTGTTTTCTCTTCGCTAGTTCCTTCCTCTGGGCTCGGAGGCATTCTGTATACCAAAACCAAAGATAATTTGTATTTACTTTGTTAAAGACTGTTCATAACTATTGATAATGAAATAATTAAGACCTATTTAAATTATGGTTATGATTAATATGATGAGACAATCATATTAACATTATGATTATTATATTAACATTATGATTAATAAATTATGGTTATGATCCCTCATCATATTTCGTCAATTTTACAGTATGGAATAGAGCTTTGGGGCGTCACATCTGATTCGTATCAACTTTTTAAACTTCAAAAAAGAATACTTAGAATTATGACTTTTAAACCCGTAAAACATTCTTGCAAACAACTTTTTAAAGAACTAAAGATTCTAACCGTCCCTAATTTGTATATTCTTAAATGTTTATTGTATGTGAAATCAAATTTTGAAAAACTCCACAGTGAAAATAATCGGCACAATTATAACACTAGATTTCATACAGATTTTCAATATCCTATACACAGATTAAATCTTGTGGAAAGGACACCTTCTTATATGGGTAAAAGATTTTTTAACAATTTGCCTGGGTACTACAAATCTATAATAGGATTAGTATCTTTTAAAGAAAAAATTTTTGAATTTTTATTGGAAAAGAATTATTATAGTATTGGTCAGTTTCTTGAAGATAAATCAATGTGAATTGTTTGTTTTGTTACCTACTATGTATTTATTTTTACCAATATAAGCTAGTTTATTTTAGTATAGTTTGACAATGTCACCTGTTTTGTCTGGCTGTGCCAGAGCATAAAAAAAAACGTTTTGTGACAATAAAGATGACTTTGACTTTGACTTTGACTTTAATAAATATTTTATATGTAGCCTAATTCTATAATAGCCTATATCACCTATAACCAAATAAAATTACCACAATTGCAGCAATACTGCTTATTAAGCAAATTCCAGTTAGAATAATGGCATAAAGAAATTCATATTTTAATCATAGCCTAATATGAGTTATTAAAAGATAAACATGCAAAGTTTTCTGCTTCAATGGACCCAATTAATTGCAATTCATGATTGTACATTTCAAAACGGAGGCTACAATGAAATAAATAAGTGAGTGTTCATAAACAAACAACCTAAGGATTAACTTAATTCTCTTCTCTACATATTCAGCATAGTACATAATTTACTAAGCTTAGAAATTTTAATACCTCGTTAGTCGTTACCCTTTTGGGGTTAGCTGAATATGTAATATTAAATTGATTGTCTTATTTAACTAGATCAAACGATGAAAGGAAATTTTGTATTGTTTATACATTTTGTACAATAAAAGATTTCAAGATTCATCATCTAGATCTTACTACGATGACTACAGTAATACCTTAGTTGCCTTAAGATAAAATTCAATAAGAAATATGACTGATCTGATAGCTTACCTAGCTACAAACACAACAGGGAACGGATATCGCAGCACCGTGAGAGTGTCGTTCAGTGCCACTGCATACAACGTGTATAGACTGATCACTGTTATCATGATAGCTAACGTTCCTAGAAAAGCTGCAGCCGACTTCCTTTGTTCTCTCAAATCAGTTTGTGTTCCATTTTTCTTTTCAGACATTTCCCTATAGCACCTGTTGTTTTTGAAAATGTATCCACTCCGAGTATTGTTGGGCATTACTGTATCATTAAGCACAGTTTGGTTTTTCCGATCAGATTCAGCCAATGCAATCGTTTCTTTTGTTTCAGTCTTGTTTCCTGCTGAGCCGTGACTATTTCCACCGGGCGAATGTCACGACTCATGATCAATGGTTCAAGTGTTTTTTTTTATAGTAGGCTAGTTCTGTGTTTCGTTGTCACTCCACGGCCCCCCGAACAAGGCTGTGGGTTTTGTTCTTATTACTCCGACCGCGAAGTGTCAGAGGTTGCGAGACGTCGGATTTGAGTACTTCACTGAAGATTTTTATCCTTTTAAATCTTCCTTTTTTGGATAATAAATGTGCCTTTTAAGTTTTATTCTTGGCCGTTTGTGAGAACTTTCTTTATGGAGTAACTTTAGTACGCCCCGCGCGCCTTTTGGGGCCCGTGAGGAGGAAAATGACTGACCATCTTCAGCGGAGAGGAATGTTGCGACTAGGCTGGCGCTGCATATTGGCCCCCTCTCCGCCCTGCCTCTTCTCTCCTCCGGTGCTGTCCGCCCAGCTTCATGGCCCTCCGGTGTCACACCCTTGAAGACTGTTACCGCAAGTTACCGACTAATTGTTATTTATCTAATTGTTATATATATTGCTGTTGCCGAATGGACTTTAAGATTTTTAACATTTGTTGACTATTTATAAGCACAGCAGCCTATTGTTATTTATTTCAAATTTTATTCTACTGTTGCCTAATCATCCGATTTTTAAAATCTCTCCACTGTATTTAATTTTTGGGGCCCCTAGTTAATTGTTAACTTTTCAGATATTTATTAAAAGAGTCATCATATTTTATTATTGTTATAGTTTGTTAATTTTGGTAATTTCCTTTTATTAAATGTTAAATTTTTACTAAATCCTTCTGATTTTCTGAATGATTAAAATAAATTATTGTAAGTCAGCAGCTTAAACGGGTACCTAAATTTATTTAAGGTTTATTGAGAGTATTTAATTCATGTATTGTTGTTGATTATTGTTGTTGTGTTTTCTTTTAAATGGTTAATTACAGCTCGTTTCTCTCAAATGGCGTGTTGTTCTTGAGCCTCCATCCATGGTTCTCATTTTGTTATGTAAAGTTTTGTGAGCCGCTCCTCGGGCCTGCGCATGGATCACGCTTCCTTTTCGTTAGTCTGGGTGCAGGCGCGAGGGCATGGTTCATCTGGTAGCAGAGCGTGGTTAGTGGGTTGCGTCCTGGGTGCCTTGTCGTGAAACTTGGTTTCACGACTCGGATACTTAGAGATGCGATCACTGTCCGCGTTCTGTTTTTTGTTTTGTTTTGAAGAGCCGTGGATGGATTGGTTTCTTGGAAATGTTCTGGCCTGGCAGTTTTGGAAAAAGGTCTTGTTGTTGTTGTGGTGGGGCGTAAACACATTTTATTAGGAGCTCGCCCTTTGGCCGAGGCACCGGGTGGAATCGGTGGTAATGACTTGCATCCTTCGGGAGCAAGAGTGTCAAAAGCATGGTCATGTGTCAAAAAAAAAAAAAAAAAAAAAAGGGGTTTGTGTGTACACCCCATCACACAAGTGTTAGGTGTTGTCTAGTGTATGTATCGGTGTATGTTTGTGTGTGTGTACGTTCGTGGGTCATTTGTTGTTGTTTTTTCTTGCGGTACTTGCGGTATGAATGGGCAGGTTCTTCTTTTGGGCCCCATCAGGTGCGCAGGCATCAACGTCCAGAAGCCTTAGGAATTAAATTTCTGTGTTTGTTTTGTGAAAAATTTTTGTTGGCTGTTGTTTTGAGTCAAGTACTGGTTGAGACTCGGTATGGCGTCAATTGTGCCGGAATATTTGAGGAAGCCGGAGCTGGTGTACGAGGTGCGGTCCCGGGGGGAGACTCCTGGAACTGATGTACGCACTTTGCGTACACAGTTCAGACAAATTGTTAGCATGCCTCAAGCTTGGGTTGAGTCGCTCAGTTTGGATGAGGAACTGGAGGCATGTAAAGAGAGGATGGAAGAGCTAAGTGGGGAAATTAATAGTTGGAGTAGTTTGCCTATGGGCTCAGCTAAGGGTTCGGCTATCACACAGCTGACGCACTGGCGTAAGCGTCTGCTCTTGGTTTCAGGGCAACCTGAAATCCAAGATGAGGACAAGAGCTGGGTGGAAGCCAGAATTCTTGAGCTGGAAGGAATTTTGGAGAGTATTAAGGCAGGAAAGTCTGTCAAAGAGAAAGTCGAAATTTTTGAAGACAACCGTTCTTTGGAAATTTCAAACGAAGTGCCAAAGTCTGTTGTTGAAGTTGTGGCTCCAGTGGGTACCCCCCAGGCTCCGCCTACGCCAAGTACACTGCTCCGGTTGCCTGCAAATGTTCAAATGTCAAATGCAAATGTCACACCGTCCCCCTCTCACACGTCCACCTTGGCTGCGGCTACGCTGAATGTCCAGTCCCCATCTCCCTTTCCTTCTCAAGTTCATAGTTCCCCTTCCATCTCTAACTCCTTTGGCAAACTTCCCCATCCCCTTGCCTCTGTCCTGAGTGGTTTCCGGCCGGTGGACGGGTTAGATGTGAATGGTCTTTGTTTTTTTCTGGAGAGTGTTTTGCGCATGCGTGAATACCCTGGCATGTCAGACGCAACTTTGATGGAACTCATTGCTCCATACTGTCTGAAACCGTTGGGGGACAGATTGCTTGATTGTTTGCGCAGAGGCGTCACCTTTGATGTTTTCCATAAAGAAGTTTTGGAGCTTTTCATGCCCCGTCGGGTCATGGAGAAGCTGAAAGTTGAGAGAGTTTTTCGTCCTCAGCAGCCAGCCGAGTCTCTCAGCCAGTACGTGGGGGACATTCGCACGGTGGAAAGGGTCTTGCGTTTGGGGATCAGTGAGCTTGAACTCATTGACATTGTGCTTCAGGGGTTGAAGCCTGAGGAACGCTCCCGTCTGGTTTTTGCACCACGGCCTTCATCTTTTGCGGATCTGGACAGACTTTCCATCCTTTCGAGATCTGTCCAGGACGCTGATTTTCAGAGGGACCAAGCGGCGGGGCATCTTCCCCTAGCTGGTCATCATGCTGTCGTAGCACCCGTGGGAGTGTTGGGTCCTGAACCGCCGCAGTGGCAGAGGCAACCTGTTGTTTGTTTTGGTTGTGGGCAACCAGGTCACATTCGGCGGCATTGCCGTCAAGGTGGAAATTTTGGACGTGGTCCAAAAAACTAGTTTGCTCACAGGAGGAAAAATTGCCCAATCCTTCCTGTGAGGTTGTTGGTGATAATGTAAAGGGCAATAATTTGAAAGTTTTTTCAAGTAAGTCAAATTCTAAGTTAAAGTCAGTTAATGTTTCTGTTGCCTCCCCTTCTGGGAGTGTTGTGCCTGTGACCGAGCCTCTGCTGCGGGGGATTGCGGGCCTTGCTTCCATGGGCGTGAAAGCGGCGCGCTCAACTTGCCCACGTCTCAACATCTTCATAGGTTCCACGGTGCAGAAGGCCCTAGTGGATTCTGGGTCAGCCCGTTGCCTCATTTCCTTTTCCCTTTTTGAAAAACTTGAATCGTCTGGGCTTATCAAGCAAGTTGAGCGAAAAACCCCTATCTGCTGGACTGCGTCAAATTCACCCCTTCCCATCATCTATGAAGCCCGTTTCAAGTTCAAAATTGAACATTTTTCTTGGGTTTGGAGTTTTTGGGTGGCTAAGGACCTTTGTTTCCCTGTCATTTTGGGAGCGGATTTTATCAAGCACACTGGCCTAATTTTGGATTTAGGCAGAGGTCAGTGTTTTTTCCGATTTGCGAGACGGGTATTAATATCTTTTGCTGATGAAATTGGTGGTGGTGCTGCGGTAGTTGAGCCTGAGATACCCAGCAAGCCAACAATTGATCCGTTAGGGCATCTGACTACTTGCGAGGCTGAAGCCATCAGAACCTTGTGTTCTCGTTTCCCAGATGTGCTGACGCCAAAGCTCGGAGTCACTAACCTGTTAGAGTACGAGATTCGTCTAACAGATACCCGTCCCGTTCGCTCTCACCCATACAAATTAGCTCCACCCAAAATGGAAACTCTCAGAAAAATCATTGACGAACTTCTGGAAAATGGTGTCATTGAACCTTCCCGTTCGAGCTACGCTAGTCCAGCTTTTCTCGTCCCGAAACCCAATGGCAAGTCCCGAATGGTTTTGGACTATCGCAAATTGAATGCGCAAATTGAAATCGACTCTGTGCCTCTCCCCGATTTGCATTCTGCGTTTGATTGGTTCGGTAAGGCCAAGTATTTTTCTGTTTTTGATCTGAATCAGGCCTATCATCAGATTCCTTTGAAACCTGAGTCTCGACCTCTCACTGCTTTCTGCGTTCCGTGGAATTTGTATCAGTTCACAAGAGTTCCGATGGGTCTTGCTGTGGGGGCCCAGACTCTCACCAGACTCCTTGATTCCATCTTTCATGATGTCAAGTTCAAGTTTGTGTTCAATTACCTCGACGATCTCTTGGTGTACAGTGAGAGCTTCGAAGATCACCTGATTCATCTTGAAGAAGTCATGAGTAGATTGAATAGGGCTGGCCTTACCGTGAATCCTGACAAGGTTAGTTTTGCAAAGCCGGAAATTTCGTTCCTTGGTCATCTTATCTCTCATAGAGGCGTCTGCATCGACCCCGCTAGAACCCAGGCTATCAGGGAGTTTCCTCCTCCCAGAGATGTCAAGGGTATTGCTAGGTTCATCGGCATGGTAGGTTTTTACCGACGCTTCATACCCAATGTTGCTGAATTGGCGGCTCCTCTCAATGAGCTTCGGAAGAAGGGCGCCAAGTTTGTCTGGGGTGAAGCGCAGCAGACGTCTTTTGACCTTCTCAAGGAGGCTATCATGCAGCCCCCTGTTTTGGCGATGCCGGATTTCAATCAGAACTTTGTCTTGCAAACAGATGCTTCCTCCGTCGCAATTGCGGCTGTGTTGTCACAAGAGGTGGATGGTGTTAGGCAGCCAATTGCGTACGCCTCACGCACTTTGAGTCCCTGCGAAAAGAAAAGCTCTTCGGTGTATGAACTCGAGTGTTTGGCTGTCGTGTTTGGAGTCAATAAATTCAGACGCTTTTTGGAGCACAAGGAGTTTTTATTGGAAACCGACAACCAGGCACTCTCGTGGCTTCTTGCACATCCACGCCAGCTTGGGAAAATTGGTCGTTGGGTTGTCCAAATATCGTCCCTTAAGTTCCAAGTGCAACACGTTCGAGGCACTCAGAATGTGATTGCTGACACACTATCTAGGATGTACCATTCACCCGACGATCCTCCTTCTGACCAAGAGCAACCGGGTTGTGCCGTGCTCTTGGAGTTTCCACTCGCCTTTTCTGATTTCATTCCCCATCAGCTGAAGGATCCTGAGCTGGCAAAGATCATTGGTGAGCTTCAAAATGGGGGAGCCCACCCCCCATATTTTCTGTCCCAGGGTGCCCTTTGCTGTCGCGCTCGGCAGCGAGGTAAACCTAAAGTTGTGCTGCCTAGTCTTCTAATACCTATGGTCTTTGAGTATTTTCATTCTTCTCCTGTGGGTGGGCATCTAGGTATCCACAAGACCATTGCGAAGGTTAGGGAAATGTTCATCTGGAAGGGTATGGATCGGGATCTTGCTGCTAGGGTGCGTTCTTGTCAAACGTGCTCACTGAGCAAGCCCGCTCAAAACTCTAAGTTTGGTTTGTTGTCATCTGAGGTGGCGGAAAGACCTTTGGAGAAGGTTTTCATTGACTATGTAGGGCCTCTCCCGCGTAGCAAGTCAGGAAATAAGTTCCTACTTGTTTGTGTGGATGCTTTCTCCAAGTTTTGTTGGCTTTTCCCCTTAAGGAATGCCACTGCACAGCTCACCGTGCAGGTACTTCGAACTCACCTCTTCCAACATTTTGGAATACCCGCCACCATTGTTTCCGACAACGGAACACAGTTTGTTTCCCATCTGTTCAAAAGAATGTGCTTTGGGCACGGAATCCGCCATGTGACTACTTCCCCTTACTATCCACAGCCTTCTCATGCTGAAAGGTTCAATCGCAATCTTCGTTCCGCTCTCATAGCTTTCCATGCTGACAAGCAGACCACCTGGGATCAGGAACTCCCTTGGCTTCAGTTTGCTTTCAATACTGCTCACCATGAGAGTCACAAGGCGGTCCCTTTCGAGCTGTTTCTAGGCTATCCGCCTAACAACCCGTTAGCGAATGTGTGGGGAATTGGCGACCTTCTGCCACCTCCTGGTGCGGCTGATGTCAAGGCAACTTGGCAAGCGGCCAGGAGAAACTTGATCAGAGCTAGGGAATTGGTCCGGAGGAAGCACAATCGTGGTAGAGTAGACAACCCCTTCCAGGTGGGGGATTTGGTGTTTTGTAAAGCTCATCCAGCCAGTTCGGCTGTGGACAAGAGAGCTGCAAAGTTGTGTCATCGGTGGTCAGGTCCCCACCGCATCCTGAGGTTTTTGACGCCTGTCACGGCGGAGCTTGGAGATCCGCGGACTGGAAAGGTGTTCCGGAGGGCGCACATTTCTCATCTCAAGCCCTTCCGCGGAACTCTTCCGTAGGCAATTTTCTTTCCTCTTGTGTCTGGGTGGGAAGTGCACTGGGCCAGAGAACCTGATCACTTCTCCTGTCCCCTGTGTTCTGCGAAGGAATTTCCCTCACAAAATTTTCCAGCTCTGGCCAGAGCAAACCCTGGGGGTGAGTTTTCCCCTCAGTTTGGAAGTCCCTTGGCGTTCCCCACCACAGACACTTGAGTTGTCTTTCAGGTCATTCTCTTTTCAGGAAGTGGGGGAGAGGCTTGTTTGTTTGTCCCTTTTGGAGAGGAGTGTCCTCTTTTGGGGAGGGAGGTTGAGCCGTGACTATTTCCACCGGGCGAATGTCACGACTCATGATCAATGGTTCAAGTGTTTTTTTTTATAGTAGGCTAGTTCTGTGTTTCGTTGTCACTCCACGGCCCCCCGAACAAGGCTGTGGGTTTTGTTCTTATTACTCCGACCGCGAAGTGTCAGAGGTTGCGAGACGTCGGATTTGAGTACTTCACTGAAGATTTTTATCCTTTTAAATCTTCCTTTTTTGGATAATAAATGTGCCTTTTAAGTTTTATTCTTGGCCGTTTGTGAGAACTTTCTTTATGGAGTAACTTTAGTACGCCCCGCGCGCCTTTTGGGGCCCGTGAGGAGGAAAATGACTGACCATCTTCAGCGGAGAGGAATGTTGCGACTAGGCTGGCGCTGCATATTGGCCCCCTCTCCGCCCTGCCTCTTCTCTCCTCCGGTGCTGTCCGCCCAGCTTCATGGCCCTCCGGTGTCACACCCTTGAAGACTGTTACCGCAAGTTACCGACTAATTGTTATTTATCTAATTGTTATATATATTGCTGTTGCCGAATGGACTTTAAGATTTTTAACATTTGTTGACTATTTATAAGCACAGCAGCCTATTGTTATTTATTTCAAATTTTATTCTACTGTTGCCTAATCATCCGATTTTTAAAATCTCTCCACTGTATTTAATTTTTGGGGCCCCTAGTTAATTGTTAACTTTTCAGATATTTATTAAAAGAGTCATCATATTTTATTATTGTTATAGTTTGTTAATTTTGGTAATTTCCTTTTATTAAATGTTAAATTTTTACTAAATCCTTCTGATTTTCTGAATGATTAAAATAAATTATTGTAAGTCAGCAGCTTAAACGGGTACCTAAATTTATTTAAGGTTTATTGAGAGTATTTAATTCATGTATTGTTGTTGATTATTGTTGTTGTGTTTTCTTTTAAATGGTTAATTACAGCTCGTTTCTCTCAAATGGCGTGTTGTTCTTGAGCCTCCATCCATGGTTCTCATTTTGTTATGTAAAGTTTTGTGAGCCGCTCCTCGGGCCTGCGCATGGATCACGCTTCCTTTTCGTTAGTCTGGGTGCAGGCGCGAGGGCATGGTTCATCTGGTAGCAGAGCGTGGTAATGAAAACTTATCGGCTAGCTCAGTTGTGTTCCAATCGTTTTCATTTTGGAAGTGTTTTACATCTAGGTCAATGTTAAGTGATGCTTGAAGATTGTCTAGTATTACCACACCAAATGATCGACCCTCAAATGATGGACTGGGTTCACATTGGATGCCTCTCGCTGTGCAACACCAGCTGAACAACCAAAGGTTCATCATACATCTTCCGTTGATCGACGTCCTTTCTATTGTCTCTGGAGTCCAAACCGAATAGACTGCCAAAATTAGGAAGCCAGCGTACGTTACGAGCCACACAGCGAAAGAAGCTGAAATGAGTCCTTCACTGTACCTCCTAATACCTAGAGTCGCCAATACGATAAACATTAAAGTTCCAAGGACAAATAGATGCATCGACCAGAATCCGAGATTCATCTCACATGAATCTATCGTGTTCATAAGGGTGATCGGTATCAGCAGCACTATTAACACCATACTGAGCATGCGAAGTAGAATGTGAGTTGGTACACCACAAACATAGCCCAAGCTAGAACCGAACACAGGGATACAAAAGATTATCGGTACCATTTTAAATTTTGTGTAGTATTATTTTTACTTTGATTTACTGGTTTGTTAGTTGCTTGGTTACACATTTTTTTACTTGCTTTGTAATAAGATTGAGTTTCAATGTAGTCTCTTGTAGTTCCTAATAGTTTGAACCTCCCTAGTTGTATGATGTGGGACTATAGCTATGGTGGATTTTAGAACTCAATATTCCATTTTCATGTTAAAGTTGCATCCATTGTGCAATAAAAATGGGTGTAGTTAAATTGAGTAACAGAGTTTTCTTATTAACATAATTAGGCCTACGATTGCATTTTTTTAAAATTACATTAAATTTCTTAGTTTTTTGTATTGTGATATTCAATGAGATATAAGAGATACTATAGTTTACAATAAGTTCACCTTCAACTTGGCTTGATTTAATTGGCGTTTTTGATATAAATCAGTAATTTTCCCGTTACATTTTGTCAGTGGCTAAATATAAATTTATTCTAATGGCTTCAACCGCTTCAACTTAAGCATGTAGATGGAAAGTAAGATAATGTGTCAATCTTTGCAGGATTTCTACTCTGTGGCACACACTGAAGGATTTTTGAATGTTTTCGTCAACAATAACCGTACAGACTGAGAGAGAGACACTAAACGGTTGAGATATGACTCATTTTGTGCTGCATTTTTTGCTTGTTTTGACCTCCCAAATAATCTGGTAAAGCTAGTCCTAGTTGAAGTTGGATACTCTGTATGCTACCAATGTAATTGTTGTTGAAGAATAAAAACCTTGAATCTTCAACTTTTTTGCAGAAAGTGCCAGTGCCATCAATAGACCAGCTGGTCTGTCCTCCGTTTGAAAGTGAAGCATCCAAAAGACAGCCTGTCAAGCCAGCCTCCAAGACACCCTTGCCTACCACCGCCATGATTGAGGGCACTAGCGTCACCCCTAGACAGGTGATGTTTTGATGTTTTAGTTTAACAATATTTTTGGAGTTAAAACATAGTAATTGCTCAAAGCCAATCCAAGCTTACAAACTTAAACTGTTTTTTAACGTTTAGTGCTAGTAGGTCACTCACTGTGACAAGTTATCAACGTCAGTGCAAGCGTCGTTGAGAAGACTCATTATAGTAGGCAACGACAGTGTGGACTTATGGCTTGTCAATGCATCAGTTTCAAAAAGCTTCATACTATCAACTGCTGGTTCATTTTGCTCCTTCACGGTCACTAGTTGCCACCTGTTCAACCCATTATTCTTTGTTTATTCATTTGGTAACTTGTTTAGCGGAGGCAGAAAAATACAGTGTTGGTTTGCGTATCGCACATTGGTTTGTGTGGATGAAATATTACTTTCTAATTTATCTTTGAGTGCTTATTTCAGTTGCAAGTTATTATGTTTCATGAATTATTTAGTGTTTTAGGATACAATATTGCCAATAAAATCTAGTTTCTATCTTTGAAAATCAAACTCTTACGGTGAACATAAGTTACGTAAACATGTAGACCTAGTAATATAAGTAATGTATTCACAACATAAAAAATAGGCCTATCCCTCAAATACATTTTTAATTAATTTAAATAGGACTTTATCCCCAGTCCATGCTTGATTCTAGTCACCTAGCGCTTTACAATAATGCCACAAAGAAGTAAGTAACAGAGAAAGTATGCTTATGGGACGACTGTGCGCTTTCAGCTCTGGTTTGTCGTGTGGGAAGGATGTGATGAGCAAGGATGAGCTTTCATCAGAATAACACCACAGTAGACTCCCTCTTATCCGGACTCCTCGGGGCCGAGGCCAGACCAGATAACAGGTTTTCCGGATAAACTGCCGTCCCCAAAAACTCGCTAAAAAGGACCGCTTAAATGCATACTGTATACAGTAGTTTACTTAAATTTAGGAGAGCATTGTATTTAGATACGTGATCACTGGTCTCAAATCCTTCCCGCAAGAACAGTTGGCCCACGAAGGTGAGGGGGGGGTGTTGGACCTTCCCCTAGACACCAACACTAGTGATAGACACCACCTAAGTGCACTATTGAATGTTTCCTTTACTTACTTATTTCTATGTGGTAATGCATAGGGTAATAAGCCTTACCATTAAGAGGAATAATTCAATACCATATGAATAAAGAATCGTTCAATTCAACAGCGCCCCAAGAGAACCAATGCTGTTCCCGGGAGTATTCCTCCCCCTCTGGTCGGGGCTTCCCCTACTCCGCCTGCACCGCCAGTCTCCGCCAAGCTGCCCGAGCCCCCACCACCCCCTGCCAGGCTCAACAGCGCTGACTCTGCCGAGGCTTTGTTCCCACCTTCAGGTGAGGATCAGTCCTATCAAAAACTCGCGTTTTGATATTATTTAATTTAATTGTCTGTTTCATCTTAACGACAGTTTCTACCAAACCGAAAAGAATGTTTTGTACATTTTTTCAAGAGGTCAACAGACACGTTTGATTAATGACTTACTCTAACTTAACGTGCTGTCTCCCTGCTTCAGAACAGAGGAATGTCTATAATATTAATAAACAAAATCGATGTTCCCGTAGTTGAAAACCCATCATATTGAAAATGCTAAAAACATTAGATAACTAATAAAAAATGTAAAATTATAGTATTTAAATAATAGTAACAACTAACAACACTCCTCCGTAATTTTGTTCTTTCCTTTTGTCCTTCTATTCTTTCTCGGTTTCTCTTCATCCACACAATTGTAAGAAGTGTCAGTAATTGCAAGAAGTTGCCATGGTTACTTCATTCATAGGCTACCTAATAAAGTTGCCATGGTTACTGAACACCCAATCACTCACTTAGATTATGTCATCCCGAGCAAATGAAGTCTGTTGTGATATGGCCCATAGCAGACAATGTGTGAGCAGCAGACGACAGTCAGGCCAAGTGTGACTTCATCTTGGAGCTCTCAATCGATATTTCTTTGTTCGGCTTACTCAAAGAATGTTTGAAAAACAATTATGTAGAGCTTAATGAAAATCAATAATGGGCCAAAAAGGTTGAATATACAATACATTTTATCACGAAAATTAATTTACAAAGAAATGTTTGTATTTTTCTTGAGATAGTGAGGTTATGTAACATAATTTTAGAGGTCTATCTATGCACCTATGTACCTATGTGTCTATCTATATACCACGGTTGATACGCTGGTTAATCAAGTTTCTATTGTCGGTACAAAAAGCATTAATTAATTGATAGTATGAGCCTTAGTATTTTTAAAAGTTTAACCACAATTTTACCTATTCTTCCAGGATATCCAGATCCGTTCCGAGAAGAGGAGGGGATGAAGAGGTCTCCTCCGACACAGTCTGTGTCTCAGTGTCCAATAGCAGGGGAACACTCTCCCTCCACTTCCCCCTCTGGTCATCATCCCTCCCATCGGAGGAACGTCAGCGACACCTCCGCGTTCAACAAGTAAGCAACCCCTTGTGTTACTGAGTAGAGTCATCTATATGGACCTGCTGTAGCCTATTAAAAAATAATCTTATGTGCCATTCACTCGTGTGATGGGGGAACTGTCAAAATTAAGTTTTTCCTACTTTTCCATGTTTTTATACCGTGCTAGAACCTGTACTTGTGCATTGCAACGGGTAAGGTACTCGGAAGGGTTCTTCAAATCTACCATATGAAATAGTTACTCATCCGTCATAATGGATTGTAGAAACAAAAGTAAATTGCATCGCTTTTATATAAGAGTTTAATGTTCTTTAAATTTAGGTTGGTTAATATTAATTACGCTATTTAGTAGAATATGAGTAGCGTTACACATGTATGAAACATAGTGAGCAGGGTTACATAATCCGTACGTGTATGGCATCATCATATGGCCATCGTCGGCTTCATTTGTCAACAAACAGCAGTTTCGGGGTTATGCCGTTAAACATTTACTTGTGAAATGGTGTTGATCCTGTCTAAATAAGAGTTTGGTTTGATTTGATGATCTTGAGCGTTATTATCATAAATAAATATATCGTTTGAGTCCTACATTCCTTTGCACATAGATTAATTTGTGGCTGACACATAGACCCAGGTATAGGCATACGTGTATTTTAATGCAGCATGAAGGCAGCGATGTCGTGGGTTCGGATCCTGGTCACTGCCGATAACATTTTATCAGTACAGTTCACCTTTGTACTGTACCGGCTCACTCCTTGCTTTGCTGTAAACGATCCACGCACGGGCGCTTAGTCTATGTGGACGGGCAAATTCAAGGTTAAAAGAGGCCGCCAACCTCTTTTAAAAAAAAAAAAAAAAAAAAAAAAAATGGGTAAGTCCTTCGTTTACTCAAGATATGTTTTTACTCCCTTAAAATCTGGTAACTTACCGTACACAGAAAAATGGAAAGTAAATAAAAACTTGTGTTTCAGAGTGTTTGCAGATGAGACTAGTCAGTTTCTGGCTCCGTACGACTCAACAGTCAAGACACAGTCTGGTACCAGCTCTCCTCCCGAGACCAACATGACTGTCACTCATAACATCTCAACCTCACATGTAAGTTTAGGGTTACTATCAAAATTCATGTATGTAGGTTTCAGCAAATCTTTTCCTATAGGGAATAAGCTATTACCATGGGTCTCATGGTTCGTTTTGATGTCCCCAGAGGCCAAAACACCGTCCTTTCAAATTCAAATATATGTTCTTCCCTTCTCACAGAAGGCCTATTAGCGAATTTCCCTATAGGGAAGTAGCTATTACCGTAGGTCTCATGGTAAGACTTAGGCCCGGGACCGATTTACTTTTTCATTTTGATGTCCCCAGAGGCCAAAAACACCATTCGTTCAAATTTTTATATATGTATATATATATATATATATATATATATATATATATAGATTTTATTAAGCAAATCAAAATACCACAGTACCCTAGAAACATTTTATTTTATATTACTTACATGTTTCGGACATTAATGCCATGATCACAGTATAGTATATAACCTATTAGTTTCTTTTATTTACAAACATTATTAGATATTTCTTATTAAAGAACAGGTGATAATTTTTATATTAAGGGAAGGAGGTGTTTTCTTTAAGATGTATAATTTCATTGAATATTACGTTTTGATTTTGAATTTGTGTCAAGTTTAGTAAATTGTCTTTGTCATTAATATGGTGAGTATAAATATAAAAGTCTTCCTTTGTATTCATTTTTTCTCCTTTATTTTCAATATCCAGAATGTGCATGTTTTTATTCATTTCTGAGTATGTATGGTCGGTCTGAAGTATATGTTCGGCGTATGAGGATTTTTGTGTTGTCATATTGTTTGATCTGATTGCCTGTATATGCTCTTTGTATCTGACTTCAAATGTTCGACCTGTTTGACCAATATAGTATTTTTCGCAGTTGTTACATGATAATTTGTAAATTCCTGATTTCTTATATACATTTGGTGGGTTGGGTATCGGATTTGTTCTTTTTTGTATTATGTTAAAAGCGTTATTCCTTGTTTTATAACTTAGTTTAAATTTTGAGTTCGGTAATGTCTTTCTTAAGGTTTTGTTTAAGGATGAGCTGAATGGAATACATATAAATTCTTTCTTTACGTTTTCTTGTTCTTCTACTTTCATTCTTTTAGTTTTTTCATTTTTTATTAATTTTTCAATCATTTTTTCTTTGTATCCATTTGTTCCTGCAATTCTTTTTATAGTTTTCTTTTCTATTTCAAAGTTGTCTTTAGACATTGGTATGTTAAGTAGTCTAAATACCATTGATTTGAATGTAGAAATTTTGTGTTGCCAAGGATGGTTTGACTGAAATGGAATGATTAGGTCAGTTTGGGTAGGTTTCCTATATATATTGAAATTATGTCGATCGTTTTCTTTAGTAATTGTTATGTCTAAGAAATTTATCTTCTTTTCTTGTGTCTCCATCGTAAATTTAATTGTTGGGGAGATAGAATTTAAGTATTTCAAAAAATCTTGATATGAGTCTTTATTGCCGTTGTATAAGCATAATATATCATCGACATATCTATACCAATAGATTATATCTTTTTTAAATGGATTTTCGTCGTTTATGATTTTTGATGATTCTAGATGCTGCATATATATGTTTGCTAGAATACCAGAAAGTGGAGAACCCATAGCCAATCCTTCTAATTGTTTGAAAATTTTGCCATTGAATTCAAAATAGCTTTGATTGATTGCTACTCTAGATAGTTTCATAAGATCATTTAACTCATTTTTTGAAACCTGTTTATTTTTGTTTAAAGTTTCTTGAAGGATTTGAAGGGTATCTTTTGTAGGAATATTTGAATACATATTAGTTACATCAAAGGAGATAAAAATTGCATTTTCAGGTATTAATTCATCCTTAATTTTTTCAATTAATTTATATGTATTGTTGATACTGTATCCAGATTCAAAGTTTATCTTATGTTTTAGTTTATTATTTAGGTACTTACATACATTGTATGCTGGGGCATTTCGGTAGTTAACAACAGGACGTATTGGTACATTTGTTTTATGTGTTTTAGGTTGTCCTCTAAATTTTGGTATTATTGGATTTATCATTTTTAGTTGTATCATGTCACTTTTATTTCAAGTTTTACATTTAGATATTGTACTATTAATTTCTTTACTGTATTCTAGTGTGGGATCTTTAGAGAGTTCTCTGTAATTATTGTCTTCAATAAAGTTTTCTACCTTTTTGTTATAGTCGTCTATGTTTATTATAACAGTTGTATTTCCCTTATCAGCTTTGGTTATTATTGCGTTGTTATCTTTGAGTTTTTTTGATATTGATGTTACAGTATTTAAGTCTTTTCTAGACTTCTTTTTTATACCTTTGTTTTTAGTTTCTATTCTATTTTTGTCTAATTCATGTACAAAATTATGTCTAATTGATTCTTGGATGTCTGTCTTTTGTTTTCTTATTGCAACTTCTAGATCTATCATTTCATCTTTTATAACCTTCTGTTGGAAGTCCATGTTAATGTTGTATTTTAATGCTTTTGATAACATTTCTGTTTCATCTTTTTCAAATACAATATTTGTTAGATTTTGAACTTTGGGATAAAATGAATGGGTTTCATTCGAATTTTCATTTTTTATCTCCTTAGCTTTTTGACCTATCAGACTTTGTAGCTTCTTGTGATGAGTTTCTTTCTTTCTTTTTATAATTGGTTCAATCCAATTTTGTACGTATTCATTGAATTCTTCAATTGATTCTGAGTGGTAACTTTTATTGATTTCTGTCTTTATGATGTTCATTTTTTCATTCAGAGTATTCAGTTTAGAATATAGACTGTTAATTTCTTCTTTTATCCATATCTTCTTTGCAATTATTAATGTTTTCTGAGCTGCAATTGATTTAGATTTTGTGTTAATTTGAATGTAGTTTGGCGTTATATTCTCATGTATACATCTTTTATTGAAAGAAATATCTTCTTTTATTGTTGCAATTCTTAAGGTTATGTACTTAAGTTGATGTATAATCTTTGGTTGGTTAGCCATTATTATTTTGTTATTGTATACATCAATGAGGGCTACTTTAAATGTTATTAAGCAAATCAAAATACCACAGTACCCTAGAAACATTTTATTTTATATTACTTACATGTTTCGGACATTAATGCCATGATCACAGTATAGTATATAACCTATTAGTTTCTTTTATTTACAAACATTATTAGATACTTCTTATTAAAGAACAGGTGATAATTTTTATATTAAGGGAAGGAGGTGTTTTCTTTAAGATGTATAATTTTATTGAATATTACGTTTTGATTTTGAATTTGTGTCAAGTTTAGTAAATTGTCTTTGTCATTAATATGGTGAGTGTAAATATAAAAGTCTTCCTTTGTATTCATTTTTTCTCCTTTATTTTCAATATCCAGAATGTGCATTTTTTTATTCATTTCTGAGTATGTATGGTCGGTCTGAAGTATATGTTCGGCGTATGAGGATTTTTGTGTTGTCATATTGTTTGATCTGATTGCCTGTATATGCTCTTTGTATCTGACTTCAAATGTTCGACCTGTTTGACCAATATAGTATTTTTCGCAGTTGTTACATGATAATTTGTAAATTCCTGATTTCTTATATACATTTGGTGGGTTGGGTATCGGATTTGTTCTTTTTTGTATTATGTTAAAAGCGTTATTCCTTGTTTTATAACTTAGTTTAAATTTTGAGTTCGGTAATGTCTTTCTTAAGGTTTTGTTTAAGGATGAGCTGAATGGAATACATATAAATTCTTTCTTTACGTTTTCTTGTTCTTCTACTTTCATTCTTTTAGTTTTTTCATTTTTTATTAATTTTTCAATCATTTTTTCTTTGTATCCATTTGTTCCTGCAATTATTTTTATAGTTTTCTTTTCTATTTCAAAGTTGTCTTTAGACATTGGTATGTTAAGTAGTCTAAATACCATTGATTTGAATGTAGAAATTTTGTGTTGCCAAGGATGGTTTGACTCAAATGGAATGATTAGGTCAGTTTGGGTAGGTTTCCTATATATATTGAAATTATGTCGATCGTTTTCTTTAGTAATTGTTATGTCTAAGAAATTTATCTTCTTTTCTTGTGTCTCCATCGTAAATTTAATTGTTGGGGAGATAGAATTTAAGTATTTCAAAAAATCTTGATATGAGTCTTTATTGCCGTTGTATAAGCATAATATATCATCGACATATCTATACCATTAGATTATATCTTTTTTAAATGGATTTTCGTCGTTTATGATTTTTGATGATTCTAGATGCTGCATATATATGTTTGCTAGAATACCAGAAAGTGGAGAACCCATAGCCAATCCTTCTAATTGTTTGAAAATTTTGCCATTGAATTCAAAATAGCTTTGATTGATTGCTACTCTAGATAGTTTCATAAGATCATTTAACTCATTTTTTGAAACCTGTTTATTTTTGTTTAAAGTTTCTTGAAGGATTTGAAGGGTATCTTTTGTAGGAATATTTGAATACATATTAGTTACATCAAAGGAGATAAAAATTGCATTTTCAGGTATTAATTCATCCTTAATTTTTTCAATTAATTTATATGTATTGTTGATACTGTATCCAGATTCAAAGTTTATCTTATGTTTTAGTTTATTATTTAGGTACTTACAAACATTGTATGCTGGGGCATTTCGGATTTGGTTCTTATTTAACAAAATAATAAATAATAAGATACAAAGAATACCTGAAAATGCAATTTTTATCTCCTTTGATGTAACTAATATGTATTCAAATATTCCTACAAAAGATACCCTTCAAATCCTTCAAGAAACTTTAAACAAAAATAAACAGGTTTCAAAAAATGAGTTAAATGATCTTATGAAACTATCTAGAGTAGCAATCAATCAAAGCTATTTTGAATTCAATGGCAAAATTTTCAAACAATTAGAAGGATTGGCTATGGGTTCTCCACTTTCTGGTATTCTAGCAAACATATATATGCAGCATCTAGAATCATCAAAAATCATAAACGACGAAAATCCATTTAAAAAAGATATAATCTATTGGTATAGATATGTCGATGATATATTATGCTTATACAACGGCAATAAAGACTCATATCAAGATTTTTTGAAATACTTAAATTCTATCTCCCCAACAATTAAATTTACGATGGAGACACAAGAAAAGAAGATAAATTTCTTAGACATAACAATTACTAAAGAAAACGATCGACATAATTTCAATATATATAGGAAACCTACCCAAACTGACCTAATCATTCCATTTCAGTCAAACCATCCTTGGCAACACAAAATTTCTACATTCAAATCAATGGTATTTAGACTACTTAACATACCAATGTCTAAAGACAACTTTGAAATAGAAAAGAAAACTATAAAAATAATTGCAGGAACAAATGGATACAAAGAAAAAATGATTGAAAAATTAATAAAAAATGAAAAAACTAAAAGAATGAAAGTAGAAGAACAAGAAAACGTAAAGAAAGAATTTATATGTATTCCATTCAGCTCATCCTTAAACAAAACCTTAAGAAAGACATTACCGAACTCAAAATTTAAACTAAGTTATAAAACAAGGAATAACGCTTTTAACATAATACAAAAAAGAACAAATCCGATACCCAACCCACCAAATGTATATAAGAAATCAGGAATTTACAAATTATCATGTAACAACTGCGAAAAATACTATATTGGTCAAACAGGTCGAACATTTGAAGTCAGATACAAAGAGCATATACAGGCAATCAGATCAAACAATATGACAACACAAAAATCCTCATACGCCGAACATATACTTCAGACCGACCATACATACTCAGAAATGAATAAAAACATGCACATTCTGGATATTGAAAATAAAGGAGAAAAAATGAATACAAAGGAAGACTTTTATATTTATACTCACCATATTAATGACAAAGACAATTTACTAAACTTGACACAAATTCAAAATCAAAAAATAATATTCAATGAAATTATACATCTTAAAGAAAACACCTCCTTCCCTTAATATAAAAATTATCACCTGTTCTTTAATAAGAAATATCTAATAATGTTTGTAAATAAAAGAAACTAATAGGTTATATACTATACTGTGATCATGGCATTAATGTCCGAAACATGTAAGTAATATAAAATAAAATGTTTCTAGGGTACTGTGGTATTTTGATTTGCTTAATAACATTTAAAGTAGCCCTCATTGATGTATACAATAACAAAATATATAGATTTATATATATATATATATATATATATATATATGTGTCCGTGAACACGATAACTTGAGTAATTTTTATCCGATTTTGATGAAATTTGGTTTGAAGGTGTAAGGCGGGATAAACTTGAATGAGTTCGCGATCCAGCATGATAGGACCATGGGAACAGGGTTTTATGGGGGGTTTTATGGGGTAAAAATTGGTTTTTCTCACTTTTGACCCTCAAAACACAAAATTTCCCAATTTTTCTCTAAACCATCTTAAAGAGCTTAAAAAAACAAACAATTCAGTATATCAAAGTGTTTTTGTACGGTTATTGGTTACGGAGAAAACTAAAAAAAATGGTAAATTTAAAATTCCCATGTTATTCTTATGGAGAATATTGTAAAATGTTGTAGTTTGCTTGTTTATGGATATATTTTGATCAAACTTGGCAAATTTATTTATTTTATAGTAAGCTATCAATATTTTACTAAAAACACACTTTGTTTCCTTGTAGCAGCAAACCTAGGTACTCGTTAAACCTAATGTTATTTAGAAAGATCAATTGAAAATCAATTCAGCCAAATGGAAATTCGCTTAGACGGCAGGTTTGCTGCGGCGGGGGTATTTAGTTATTTTTTGCCGTAATGGAACGTATAGGAAGACTAATATTATTTTATAACGCTCACTGTTAATAAGAAGACACGATCAGTGGGATAGCCACTTCACTCGGGCGAGCAAACAGAAGATGTTACAAAAATAATAGAATATTCTCAGTAATCTCAGGTATTTTCAGTATTAACAAGGGAATAAGTTACACTTCAGTAATAGTATTATTCATCTTGTTACTTCATTTTTGAGGTTTTACCTTTCGGATTACTTAATAATTACATTATACAAGATGATACCTTGTTGTCAATTCAATCATGGTTGTCTGAATGTCACAAACCAGATGATGATTCCTCATACGTAGAGAAATTGTGAAAAGACAATTGAGCCGATAATAAAAGTGGGAGGGGTAGGAGGGGAAGAGGTCACAAGAACGGTCACTGCAGCCGTGCTGTGACTATTAGCCCTATGGCCATGCAGTGTCTTTTTCATAAGAATGTCTGTCTATGTTCGTGTTATCTTTATAATTTTTGAAGACGTTAGACCACACTTGTGTCTAAAGACTGTACACCTTAAGTGAGTTGAAATTGGTCGCCATTCAAATGACTGATATATTTAACAGACATTATTTAAGAAATTGCTAACATTTATCCTGTTTTATAGCATCCTGTTACATTAAATTACGCTCACGTCTAACCGAATGTATGTTGCTGCAGAGCGAGTTGCCGGTGGGTGCCGCAGTCGCACCAGAAGGGAGGTCGCTGTCCGCAGCTGGACCGGTCGGTTGGAACCCCTTCGAAGAACCTCCCTTCAGCCAAGTGGCCGATGACCCTGCCTTCAGCCAGATGACAGAAGATCACATCTTCGGTGCCGAGTTTGATAGGATCAAAAGAGGATCTCAAACAAGTAAGATTATTTTGATTTTAAGAGTATTATCAATTTCCAGTTTTTACATTATGAAAAGTATGTTTGTATTTGACAAAGTCATGTAAAAAGTTTTTCTGTTCGAAAATGGTCAGGCACATGAAAATTATAGTGTGTTCGTAATTCTAACTTTAAAAGTTTAAAAACTTCTTTCATTTAAATTTTTCTCTCAGTTCCTTGAACTGTGATGGGTGATTAAAATGTAATTTTGAATCATAAAAATTTTACCATTAATAGTATAGTAGGCTATTAATTATTTCAGTCTACTTTGTTGCTTCGCTTTGATTGCTTGAAAATATGTTAAACAATACATGATTTTGTTGAGTGATAAATATTGTTGTAAGCAAGATGCATAGCGGTATATTGGAATTTTCATTGTGCATACTTGACAATCAAAAGATCAACGGTTCCATCCTTAGTAAAGTTACTAGCTTTTTGATGGTTCTAAATGATACCCAGCTGTCTTTGAACATTGACTTTTTTTTTCAAATCTTGGCTAAAAAGAACAGCTAATCTAGTCAGTAACAGAGCTTCAAAAATCATCTCACACCATTCTTCACTAACCCTACATTAATATTCAGTTTCAAATACAGTCCTGAGCTAGGTACAAGTTACTACAGTAGACTCGCTCATCCGGATCGGCCTTGTCCGGACTCCCGTTAGTCCATATCGGCAATCTTGATTTTTTTTAGTGGCACAGTACAGTAGAAGTCCGATTATCCAAGCTAAACGGGACCGAGACTACCTTGGATAGTCAAAAACTCGGATATCACGGTGGTAAAAATGATTACCGGTGGAATTGCATTTGCCTGGCTATCAATACTGTGGACCTGGAACAAAATTGAAAAACAGCTATATACAGTACTGAATTTGCTCGACTCTCGATAGATGGATTTATCGAAATCCAGACCGGACGTCCGCCACATTAGTCCGGATGAGCGAGAGTCTACTGTATCTCAAAAGTAACAATAATGAATTTAATGATAGTATCGATAATGATTTGACACCAGCACAATCTACACGAACATAAACATTTGTGTCTAAGTTATTAACCTCACCTCCTTGTATGGACAAATTCTGAATCTTCTACTTTCTACATCATTTTTACAAAATATTCTTTATTTTACAGGTATTTCCAATGTGAAGAGTAGAGAAAGTTTGGTAATGGCCGTGTCTAATAGTGAAGACCCGTTCAGTTCTGCTCCTTTTACATTACCTGGTAAGTGTTTAGACATTCCATTCCAGAACTGAAGTTGTCGCCAAATTGTTAACAAAATGTACATAGTTGAATTTGCGCGGATGTAAATTACTAATTTCTGTCACTTATGTACACTTTTTAACCAAGCCAAACTGATAAGATGACTTATTGAAAGCTATAGCATCTGTTAACACACACCATCTGTCAGTTACAAAAAATAAGGTAGAAAGTAGAAATTTAGACACTGTGTACTGGCTCACTCAACTATGTTGCTTTGTTTTTAAATAAACAATTGGTGCAGCTTGTCCATATTGAGGGGATGTCTTCTTCAGTTTACAAAAGTCAATGGTATTACATTTCTAAATAAACAGTTAGTTTAGAAACAGTTAGTTTAGTTTAGAAATATGTAAGCAATGATGATGTGACCCTCTAGGCATGACCTGAAGTAATTAGAGTAAAAAGTAGAGCATTGCATCCTAGAATGTGATTGTGGAATATAAAAAAAAATCATGTTTAATACTAATCTATATTTTATTTTTAGTGTCTCGTCAGAACTCGAAGTCCGGCAAATCCTCTTCAGCATCCGTCGTAGGTAAGACATGAGCTGTTGAATGCTAACCGCAAATCATATATTCCGCCTAGAATTTATATTGTACTTACAAAAACTTATATAAATACCATTAGAATATTACTAGGATTATATATTTAGAGAATTTTATTTTTAAAGCTTAAAGCGATAAATGTTGGATTTCAACTCAATCATTGTGAGTAGAAGGAATTTTGGTACAAGTTGTTTTGTGATTCTTATTCATTTCAATTACTAGTCAGCCTTTCAACGGAAATAACTTTCATCGCCAACTATTTATAATAGGACGGTTATTTTTCTGAGGGTTTTGGGACGCATTGTATTTGCATAAACATCCCAAAGATAATTTAATTATTCCCAGTTGCCTATAACAAATGTTCAAACAAAATCGCTGTTTTTTATGTCACAGCACTTGTTGTCTTTTCTCTTTTACACAATAACACTTTACATATTAGATCCTCTTAGTAAAAAAATATTTAGTTGGTTATTGGGTTTTCTTAAAACATACAGGTAGGAGTAGCTAGCTTGCCTAAGAAAAGTCTCAGGCTCATGGATTATAAATACACGGTCTTTTGATTTCATACCACGCTCTGAAGAAGATCCACACTAAAATGAAACATTATAGTTCGGCCGCTTAGAAAGCCACCTCCTCCAGCATTGGTTTAGCATTAGCGCGCAGGTCGTTTTCTAAGCGGCCGAACTATAGTAGTATGCTGTGTGGCTTTTTGCATCAATTAGCCTCTAGACTTATTTTTCTTCAGGTAAGCTAGTTGAACTTCCATTATTCCTACAACTTCTCTAATAGATTAATTTTCCTTGTAAAATACCAAACAAATATACAATCATTTGATATAATGTCCCTTTTACTACGGATATTATTGTTCATGTTCACTGTTGGTTTCCAAGCAATGGTTACTTTACTACGGCCACTAGTCATCACATCTTAACAAATATGTACATACTATATAAATGTGATAAAAGATATATGCTTATAGTGTAAGAAATTCCGTTTATTCTCTTGTAATTGTTAGAAAACTAGAAAAATTATGAAAACAATGTCAGTCATAGTGTATTGATATGAGTAGATAAGATGATGGGGCTTCTAGGCCAAAAGAGAAGTAGGTAGGATGATGGGACTTCTAGACCAAAATAGTAGGTTAACAAAAAAAACAGTAAGACTTTTTCTTGGTCTTCGTTTTTGGGCTTACGACCCTCATCATCCTATCTAAGGATATAAATATAGAAACATACACCTTGTTTACTTTATATATATGTATTACAGCGCATCATTAGATTTATATTGAAATGTATAATGTGGAGAAGTAAAACTTATAGTGTGCTATATTGTATACAAAGCTTAGCAGTACAAAGTGCTGGTTAGTTAGTTTTCACATTGTTGCTTTTGTGATTATTAAGCTTTATTTTCTTGGTTTCATATTTGTTTATTCAAGTTATATTCTATATGATATAATGTGCATATCTACTTAATGTATCGATGAATTTATTAGAATTTATTTTGATATCAAGTGGTTTACTAGTTTTATGATGAGAAGTTTCATTTAAATGTCTTAGATTGTGTTCGTAAAGGTGCTCAAAGATTAAAAGGGCAGAATTAAAGACCAAAGAAGTGAAGTGTTTGACAAAGTAATTTTGAGTTTGTGTTATGTCAAATCATTTTCACTATTTATGATATGAATACTTTACAAAGTATAATAGATATTGTACGATGTTATTGTAACGGCTATGAATTTTCTTTTAGTAGGTGAAGAATAAAATTATAACAAGGTAAAATATTGTAATATCAAGTAATTCCAACAATCATAACTAGAGGAATTGTGTTTTAGATATGTTTGAATTCATTTGTGATGAACAAATGTTACCAGTTCAGGACACAAAGTGTATTGTATTCTTTAGTTTTATAAAATGCTCAGTTAAGCAAATTTACTTTTCTTCTTGGTGGTAATTTTGTTGTATTTACTACAAACTATTAAACCAAGTAAAAGTGTTAGATTTTTTACTCCTACTGCTTTTTCTGTTGGTTTATTATCTTATTTTCCAAGTTACTTAAGTCATAAATAAAAATTAAATGGCATATGACCTAATTATTACTTGTGTACAACCATTCATCATATATATTATAACTACAAGTTATATCCCGAATTATTTATGTGCAGTTTATATATTCATATCTTTCAATTGAAAATAGATATTACAGTTTAGGATGTATTATTGGTCAGTTATTGAAAAATTCATTATTACAATCAAATTTTCTTATACTTGAATTATTCAATTGAGAAAAAAGTAAATAAAAACGTGCTCCATGTATTTCCAGACATCAAACACATAATTTTTGGCACAACTATATATCGTAAAAGAATTCTCATTAGAATTTAAATTCAATGGTAAAATGTCCATAGAAATTGTATATCCTGAAAATTACAAATTTTAATACTTATATGTGAAGTATGTGTATCTACAGGAGCTTCTTTTAGTAAAAAGCTACCAGTTTGGATTAAAGGAACATTTTGAAGATCAAACTTAGAACAATTATTATATGTAATTCTTAGCCATTAGGATATCTATCTAAACTAGAGGGCTACAATACAATCAATTGATTTTCATAAGTATGTAATACAACATCTTGATACAACATTCCTCGAACTGTAGTTCTTTGTTAAAATTTTAACGCTTGTCTAAAAGAAAATTATTCATTTTTATACTTTTATGTTTAATGTATTTCTTAATAGTTTATTATTACAAAGGCCAATAAATTGACATAGAACATTTCATCATTAACATTGTATTTAGAAAATGTTTAAACTTAAAAACAAAATATCAGTCAGTCTGTTTAACCTCTTTTTCTGTTGGAATTTATATAAGTATAATTTTCCAAAAAGTGAAATTCCTATAGTTCTCTAGGTACTGATATTTTTATTTAATTTATGACGTAAGTAGAGGATATTATTATAAAATCAGTAATCTTTATAAAATCTTGAGTAGAGAGAGAATATTAGAAATATACTATTGAGAAATTTGGTTTAAATTAAATTTTATTCCAGAATTGTTAACTTAATTTACTTAGAAACCAATATGAAGGTACTCCATCTGCCATATTTTCATATGTTATGTTTTATTGCCATGAGATATTATTTTTTAGTTATTTATTATACTTGGGACATGTCAAGAGGTATACTTATATAAAATAACAATATAAGCATTGAATATTTTGCTCTTAATGTGTTTGTCTGTGTTTTTTGTATCTGTTTGTTCGAAATTCTTTTAGATGCTGTTGTGTGTATTTTATCCCGTGTCAATCCTCTGGTTGTGGGAAACTTTTATTACCAACAGAATTTGTTGTGTTAATTACACTTTTTCACTAATACCTTAAGAAAACATAAAGTACTTAGCGTCAAAATAAACTATTGGTTAGTTTGGGTCAAGTCCAAATGATTATTTCTCATAAGAAAATCTCTAAAATCCCTTGTTTTACAACATCATTAACATGCAAGTGGTAGTGAATTAAACTTTGGTTAGGTTAGTATACAGGTTAGTATAGAGTTAGAAAAACCTAACCTAACCATATTCAACTAGTCGTAGTGAATTAACAGAAAAGTTCAGAAATTTTTAAAACACAATTAGGCTACTACAAAAAACTTGGAATCAATTAACTTCCTTTTCCCAAACATTTACATTCCTGGACTTGGGCCCTTTTAACATTTACCGTTTCTTTTGTTTCTTGACATTTTGCAAAAATTCTACCATATTAATTCTAGTGTTGGCCGTTTGTAGTTTTGAATGTTGAGGGAGTAGATTTTTATACAACGGTTGTGGTTTTGTAGCAACTGATTTATCTATTTTTATTGTGTCTATCATTGACGTTTATTAACTTTATTATGTAAGGGAACGGTCCAAGCCCTGGTCTTGTTACTATCTAACGTCTGCATGTTGTTAGGAAGCATCATCAATTGATGGCCCGATATCAATTATTGGCATCTGGGTCTGGTAACAATCTTGCTAGGAATTGAACCAGTGACCTTCACATTTGAAGATGAGCCATATTGGGCTGTTCTCGTAAATGTTAGTGAGGCTAGTGATGTTGCTACAACTCCTCCCGTTGGAAAATTTGTTGAGTATTTAATTTTTATTAAAAATTAGGTTATTATCAATTAGTACAAATGACCACTACTTTTCCAGAAAAGGTACTTTTAAATTTGGTTTTCAAAGAGTTTCAAAATGATGTGATTTAGTATTGGCTCTTTCGTTGGTGGTGTTTGTATGTTCTTTGTGTTCGTGGTTGTTTCTTTTGTGTGCTTGTTTGTGAGCTAAACAATTTTCCAATTTTGAACCCTTTAAGTATCAAATTAAATTGCCAACCGTCAGTTAAATCGTGTTTTACAAATTACTTAATCCAGCCCTAAAAATTCAAATCATTTTTCAATATAAAAAACTGTGTTTAGGTTAACAAATAATTGTCCCGATGAAATTTTTTATGGTAACAAATTTCAAATTAAATTTAAAAATTAAATGGTTGGCAATTTTTTTATATCAAAGTGCCTTTTTAATTATTTTAGTAGGCTATTTGAAAAGTGTATTCAAATTTAAAATTATCTTAATCATTTAAAATTTGTATTTGGCTTGGATACAATTTTAATGCTAAATAATAATGTATAGTTTTATGTAGCCAGTCTAACCAATGATATTTGTTTGTATTATTTTTAATTGTAGCCCACTAACGAGGGTATTTTACCCTTGACATGTCCCAAGTTTGCGTCTGGAACAGCCTAATGAGTGTCAGGACAAATAAGTCAGATTTACGCTCACTTATTTTTTACTTATCCCAAATGTTGCTTTATTTGTATACAATGCTAGTCGTATTGTTCTGTTTGTTAATATAGACAATAACATCAACAAACCCTGTACTGTATTGTACTCAGAGCAATAAATATATTGGAACGGAAACTTCTTCTTATTTCCTCCCGGACACTACTTCAGGTTGTTCCAGAAAATTAATTTTTAAGTAAATTTAGTTTACTGACAGGAATATACCCCGGTCACAAAATGTAGACGGTTATAGAGGGAGAAATTACAATTCCCTACCATACCTTTGAAAGAACAGCTGTTAATACGCTCAAACTGTCAGACAGTTTAAACATACATTAAGAAACAATAGATGGGAGAACCGAGAAAAACTTCCCCTCAAACGGCCTACATTTTTTGAACGAACTGTAGTACTCAAACTTTAAATAATGCTTTGAGAATGGTATTTTTGAATCGTCATTTGTTATATTTGACAGAAAACTTCTGCTTTAAGTCTAATATGAAACTTGACAAGTCTACTTTTTGGAGGATTATTGAAATCTAGTTTGTTGTGAATTGAAATATACAGTGCATTCTCAGTTTTCTGACCTAAATTGATTGTAAAAAGATCAGATCAGTGGAAAAGTCAGAAAAAGACAGGAACAATACAATGACGTAAACTAACTAAAAAACATTACATTTTTAAAGTTTCTCTGATGTCAAACAATATAAGCCTTTATGTTTGTCTTGAATTTAAACAACCTTCTTTTTCTGTTTTGAAGCCACAATTACACACAACATAAAAATAACTGATACAAATACCTCTATTATAACAGGAAAATATAAGATAAAGTGAGCAGGGTTGGTTAAATAACCAAAAATATGAAAATTGAGTAATGTATATATGGGCAAGTCCTACAAAATTGTTTGCTGGAGTATACTTAAAAGTTAAAACCGACCTAAATAATTTGACTAGAGAACGTATCCAATCTAAGCAAAAAAAGTTAAAAAAAAAAACTATGTTACAGTATGTGGCTGAAGGATCTGTTAGATTTTCTGAAAAAGTTCAGAAGATACTGGTTACACAGAGGTATATCAATATTTTGCCTTAGATGAGGACTAAAGACGTTTAGATTAAAGACAAAATCCATTCCAATTGTCATCAATCTCCTGCCTCAAGAGTTCTATACAAAACTAGCTCAACTGGTCCAGGCAACGAAGAAAAAAACCAAATAGGGGAAATAATTAGTACATAAGCCAACAGGTTCCCTAATCAACATACTAAAAGTACTTACCTATTGTGGTGGAGTTAAGGGGGTGGGAGGCTCTTCCTAACACCTAAATTCCTTCTGTGTTAAATTGTGAAGAACCATTTTGTAGTTAAAAGGACCATAAATTAATCAATTTCGATCAAAATTTTTGAGCAGTTTTTTTTTATCTGATTGTTCTGTTATTTTATGGAAAAATAACAATTAAATTTCAAAATTTAAAAAATTTTATAATCTCAAAATAATATGGATTACCTACCTACTAAATTTGGTCAAAATGGGTTCACAGGTGTAGTATTTAGCTCTGCACACATCCACACATAATCACCATCACTTCGATAACCCCTTATTTTGGGTTAAGGTGGGCCCAAAACAAATATTACCACCCAAAACTCAATCTCAAAAATTTTTGCAGAAGCAATACTTTTTCCATATACTTTGTATAGGGGGAGAAAGTAAAAAGGGACGGGTTTGATTTCTGACATGTACACAAAACATTTGAGAAATTTGGATCAATTCAATTTCCCTCAAATATTAGTCAAAATATTTTTTGAGTGAAAATGCCACTAGTGTTTTCTAAAACTTTAATATGAAAAACTATAAAACCAAAAACAAATAAAAAACACATTTCAAAGACGCAGACTTGACATTGAGGCTGCGGCTGGTTGAGTAGTTAGAATGTGGGACTTCTGTTTAGGGTTTAAATCCCTCTGATGAACTATGGCTTTTAGCTCAGAGAAGTAAGGTACAGAGGAAACAAGCTTGGGACAACCGTGCGCCTTCATCTCTGGTATGTTGGGACAGAAATGTACTTGTGATGAGCAAGGAAGAGCCCGAACCTTGAGCACTGTGCGGAAATTCCTATCACACAGGGTCTTCCTCCAACTTAAGCGATTTAGTACATGAGGGCGAGGGGGACGGTGTGGGACTTAGCCCTAGACACCAGCACTAGTGCTAGACACTTAAATGTACCATGGTGTGTATCCTCTGTTCCGTACTTCTCTGTGATTTTAACTGTATAGTAATGCCAAAACCAGTGTTTCCGAGCCTTGATCTGTAACTATCTAGAAATCAAAATATGAGAGGTCTCTCAAGCTATAGGCCTAAGCACTTTATCTTTACTGAAGAACTCTACACTAAAAGCCATAAAGATATATATACCTCAAAACTTTGGACGTACACAAATTATTGTGGAAGGAATATTAAGGACTTTAATAGCCTATGTGTTGGTTGTGTTTGTCATATAGTAGTTGTTGGTTTAGTAGTTCTCGTTTTTACCCGTAACAAATACACAAGCACACATTTTATTCAAGATCAGAATACCATTCATAGGTAACAATTAATGCAACTAACCTAACAATTGTTGTCTAGAGTTAAAGAAGAGTCAAGCCGAGGAATGGCGCAGTTATCTCTCGACCAACGGGCTCTGCATCAAACCGACGCCATCCCCTAAAGAAGAAGAAGTTGACCCACCCCTATCTTCGTCTCCTCCTTTCGTACGAGCCCCGCTAGAGGACCGGTCAAAATATGAGAAACTCACATTCAACGTCGACGACATTTCATCGGACGACAGTGATGACAATCTAAGAGGTAAAATCTTGTTTTGAGGTATATTATTTATTTGATAGTGTCAATTAGGGTGGCAGATGGGTTGTGCATACACTCAAGAACCCTTGCCCTACCACCCTTGCTTTTGTTCAGTCATCTCAATTGCCGTTAATTTGATACACCTAGCATCTATGTATGACTCTTAGTGTTGGGGTGCTTTTACTCTTGGGGAGCGAGCTGGTCTAGTGGTTAGAGTGCGGGTCTTTGGTCCCTAAGGTCTCGAGTTCAAATCCTGCCAAATCACCAATGGTTTTATCTTAAGTGCTAATGCTGCAACCCCTAGGTCTAGCCTGAAGTAATGTTAAAAACAATTCTAGGCTCGTACCTGGCGTCCTAAAACAAAACAAAAAATTCAAAATCAAAACTTGGTATGCAGAACTGTTAACGTAAGTTTCAGAATGAGCATTATATTTTAATTTAAGGAGGATATTTTACTGGATAAGTTGTTAGGGCCGCTGTTGAATTTGGGCAGCAGTTTATTTGTAAAGTATTTTAAATATTCTAATCTAATCTCGAGGTAGAAATGATTTGATGATTTTAGTCAGATATATAGTAAAATTAAAATAACCTTATCTAACCAGTTTGTGATTTTCAGAGGGAAAGAAGAGTGATATATTGAGGAACGCAAAATTTGGCCGAAGAAAGAAGCCTGGTGTGAAAGGGCGGACAAAAATTTCCAAGAAAAGAAAGAACAGTAAACAACCAGGAGAGGTGAGTGGGGAGGTTTCAGACGATTCTATTGGATCAGCGAGTGACTTGAGAGCGCGAGAAGAGGAAGAAGAAGAAGAGAAAGGGACAGGGGAGACGGAAACAATAAATGATAGTGTGATGACTTGTGGATCCTCAGCCTACCACGCAGAGACTGAGAGCATGGCGTTGGAAGAAACAATCAACAAATGTCCGAGAGTGCCAGAAGTGCCTGAGACGGAGGGGGAGACGGACATGTTGTTTGTAGGTCATTCCTACGGGGAGAAACCTCTCCTAGCAGATGACGAGTTGGACACTGAGGACGAAAATCCACCGTCTCCACCATTACTAATAAAAATTGAAGAAGAAACACCTTCCAAAGACGTCTTTGCTCTAGCTCCATTTCAAAAGCCAGATTCCAAGAAAAAAACTCAGAGAGAAGTGAACATCACTCCTGATTCGCTGCTGCAATTGTCAACGCCTTCTCCTCCTCTTCTAGTCGCAATATCTCCTGTGGTCGCCGAAGGATCACTGGTGGACCTCAGTGATGATAGTAACGACACTAATCACGATGTAAGAGATTCCGGATTCAATACTTTTACTGGAGATTACGACTCTAGTAAAACTTTTCCTATATTTCCTCAGGACATTGTCCCCGCTGAAAGTATCATCAACGACGATAAAGACTTATTCGGGTCTTCTCCGTTTACCAAACACAGCAGCAACCCGTTTGCAGACGGTGAGATCGTTTCGACCAATAACGGTTTGTACCACAAAACGTCGATTATTATCGGCGGGTCTGACAGGAAGGCAAGCTTCTCTGAGGAACAGAACAGAGATCCTTTCCCTAAGATTAATAATCTGTTTGTCTCAACAGTTCCTACTAGTTCTAATAAAGATCTGTTCGGTTCATTACCTTTCAATCACTTACCAAAGACAGCTCAGGATACACAGTACTTTCCACACAGGCCGACCTCTTTGTCCGTGAATGTAGAAAGTTTATCCAAAGAAATTTCCAACAATCTTTCGCAGAGGATTGAAGAGTTAGGTCTTGAAGCACCTCCTGACACATCGTCCCCGGAAGCGCTAATGCTTCCTGAGGCGGCTGAAGAAACCAACTTGAAAACAAAGAAAGATCACCTAATTCATAGCCTATCGGAAAAGTGTAAATACCACTTGATAGAAGAACCGCGAAAGTCGCCACTCCAGGGGAAGCACAAGATTATAAAATCTTCTGTTTCTAAGAAAACTGGTAAAATCTCAAAGAAAATCAGTAAAATATCCAAAACAGGGTTTAGCAACATGAGTTTCGAGGATTTTCCGAGTGACGATGTAGAGGAAGGAGTCGATCACTCGAGCTCAGTACCTTTTGAAGTCTTGAGGGATGAAAAGCCTGTTGAAACCGATCGTAGGCACGGTTCTCTAAAAACACGGAACAATCCGTTCTCTTGAGGGCCGAAGGCGCGAGCCACCTCAAACTACCAGGTGCTACACGCTTGTAAGTGATTATTGACATTCCTTTCTCAAACTTCACCTGTTACTTGACAACTCTCCAACCTCAACAACTCTCAGCAACAATTTTAAATTTTACATAAACATAGATATTTTTACATCCGTCATGTAATAGAAATAGAAATTTCAAGACTAACAATGCTAACAAACTATAAAACACGTACCTAAATAAGATAAAACTTTGTAAAGTGTTAAATAGCATTTTAACCCAATGGTTTTTCTTATTTAAACATTTAATGCTTTACTTTTAGCGTCCAATTAAAAAAGTGCTTTTATCTTAAATAACTATACTTTTAAAATTATATTTTAATAAACTGTTCTCTTTTTAAAATCCCGTAATTAAGTGTTAATTAGTGCTTTAACTTCTTAGTTATATTTAAAAGTTATAGCTAATTAAGTAGATATATAATTTAGATTTGTTATTGACTGTACTAGGATTGTTTTCAAAGTAAGAATTTTTATGAGTGCAAATTGTGCATTTCCCAAAATTAGAAAAATGTGTGTATTTCTACTTATAGTAATACTAGAAACAAAAGAACCCTGGGCCGTTTCGAGCCGCGCAGGTTTGAATGGTACGCCACACCTACCTGCGCGAACCACGTGATCTTTTCGTTTCTGCGCAGGTCGTTTTGTTCTTGGGATGTCTATAACCACTTAGTAAACTCTTTAATCCAACAAAAATGATTCAATCTATTGCAAATTACAACTCTTCTGACTCTTCATTTCAACAAATCTTTTTTGTAAATTTTTCCGGAATGATATTTTTATTTGTATTTCTCAACGAGACAAATCTGTATGTGAGGGTTAATAAAGTAAATTAAATAATATTTTTATCCAATAAGTATTGCTTTTTGGTTCAATTATGTCTAAACTGATTAACTTAAAAACCCAAATATTCAAAAAAATCATATTAAGAATTTGCTAGAGGACACATGCTGCTCCGCAGCGTTGAAATAAATATCATATCCAAGAAATAAAATGAAAAAATAAAATTAATTTGATTTATGATTTTTGATTGAGTATTACAGTATCTTGAACTTTACTGATGCAAACAATCAATAGCTCAAATTAAAACCTATAATTTACTGATTATTTTGAGTATAAAACATATAAAAATACAAACAATACTAGAGCTATTGATTTTTTATCTTAGAAAACCTTTATAAAAATCATTTTTATGTTGGTTGTTCACCTTTCGTTTGCTTGAAACTCGTCCGATTTGAATAGCTAATAGTTTAAATGAAAGCCGGTATTTCACTAAAGGTTCTTAAACAAAAATTTATAGGATTATAACTGGTGAAATACATTTTAAATTGAAGTAAGAATTCAAAAATAAATCAAATGTATGTTTTATGGTCGAGTGATACAGTGAGATATGCCGATGCTTGATTTGAAATCTGTGTGTGCATACCTTTGATTTGTTGGGACCTCAATCATGAAAATCGGTCGGGTAGAAGGTCCAACCGAACTTGGAAAAGAAACAAAATTTTTGTAATATTTAAGATAATTTGACTTTTCTTGTGTATAGGATTAATTACAATTTAGTATCGTTTATTGTCAACTACCCCAACGTGGTTCCATTTTAACTTTTGGATTATCAATACTCAACTAGATGTGTTTTGCCAATCACTCTTGTCCTAAACGTTCTCATTTCATCAAGAATTGAAAAACTTTTTTAATGAATAACAAACGATTTCAAATTATAATCGAACTCTAACAGAAGTAGTGTGGTATTGGAATTGCCAAATTTCAAATTTTGTCATAGTTTATTCGGATGTAAAACTCTAAAAGTTCTTACTTTTAAAACAATCCTTAAACTTTCATAGTCAACCTTATCTTATAACAGGCCTACTATATGTTTCCATTTTGCCACTAGTATATGTCTATGTATGAATACAAAAGTTTAAATTATGCTTGTTACAGTCGCAGAATAACTGTGCTTCATTTTGTGTCCAAAACTTGCTAAGTCTTCCAAAGTAAATGTTCGACAAGCATTTCCGTTCGGCAGTTATAGATATAGCAAGGTATTGGTAGACCTACTTTGTTATACAGGGTGTTTTTTTAAAAACTTGCATCTTTATTTATGTAAAAACCGCAATAGATAGAAATATGCAGTTTGCGGGAATCATCTATTGACGTAGGGGGACCAATTGTTTTGAATTCAACGTTACATTCACATTCCCCCCCTTTCCCCCCCTGCCCCCAACTTATTTTTTTTAAATAGCAAGGTACCCCTTGTGACATATCAAATAAAAGAGCATAAAAAAAGAAAATGTTTGATGAAAAAAAATTGAAAATCGGTTCATAAATTTGTGAGATATCCCCCCCTCACCCCCCCGGAACTTAATTTTTTTTAAATAGCAAAGTACCCCTTGTGACATATCAAATGAAAGAGCATGAAAAAAGAAAATTTTTGGTTAAAAAAAATTTTAAATCGGCTCATGAATTTGTGAGATAATCACCCCCCTTTTCCCCTACCCATAACTTGTTTTTTAATAGCAAGGTACCCGCCCTTGTGACATATCAAATGAAAAATAAATTTTGCCAAAATTTTTCTTTTTTCATGCTCTTTCATTTGATATGTCACAAGGGGTACTTTGCTATTAAAAAAAAATTAAGTTCCGGGGGGGTGAGGGGGGGAATATCTCACAAATTTATGAACCGATTTTCAATTTTTTTTCATCAAACATTTTCTTTTTTCATGCTCTTTTATTTGATATGTCACAAGGGGTACCTTGCTATTTAAAAAAATTAAGTTGGGGGCAGGGGGGGAAAGGGGGGGAATGTGAATGTAACGTTGAATTCAAAACAATTGGTCCCCCTACGTCAATAGATGATTCCCGCAAACTGCATATTTCTATCTATTGCGGTTTTTACATAAATAAAGATGCAAGTTTTTAAAAAAACACCCTGTATAAAGCTTCTTTTACTTTTAGCTTAACTTATATAGTCCAACAATGTTTAAGGTAAACTTAGTCATTATTTATTCACACTTTTATACTTTCAGCCTTTTAGTTAGCTTTTGTTTTCGATACCTAACCTCAGGTATTTTTGGCAATACTTGCCAGAGTATAGAAAATGTACACTTGATATTTTTGCTTAGCACTTAGTCACTTCCCCGTACAAAAGTAGGTATGGGTGTTACTGCATTTGTTATGTGTAGAAAAAGTATATTTTATTAAATTGTAAATAGAAATATCGTATAAGGAAGAGTTGAGTAGGGAAGAGGTTGTCTTAAAAGGTGCTGTGATTCGCAGGACTGAAAGACTGAGTCGTAGGTAAGGAAGCCTTCCGCTGCTATTCAAATTATTTTCTCATAAAAAATTATAAAATTATGTTTTAAGATAATATACGAGTAAATATTTTAACACAAAGCCAAAGCAGCCTCTTTGATGAAAAAATGGATGAAAATTAATATTTTGTACTGTATTTTATAGGTTTTCTGGCTGAATACATTGAAAATTACAGCAAAATCGCTTAGCTAATCGATTATTAGATGCTTCCAAAAAAGTTATTTTATGGCAAGTGCTTGAAAAGGATTAAAAGAATCTCTTAATTCATTCTTTTTACCAGAATGAGGCCTAAGTTTGGTGTTGTATGAATATTCCAATTTTTAATTCTTATAAAACGTTATTTGTAGTTGATCTTGAGTGTGCTCAAGATAAATATTATTATCAGTTTTAAATTCATCACAATACATGCATTTCTCCATTAACTGACCAGTATTAAAACCAAAATTTATTTACTTTTACAAAAATGTACATATTTTTGTACAACATATCTGAAAAAGATACTTAATTTAATTTCAAATACCGTTATATTTGTAGGAAAAAGCATTTAGCTTGGATTAAATAAATATATACGATGGAGAGGACACAGGTACTGTAATTCACCTGATGTAAGGTTGCAGACGAGTCATGAAACACACAAAAACACCACATAATATGTGTATTATGTGTGTGTTTTTATGTGTTCGTTGATTCGTCTGCAACCTTTTATCAGGTGAGTTAAATGACGTGTCCTCTCCATCCTATGTATTTATTTAAATTTCAAATACGTTATTTAATCATTTTTACATAACAAGTATTTAATTTTCTTTTTTACATACACCACAATATTATAAACTAAAATATTTCAAAATTATAAAACCCCATCAATTCAGGTTGTAGGAATTTTTTTAATAGAAAACTTGTAAAAGTTGCTGTCAGAAAAATCTATTTTTAATGTTTTCCCCAAAACCCATTTTTAGTTAGTTCAAATAGTACTATAGATTCTTTTGTTCAGATTCATATAGCCTTGCATCTTAGATGGTTCGGATGGTCATCCATGTATAACCTAACTTTCACTCTAACTCTCACCCATGCTTTTGTTTATAGGAATGTAAAAAAATACCGGTCTCGACTTGTTTTGTCTATATGATTTGTAGTATAAACAGTTTAACTAGCTTTGGTATAACCTAATGATTGTAAATGAGGGAAAGTATACCGTACCACAAAAATAGTTTATGGTTTTCTTCCAGAATCTATACTAAAGTATTATTTTTGAAATCCTTTTGAGTAAATTTTTTTAGAAAATAAAAGTGTTTACAAGATCGGTTGTAAAATGTAAAGAGTTAGTCCTACTGTTGTTTATTGTGTATTGTTTATTTATTTATGTATGTTTTATACTAAACCAGAAATGTATTGTGGTTGTCAGTACTGGCAGCTAGCTGCAAATTGCATATTTGTTTATATATTAATTACTTATTTGAATGTCATAGTGCACACGTTTGAAAACACTTTGCTAATTTAATATCAGGCCGTTACCAGAAGTTCTAGTGTAGTTTAGGTTTTAGGGTAGTAAAAGGTGGTCAAAGAATTAGATGGCACTCATCCCGTGAATTTGAGTCAATTCCATCCTATCGTGGTAAAATAGTCGTATAATAATGTGTCTTTTGAAATATTCGGTGTTTAGAAAAGTTAAAAATTATGTTGATTTAAATCAGTTAGCCTTAAAATTAGAACAAAATGTGTAAAATATTATTGGTTCTCCAGTTGGTAAATTCATAAATTGAGAAAATTAATTTAATTGACATTTTTACTATGTAAACGTTATTCATTATTTGGAACATGTTGAGTATTGTCGAGTTTAAATGCATCACTTCAGCTAAGCTGCTTATTTTTTCTTTAGCAACCGCTCGAACCTTTTTTGTTATGGGCAAACATAAGACACAAGTGTGAACTCAGAGATGTAAGATACTGAGGATACGAGCCATATGCATCCATGAAGAGGAAATGAATCAATTTTATATAAATTAAAAGCAAGAAAAGTATAAAAACCTGACGACCACGTCGCTGATGCGATACCTGTGGGAATTCTCTAACAAAGCTTGTGGGACAACCGTGCACTTTCAGCTCTGGTATGTTGGGGCGGAAATATACTTGTGACAAGCAAGGAAGAGCGAGGACAGTGCAAAAATTCCTTTCTCACAAGATCTTCCCCCACCGTGAGCGTTGTAGTACATGAGGGACACCAGCTACTAGACACATCTTAAGTACCATTGAATGTTTTCTCTGTATCTTACTTCTCTGTGATCTAAAGTATGCCTAATATTATGAAACTGGTAATAGACAGTTTACAAGAAAGATTTTTTTTTACGATTCCAAGCAACGGATAAGCTTACACTGAAACGATTAGTGGATGTGCCACTTTTTTTATATAGCCATGCTCGCCTCCCGTACATTAACGTAGGCTGCACTCATCAAACGAAACTAATTTTTCAGTTGTCTTGCATTTGTTCAGTGTAATTAATAGTTCAATCTTTGTAATGAAAGGTAATTACCGAACTTAACGGTGGGTAGGAGGTATTCAACACATTGTATCTACCATGTAGCACGTTAGGTGCCTTCTTAGTCGTAGAACTGATCTGTGCAAGCTTACGCAACGCATGCCTTCGCCACTCAACAATTGTACAGAAGACTGAAAACCTTATAATTCTAATTGAAATTTTAATAAACGTTCAATAAGCTCTGAATGTCTAGTTCGGCAGAAGCTTAAGGAATTATTTTAAGACAATATTTCATGCGACGAGCATCTAAAATTGTATTATTTTCATGTCTACTTACAGGTTGTTTCAGAACGTAGCGTAAGAATTTAATGTTTAAGTATAAGTGTTTAACCGATCTTTAATTATTTGTGTTCATTTTACATTCCGAGTAATATGTGAGAAAGACATTGTGATGAATACATGTATAATATGTTTATTTATTGTAATTTTGGTTTTTTGTGCTTTTATACCCAAACTTGTTTCCGAGTGTGGGCAGTTTTGCTTTACGATATTTTATTTCATCGTTCGGTTATTCTAGTTTGAATATTGTATTCATAAATCTACAGTATTATATAAGTATGCCGAGATAGTAGAATACTTGTATTTTTTGCATTTTATTGTTATTTATTTAATTTGTTTATTGTTTGTGGTTATTGTTATTAAATGTGTATGCAAACTTCTAATGTGGTATTTCTGTGCGTCCTGTAACAGCAAACTCAAAATAGTTTCTTTTAGAGGTGATTAATAGTAGTTTACACAACAATCGTGTAAAGATAGTCTTTGCGACACAAGTAGAAATTTTGCGAGTGCCTTAAAAACTTCTACGGGTGTCAGGAAGGCTCATTACATGAGTTAATTACATTACTTTACCTACGGCTATTTAAATAAACTATTAATACATAATGAGAATCAACCACAAAATCTAATCTCAAGCAGAGTTTGCGTTTGACGGAGAGTACAAAAAAGAAACAGAAATAATGTATGTATTAAAAATCAACAATTGAATTGGTCGTTCTGATAAGTTATCGTTCGAAGCATTTTACTTCTTTTCTCTCAATCCTTGAACACCATTTGTTTACTTTACCACACTAGAGCTGTAAAGTAAGTAAACAATGCAGTAAAGTGAATCTTTTGGGTTCTAAAAATGTTATTGAAAATGCTAGTTTAACATCTCTTCTGCTGTGTCTGCAGGACATGTTTATAATTACAAAATTACAACAATCCAAAGAACACTAGTTGCTATTTGGAGCATTTCGGTGTAATCAACACTTCTTCAGTGTTCACAATAGAAATTTTGCTTCCGAGACAAAGTGTGAAACATGATTACTTGTTTGCACTTGTTTTGAGCCACTTTCACTCTATAGTTTTTTACAAAACATTTCAATCATTTGTCGACGACATTGGTTGTCAACGCATGTTTTAAACTCAGGTGCTTTCTGTCAAATTCAACTACCCAAACATTAAAAACAATATGTCATTAAATCAAATGGTTCATATTAAACATGTGCTATAGAAAATTGGTCAAGATAATTTACTGACAAGACAAATCAAAACAATTTATTACAACTTTCTAAATTGTTATATAAACATACAAAATTAAAACTGATTGTAGAAAATATAAGTTTAAACTAAAGCTGAATGAAATATTTTGTAAATAGAAACTACCTAAACGTGAAAAAAACACATAAGCACAACAAAAACAAATCAATGTTTTTCAGTATGTTGATGCATTTAAACACGATATAGCAACTTATAAGTAGCTTAATAATATTGTACGTGGTTCAAAATAGATAAACTACTTCTTAATGTTTACTAAAACTAAAATACAATTACGGTACATGAAGGTATAAATTGTTTAACAGTCAACTTATTTTGTTTGGATCAATTTTAAGCACAGATAAGGGAAACTAGTTATTCCCTCGTCTGTGTCATAAGTCAGTTATGTATCGAACCTGTTTAACACATTCACTGCGGGCGTATCCGATCGGATAAGGGCTGAGCGCTGTTCAGGTGCTGCCGTAACCGATGGGATACGCTCGGCAATGCCTTTCGTATATCATAGTTTTTGCTCTAGCGTCGGTCGAAGGCGGACCTATACCACGTTAGCGTGTAGTGGGTGACTTGCTTTTTCTTGTGTTAAGGTTGGTAGTAAAATTTCCCCATAATATCCCTGTCTGGCAAACTTAAAAATCAACTTGTTGTCCCGTCTTTCTCCCTCAAATTGGCAATACTATGGGACCGGCTACGTTCCAAGCAGTGCTGCTATCTGTGAGTGTTTAGCGAACCACGTCGACTCTTGTTATAAAGCAGGACATCACCGCACGTTATTTGCTATTCGGCATCTTGAAATATGAGAGCCAATAGCCCGGCAATCGGGTTTGTTCGACGCTGCAGGCTGCGCCGCACTGGGGCTACGCCTGCTGTTTGATGGCCCGCAGCGAACGTGTTAAGGGCTGAAAACACCAAAACTGCCAATACATATTTTATCTTATTGCTTGTTGATATCGATTCTCTCACTTAATGTTAATGGCGATTTTAAATTACAACAAAAATTTTATTTTGGTTGAGAGTAGTAGTAGTAGGTTTTTATACCTACATTTTTTATTTTGTGTTATGGAGCATGGCCAGCTTTGTGGTTGGTACCACTGTACTTCCCTACCCTGGCGGCCCAGCTTAAAATCCTGTCAATCACAGAATAGCCTTTAGCTATCTAATAATTCTGTCATCCATCTACGGTTCAGACAAACTTTCATCTAGGCTGTAGGGTCATTTATAAAATAAACGCTATCACCAAACTGATGCATACTTTCTCTCATTAAATTGTCAACAACTCGTGTAATGTGTAACGGTGTAAGCAGTGGGAGTAACTATGATGTTTTGTGGATAAAATTCACTGAAATTTTTAAAGATTGATAGTCATCTAACTTATTTGACAACCTTACAGTCTATGTAACCCTAGAACTTATTACAACTGAGGATGACGTTGTAGGCAGCGATGCAGACCCACAGTCCGCAGTCGAGCCAAGATGTTAGGATGGACACCAGTAGATAGTATGCCGAGTGGATGTTGTAGGTCCGACGATACCGCTCGGCCAGAAGCGGAGGATCTGGTTGTAGATAGTCCAGAAAGTCGTAAACAGTTCCACATGACAATCGTTCGAATACCAGTTGAGCGAGGTTGCCGTTAGCCTGTAGACAGTATTTTAACCAGTAAAACAGGTTACATATTTTGTGTTCGTATTTTAAGCTGAGTTTTTCTAGAGGCTGAAACTGTCTGTCTTCAGTAATTTAACGGTACTATTTTACTAGAAGCGGAGTGAACCGGATAAGCGGAAATTACTTCGCGTTCAGTTTCCTAGTCCGCGCCTAGGAAGATCCAGCTTTCAGCTGAAAAGAGTGCATAATGAGTGTTGAATAGAGGAAGATCATCTGTGTAGCTTTGTTACTAAGATCAGCTGTTTCATTAGTCATGATTTATTAAATGTCCAATGACCAAGAACAGCTGGTTCCAGTTTTGAAATAGAAAATTTTACTGTCTTTTCTCAGGATCAAACCCTAACCACCCACCATATGATTTCTAGGCAAGCACTATAACATCTTTAGAGAATACATTTTGTACGCTGTTTCTTAAACCATTCTATTTGAGTACCTTTAATGGGTTACCCCTCTATAAGGTGCATTAGAAGACGTAAAGTTAGTTACAACAGACACAAATTCAATTCAATCTGTTTGTACTTCAACTATCTAGGCGAGCATAATGAAACAATAACACCTCAAAGACTTGGCAAGTGCTGCAATCTTGGATCCAAGTTGAAAACTACTCTATGCTTATTGCTTGACCAGTGTTTTAGTGAAACTGACAGTTGCGGTCTAAGGCATTGCTCAGCCAAGAGACAACAACAAGAGATTGAATGGAGCAACTTTTTTGTTAAAGGTCAGTTTGAAAACTGCAGCATTTATCATCAACCATATTATTGTATACAAAATCAAACGAATGAATAAACCTCAGACTAAAAAAATATCTTGCAGACCTTCAAATTTCAGCAGAATCTAAGAAAGCCTTGACTGTGGCAACAGCCGGCCATTAAGATGGAATGTTTGTATACTTTAGAACCCTAAGTCAGTAAACTCACATTTAATTGACTAGAAACGTTTTTCTTGTACTCTCGACACGTAGCAAAGTATCCAGCCGTAATGATCCAAGCTTGTGCAAACAGTAAAACAGCTGCTACAACTCCTAAAGCTGCCAAGATGTAAAACTTTGGCGGTTCTCTTGTGGGAATCGGATTCTTCCTGAAACAATGATTGGTACGCTTTTGAATATGCAAGTTGAATTAGAACAACAATAATGGATGAACAGATGGACCCAAAGTAGTGAATAAAATTTATTTAACACATTTCACGGGGAATTCATAGTAGTATTACTATTTATTGCATGGACATGAAAAAAACAATTCTACAGTTATTGTGTGGTTCTATAAGGGGCTATTGGAATTTTAGAAGTGAATACTGTGTTCCTCTAGGGAGAAGGGCTTCTAGAGGGATATATTTGGGATTCTAGAGGAGAATATTAAGAGATTAACTCCAACATTTATTACTTAATTTTCACCCCTGAGGCCGTCCATCAGTAAATTAAGAAATTCTAGATTTAAATACTGGGAGATTATAAAGGAAAGTATTAGGGAATTCTAGAGGGGCTATTACAGACCCACTCAAATGAAAATAATTATTTTATAGTTTCATATTGGCCACAGGGGCAAAGATGATCAAATGGTTAGATGAAGGGAATTCTGTAGTGTATGCTTACATTCAAATCACCCCACAGAACTGCCTGAGGTTTTTGTGTGATAAAAGCTAAACCCAGTGGTTTTGAGGCTACCTTATGTTCCATTAATATAGAAAACGCAAGAAGTTTCACATGCAAGGAGAATTTTTTTGTATCTGAGAACTACATCCGCTACAAGCCATTTGATGAATTAGTTGAGGGAAAAAACGGGGGAATTAGTAGAGGGAAAAACAGTTTAAACTGTTTCCATACAGTGGCGGTCTCAGGATTTCATTTCGGGGGGGGGGGGGGGATGACCATCGAGGGGCATGGGGATATCCCCCCAAAAAGGGGGTCTGGGGGAAAAATGTGAAATTTAAAGCGTAAAATTATATTAGCAAATTTCCCTATAGGGAAGTAGCTATTACCGTAGGTCTCATGGTAAGACTTAGGCCCGGGACCGATTTACTTTTTCATTTTGATGTCCCCAGAGGCCAAAAACACCATTCGTTCAAATTTTTATATATGTATATATATATATATATAGGTATATATATAGATTTATATATATACTAGCTAACCCGGCGAACTTCGTATCGCCTAAGTTATAGGTTTCCCCTAAGACAGACCGATGGAAAGAAAGTACCGTTACGTTTAATTTTCAAGATGATCTCGTTCGCATCGCTGAATCACGTCCTGGTTGAAGTTCGTTCGCTACGCTCACTCACCTTTGGGTTGGAGCTCGTTCGCTACGCTCACTCACCTTTAGGTTGGAGCTCGTTCGCTGCGCTCACTTGCCTTCAGGTTAGCTCGTTCGCTACGCTAACTCGCCTCCAGGTTGAAGTTCGTTCGCTATGCTCACTCACCTTTGGGTTGGAGCCCGTTCGCTACGCTCACTCACCTTTAGGTTGGAGCTCGTTCGCTGCGCTCACTTGCCTTCAGGTTAGCTCGTTCGCTACGCTAACTCGCCTCCAGGTTGAAGTTCGTTCGCTACGCTCACTCACCTTTTGGTTGCAAATTAGCTGTTGTCATAAATGTAAAAGAAATAATAGTGCTGCACCCTGTTGGTAATCCTTGTAACTTTAATGCTATTGAACATCATAGAACAGAACCAACTTGTTTAATTGAAACAGCTGTTAAGATTCATTAATTCCATTTCTCATAAGGTTAACATGGGAAACTCCAGAGCCACTGGGGGGGAGCCCTTTTAAGAATTTCGAAACGGGAAATAGTTTACGTCCGATTCGCATACCTACAGAATTTACACACCAAATTTCATAACGATCGGTGAAGTCGTTCCGGAGGAGTTTGCAGACAAACACTGTGACACGAGAATTTTATATATTAGATATATATTTATAGTTCGCATGGCTCAATCACGTCCTGGTTGAAGTTCGTTCGCTACGCTCACTCACCTTTACGGTTGGAGCTCGTTCGCTGCGCTCACTTGCCTTCAGGTTAGCTTGTTCGCTACGCTACCTCGCCTCCGGGTTGAAGTTCGTTCGCTACGCTCACTCACCTTCTGGTTTCAAATTAGCAGTTGTCAAATATAAAAAAAAAAAATAATAGTGCTGCACTCTGTTGGTAATCCTTGTAACTTTAATGCTATTGAACATCATAGAACAGAACCAACTTGTTTAATTGAAACAGCTGTTATGATTCATTAATTCCATTTAAATATGGGTACTTATTAGGTTTACATGGGAAACTCCAGAGCCACTGGGGCGGAGCCCGAGAGTCCGATCAGAATAAAAACCACTTAGTTTTCCTATTTAATGCCTAAAGAATCAGTGTACCAAATTTCAGCCTCCTAGGTAAGTGGGAAGTGGGAGAATTAGTGATGAGTGAGTGAGTGAGTCAGTCAGTCAGTCAGTCAGTCAGTCAATCAGTGAGGGCTTTGCCTTTTATATATATAGATATATATGTGTCCGTGAACACGATAACTTGAGTAATTTTTATCCGATTTTGATGAAATTTGGTTTGAAGGTGTAAGGCAGGATAAACTTGAATGAGTTCGCGATCCAGCATGATCGGACCATGGGAACAGGGTTTTATGGGGGGTTTATGGGGTAAAAATTGGTTTTTCTCACTTTTGACCCTCAAAACACAACATTTCCCAATTTTTCTCTAAACCTTCTTAAAGAGCTTAAAAAAACAAACAATTCAGTATATCAAAGTGTTTTTGTACGGTTATTGGTTACGGAGAAAACTAAAAAAATTGTAAATTTAAAATTCCCATGTTATTCTTATGGAGAATATTGTAAAATGTTGTAGTTTGCTTGTTTATGGATATCTTTTGATCAAACTTGGCAAATATATTCATTTTATACTAAGCAATAATTATTTTACTTACAACACACACTTTATTAGTTTCCTTGTAGCAGTAAACCTAGGTACTCGTTAAACCTAATTTTATTTAAATAGATCAATTGAAAAGCAATTCAGCCAAATGGAAATTCGCTTAGACAGCAGGTTAGCTGCGGCGGGGGTATTTTTATACATATTTGAGCTCTAAAATATGCTCAAGCTAACAGTATTTATGTTAGCTAATAAAATATAAAATATTCATCCCCCCCCCCCACGGACTGCCGCTGTTTCCACACAAAGGATATTTAAATAGTACTAAGAACTCAGTCGTAAGTACTAAGAACATTAAAACATAACTAATTTGACACAAAAACATTTTCATACCTTGAGCCATCCTCATGGAAAGTAACCGTCCGTCTCTTCACAGTAAGTTTCTTAGGAACATAAACCCTATAGGCATGATAGAGAGCAGCAACAGCAGACCAGGCGAGAACGGGAAGTTGGACGAAGACGGCGAAACGGCAAAGTCCGCCCGCACCTCCTACAAACGTGTTGAACGTAACCACGCTGTACAAAATGCAACCGCAGTTAACACTGATGCAGGAGTTGAGCGTCGGGTCCCAGTAGAGCCAAGCGATGGCGAGACTTGAGGAGGAGACAAGGCCGATTACGAAGCAGCTCACGTACAACACGAGCAGACGACGCTCAGCATCCATCACCTGTTGTAAAAAATTGTAATGCTTCAGTTGAGGAATTTTCAACCACAAACATTTCACATAACCATTGACATTGATACTTAAGTGGAGTTTTTAAATACCTGTGGTAGCAGTACCATAGCCTGCTTGTTTTCAGAATATTTTTGTGTAGCAAAATATGATAATAGTACATTTTTAAAAGTAAACATGATGTACAGTAAATTCGAATTTCCCCATTGTAGACTAAGTGATTTTCTGCTTTTAAATTGCACTTTTATTCAAAGAGGTTCATAAAAAAAATTAAACATTTTGATTCTTTACAATAAAATCCACCAATAGTGTAAGACAGTGCAGATGAGTACTTAGGTTTACTGCACCAAGATACATAACCAACTGGCAACTGGTTTAGTTTTAGTCTTACAAGCCTAAAATAATGGAAAAAAATGTAGGAGCTTGTTCAAATAGATGCTGGTTTACACGGTTTGATCCAAACCTTAAAACAATTTGAATCTTATAAAAACAATAAGTAATTTATACTTATCAAATCACAATTCAGTGGTTTATATCACAAATTTGAACAGTAAGTTGTTTGATCCCAGGAACCCAAAACGTCAAAGTAAAGTGGTCCCTAACCAATCCATAAAGACCATTTACTTCTTTACACACCATCATACAAAATTAACTCCATAACTCACACACAAACCCCTAAACAAAATTACTCAGTTAACTTACAATCACGTCCACATTCACGCACACATATTAACAGATCCTGTCATATTAGAGTGTTACTGTAACGCAGGTGATAAGGGGAGAGAAGATACCTGTTATCAGTGTGAGTGGTGAGATAAGGCTGGTCAGTAGAAGGCTGAGTCTTGCCAGATATTTAGCACATGCCATCTTTGTTTGTTCTCTGTAAATACCCCCCCCCCCCCCAATACCCCCAACTCCTCTCCGCAAACAAACACAAAGATCTGCTGTAGGTCAAATCAAGTAACTAAACAAAGTAAATTGGTGAATGTAAACCGCTATTTATTAACTGTATTGATTTATCATCAGTTTTCAGTGTTTCACTTTAATGATTTATTTTGTCAATTAATTATTGACATATTTTAACTTTCTTTCCCTATAGTTTATGGGGAAAGTATTGTTTTTGACAACAAGTTTGAGTTTTGGGAGGAAATATACATTACGGGCCCAATTGAACCCAAAAAAGTGATTTTTGAAGTGATGTCTGTGTGGAAGAGCTACAGACTACACATATAGCAAAAATCTGACTAAATCTGGTTTGTGTGTACTATAATCCATGGTATCAACAGTATTTTTTTGGAAATTTTTATTTTAAATGGTGATTTTCTCATAAAACCCATCAAATAATGTAAAACTTATGATTTTCACAAATACGACTTGAACAAGTTTGACGAAATTCAGAATGTTTTTGTCCTTTGAAACTCTCAAACAAAAATGGAACAGCCTCCAATGCTGTAAAAATTACGGTTTGAATGTAATTTTGGTGATTTACCCATAAAATATCATAGTTACTCCCACCGCTTACCCATTAGCCTATAAGAGTTTGACAAGCTATAATGGAGGGATGTCTGTGTGAGTTTGCTGATAATGTTTCATTATGTATTATACAGGGTGTCCCACGTAAGGAGTTTCAAAATTTATTACAGAAGAACGGATTAATGTACAAGGATGAAATACGATTTTTTCCACTAAATCAATCCCAAGGATTAACGTAACAATATTTTTAGCTCTTTTCCGATTCAGGGTGTGCCAAAAACTGAGGGTCACTAGTTTGAATCTCGGAATTTTCAAAAGGTAAACATATGTCATGTTATACATCATTTTAAAGGTATTTAGTAGACAAACATTTTGGCAAAAACAGAAATCACTTATGTTTTTCCGTTTCAAAATGGCAGCAGTTTTTGGGAAAAATTAATATTTATTTAATACTCTGTGTTTCCTATACCAATGAACTTATTAACCCTTCTCTGGTTGAATTTTCTTACTCGTTATGAAATTAGCTTTACTGTGATATGCTACAAGTAGCCTAGTTTTTTTTTTAAATAATAAAAATTCCCAACAATTTGAAAATGCCCATTTTTCAAAATTTTGTAATAGCAACATATGTCAAGTGGCACGTAATTTATGTTGCTTTTAATACTTAACAACTTTGTAATTTGCACTTACTTCGTATCTCTTTTAGTTTTTGTCTAAACAACAAAAAACCTAATTTTCCTATATCAAATTCATGTTAAGGGTTTAACACTAATGGTCCCTATATCATTTAGTGTTATACCCACATAACATGCACCGGCATTTGATATAGGAAAATTAGGCTTTTTAGGAGGGCTACCGGTTCAATCCAAAGAAATGTAGATTTTTGATTGAAACCCGGACCCAGCTTTCCTTAGTTATTGAGTTTTTAATAAACAGTTCTGACTAAAAGAACAGCTGATTGTATTCAGTAAGAAAGCTACAAAGGCGCCACTACATTCTACATTCATCCTGCTTTCATATTCCGCTTAAATAAACAAAGTGTGTTGCGGTGTTAAAAAATTGACTCTTGTCAGGAATCCCACTTAATCTCCTGCTCCTGTTTGATCAAAATATGGACATTCTGTATGGGTAATTTTGTTTTAAAATATAAACACACTGCATTGATGCTTGAACATATTTACAAGAGATCAGCTGTTTACATTCTCAAATCATCTGATACAAACATGTTACTACATGTTGAGTTGTTTATTTCTTCAAACATACACACACTGCATTGAAGTTTATTTGTGCACATTTGCAGGGAATCAGCTGTTTGTTTACCTTAAATTCCAATATAAACATTCTTCACACATTCGTAACTGCAGTGAACATTCTGGGTCAACTCATGTAAAACATGACAAATAACCGTTTAAAACTTTGCATTGTTTTGATGAAAAATAATGGTTTATTCTTTTTTATCAAGAAAATTTCACTATTAATATTTTTTAAAGTTTTTTTGAATAGCCTACTCTATGAAGTACAGGACTCTTAAACACAACACTGTTTCCATAAGAAGAATCAGTAATGGATTGATATTTGCAAACTAGACGAAAATATATTTTCATCATAGCAAAACACTGCTTTATAATATACGACTGACTGTTGAGGCTTACCTTTAAAAATATATTGAATAATACAAAATACATGTAGGTCGTTGACGGTAGGGTAGTTTTTATCCCTTAAATTAGCTTTAACCATGGTCCCTGTGAGTTGTACACTTACTATACGCCCTCTTTTTGATGTGGTAACACGTGTAAACAGTAATAAGCCACCACAGTCTGTCGCTCTCTCAAAGAATTTATAATAAAAGTCAATTTTTAAAAATACTTGTTTCTCTCATACTTTTTAATTTATGACAATGACAACTCTTGCTTAAATGTATGTTGTACCATTGCTATCATGACAACCTTCATGAGGAAATTAACTTTTTGTTTATCTTCTAGAGATAGGTTTAAAAGTAGAGTTTATATTTTGACATTGTACGAGATAAGCGTAAAAAAAGAGTGAACACTTAGCAAGATGGGAAAGCTTCTGAAAGCCAGGTAAAATACATATGTTCAGAGGCATGTATTGCTAAGGCTTTACTCCTTAAGACCCCCCCCCCCCCTTTCAACATTGTAAGATGAAAAGGTTTGTGAACAAAAAGGAAAAATGTGTTTTATAGCATTACATTCTTTTAATGGATCAATTAATTAATTAATTATCTCTTTGACTACGTATAGTCCAAAAATCAATTGATAAAGTGTTTATTAAAACTGGCTACAACTTAACTATTCAATTTGCATGTATCTACTTTATTGTCACTTATTGTAGTACATCCATGATCAAATATATATATGTATGAATCACTTACTAATTCAAAGTTTACAACGTTAATCCTGGGAAAGTGTGTGTATAAATAAAATTTTGACGCAGCAAAAGTGGACCAAATTTTGACACATCAAGAGAAACCTAAATTTTGACGTAGCGAAAGATAACAAAATTTTGATGCAGCAAGAGTAAACCAATGTTTTAGTAAGCTTTCAAGTAAATAATTGATCGACCATAAAACAAATTAAGACTAGCTGATCTTAGGCAGTAAACTGCCAAAATAATATGGTTGGCCTGATACAACCATTAAAAAGGGTTTTGTACCAAAATAACTATTTTTTATCAATTTTGTCTAATACGGTACTTTCGAATTTTTGGCAACAGAAAAGCGCTTTCAGAAGTCAGGATCATCTTGTAATAAAACAAAAAAATACAGTTACACTCAATTTAATCTCACTAGAAAATTAAGTACTCGAAATTGCAATGAGCAAAACTTTGTACAATGGTTAATTTCTAAATCACAGAACTTTCGGTTGAAGACGTGCCAGTAGGTCTACTTGAATTTATCTTGACTCATCTGTCTCGTCTGCAAAAAAATAAATGTTCTTAAACTTTGAAAAAAGTTATGCATGAGTTAAAAAAAAATACTATTCTAACCTTTAAAACTCATGCAGCACAGTATACGAATAACGAGTTTTCTAGGAAAAGCTAGAAGAGAATTAAAATTTATGATTCATGGTGTAAGGTTTTTTTCCTTCGCCCAAAATTAGTTTTAAATTAAACCCCCTTCAAAATGAAAAAAAATATATCTGGAAGGATAATATAAGGCCACTTGATACCAATAAGGTTAAATCTACGACAGCAAAACCTTGATCATCTTCTGCGGTCTTGAAGACATAATTTTCATCTCCCAAGGTCAGGGGAAATCATAATTTTCTTCCACAATGGTTGCGAAAGCGTGACTTTGTTGATCGCAAAATTTTTACAGATGAGTTCTGCGATCGGGATGATAAAAGCATGGCTCGGCTCAGCCTATTTACTATAAAATCATCCAAATTTCAATAAAAACCCCAATGATCCTGAAATGTTTGACTACCGATTGTGGTATGGTCCCAATTGATCCGGATAATTTGAGTTATACTGTAGAAGAGTTCATAATAAATTTTTACATCATTAAATAGTAATGTTACCAATTTACTACTTTTTTTACACAATTGCAATTAGTCAATTATTCTTTTTTGACGATCTGTATGTAATGTTCGTCTGGAATAATTATTGTGTTTTGCACCTTGTTAAATTGTGTGACCTTTTTGACAATTCTCAGACCTGACAATGTTCAGAATACCTCAAAATAAACAGAGCCACCTTGCTTCGGGTGAAACCTGCTAAAATTAGGCCTTGAGTAACTTTTTAAGCATGTAATTTACATGTGCAGATAAATGAGAAAGTTGTAATGCAATGTCAAATTCAAAGACACTTTTTATGGAATTCCTTGTTAACTGGAATGCTGCTTAAGAAATTGTAAACACTGTGTCCATCAGTTGCACCAGTCTAAAAGCAGATAGAGGTTGGTTGGTATAAAAATTAGGTCAGGGCAAAATTTCTCAAATTAATTAAAAATCAACATGCTTTTTTGTTCTCCAATTGCTTTCAAAAGTCAGTTAAAAATAGGTGAATCTTTCGTTTTGGATGAACTGTTTTAACCTGCTTCCAAGTAAACCTCTTTCACTCCAATGGCTACATAAAAAGTGTAATGTTTAATTAGTTTGGGTAGTTTATTCAAAACAACGCGTACCAACAGACATATTCTGCAACTAGATGAAAAGTAGCTTATTAGATTAGCTGACAAAGCACTGTTGCTTCAAATTTCACCCGATGGTATAATTTCCTTAGGCCTAATAGCTTTGCCAGAGATGGATTGTGCAGTATAGAGTAGTATATAGTAGACTTGGCCAAATTTCAAGTCCCTGTATCATTTTCCCACCACATCTCTTTAAGTAATAATCCTAGCAAAAAGGTGCAAGAAACCTTGCATTTTTCCTCTATTTGGTCTTTTTATCTTTGTTGCCTATCTTATTAATGAGGTATTTTAATTATGTATTGTTGTTATCAATCAAAAGTAAAGTTAAATACTTACATCAGAGTTTGGGTAGGTATCGGTACTGAAAGTTTAAAATTCTAGCATATCTTTGTTAGATACCGGTACTCAAATGAAGTGTAACAAAATGATGCCTTAAACTGTTTTTATGATGAAATGGAATTTTTTAATCACTGAAATTTCTAGATAAATGGCTTTGAAATATATGTCAGATTGTGATTCCCTATCAAGTATAGTTGTCATGTTATAAAACCCAACACACTAAAATTTTGATTTTAAGCGTTTCATCGATTAGTTTATTTTTTTACTATATTTCAATACCTCCACTAACTTGTACATAATTACTTTAAAAAAAAAAGAATAAGAATTTAGACGCTATTTATTTTCTATTAATATTCAATACTCTTAACAAATAAATTAGTCTAATCTGATGAACCTGGATATGGTTAATAAAAGACCAGTGCTTTTTCACCACGCTAGTTTTATTTCAACTGTATAGCAATTTCAACTTATAACACAACAATTTAATTAACTATGTGCTTCAAGCCGTTCACTTGAAAATATGTACATAAAGAAAAATAATTCTACATATTGCCAAATCGTATACAACGTATTGAGTTGTATTTATAAGACAATATTTATTAAGATCAAGATAGGATAGATGGTCTAGGAAAGCCTTACAGAGACGGGTAGCTGTTGTTTCTCTGTTGCGTGAATCCCGGAAGTCTATCTCTTGATGTCCAAAAGCAATAGAGAGCGGCGAGTCCGAAACCTGCTAGACCACCAATTGCTGACCCTCGCAGTCCAGCTGAAAACAACAATAACCATTCAGTCTAGTTCATAAACCTGGACAATATTAACTATACAGTCATGTTGATAAGATCAAACAATGATATTATTAGCCAAAAATGATACTTACTTACTTGCATACTTTATAATTTGGATATACAAGCGGATAAATTGTATCCTCAATTTCGGCGTTAAGATCAAAATTGGTACAAATGACCAACATTGGTTTAGAAACTTAGTAGTTGATTGCAGAAAATCTTATTTTAAGATGTTAGCTTATGGAAAGCAAAATTTTGTGCTGTGTGTCGGCACTAACAGTGGCGGTTTTAGGACCTAGTCAGGGGGGGGGGAACTACACACAGGGGATGGAACACTCCCCCACAAAAGAGGAGGTTCAGATGTCCTCCCCTGAAAAAAAATTAGGAATTTTCAAGCCATTTGCTGACTTTCTTAGCTATTTTTAACATCTAGAACTGTGCCTACCAAAACATGTTAGGTATGTTTTTAGGACAAATGGTAGGGTACTTTAGCCCCTGGTAACCCCCCCCCCCCCTGGAACCGCCACTGGGCACAGAGATCTGTGATTTGCTCATTACTTTGAACTGGGACATTTAAAAATTACAGTAGAAATTTATTAGCTCAGTTTGGAAGAGGTTTAAATAATTCAAGACACAAGTAGTTACATCAGTATTCAGTATTATTCATTATTCTTATTCTTTGGGTCCCAATAGGTGGTTAACAAATTAATTGGGACGTAAATAATAACTTTATTACTAGGCCTACTGGTACTTAGATACATTTGAAATGTTGTTAATAGTTACCAAGTTATCATCATAGTTTTGCTTTACACATAGAGTTAACTGTAGGCCTAAGGTTTGTATTTAGCAGATTGAATCTTTTACCAAAAGCACTGAATTTAGAGACACATTTAATACATCTAACCTGTAGAGCGGTACAGCATCCCTGTTGTCGTAGCAGCCGCCACAGTGTTGAGTTCGTCCTCAGCCTCTCGTAACCACGCCAATATGACTCCAAAGCCACTGTACATGACAGCGATTGATCCCAGGGTGTTCGCTCGGGCTGCTCCTTGCTTCATTACGTGATTCAGAATCCTTGACAAGATAAAGAAAAGTGAGGTTACAGTTTAAAATTATCTTAACTTTTTTATGCTGATGGAGATAGCATTTATTTTGGCAGATCAACAATCAAGAATTTAAAGCTTTCCATGCTGTTTTGAATTACCAGTGGCCTAACTACATAGGCCTACATACAGAATTCTGACGAGCCTCAGCTAGATTTAAATACACGAGAGTCGGGACCACGTAAGTTTGCAGTTGGTGGCAGACAATCACAAGATAAGGCTAGTGCGATGTTGCCACATCGCCTGTTGACAACACTAATTAAAATATACTAAGCAATATTTTCAAATCAGCTGTTATTTTTAGATTTGGCAACACCGCACGGTTTTCATTGAATCATTCAAAACCATGGTAAATAGGCTCCTCCCTCAACTGCAAACTTACGTGGTCCCCACTGTAGGTATAAGTTCTTTAGCTTATTGGCCTAGCCTGTGTCTGTAAATTTAAATTAGGCTAATCTAAGCTATCTCTAGCTAAAGAAATGCAATAGGCCTCCCTAAAAGTGAAATGAAAATTAAATTTAGGCTACTTACTGTGTTCTTCTTAGTTTTCCTATTTGTCCAGCTAGAGATGTTTCTTTTAACCCGCTATAAAATCCTCCGCTGCCACCGACCATCGCTCCAATCATACATGATCCTCCGATTTGGGAAAATGCGAGTTCAAATCTGCCTCGTTGAGTCTTGGCTCCTTCTAATAAAATGTATTCTGGTGTCGATGGCGGGATGAAGGCAGGGTCAAAATTTAAATAAGGTGAGGCAAACTGTGGACGAGAGGGACCTGAAATAAAAAACACATCAATACATTTTGAGGAAAATAACTATGTTTGAAGCATTAACCTCTTGCATCCCACATGACGGGACTGAGTGTCTGTGACTGTGCAACTTGCCACGCTAAACATACTGATCGAGGAAGAAAAAACGTAGGCTAACTTGGTATTAAGTTATTGACTCTCGGGGTAGTCTGCTAGTTCACTTAGCATATTCCATTTTGAGAAATTCCCAAAACATCCCTGCAGCTAAGAAGTCATCTGAAGTTTTGGCTTTTTCTAACAGCTGTCTCGCTCACTAACCTGTTTTTGTTTGGTCATTCTGTCATGTCTTGTTGCTTTCCTTTGTAAAAAATAAGTTAATCAATTGTGCTGGTTTTTATTATTAATTTGAGTAAAACTTGTAACTTACATGTTTAAGGTTTACATTACAGCTTATTCAGTTATAAAGAAGACACAGGTTAAATATTAGGTTGAGTAGTTCACTACCTACACTTTTGTTTACACTTTTTAGGGTGTGCAAACACACCAAATAATCCCGCGTCTGGGCTGTACTTTGACTTTCCAAAAGCACGAACTCGTAAGGTTAAAGGAAACCCTTGCTTGAACCAACTTAACTTTACGTTAAGAGGCCTTAAGCAAATTCAACCATCAATTAATTGAGATGGGGACACCTCCTAGGTGCTTATTTAACCCCAATATATGAGTGAAGGGCTAGTGTAGAATGTGAGTGAGGTGAACTTTAGAGCTTTGTTACTAAGATCAGCTGATTCAGTAGCATGGACATTAAATTGCCTGGCTTTCAATTAATTTTATTGAAAGCCCAATGATCAGGACAGCTGGGTCCAGTTTCAAACCATGAAAAAGCTACCAACTTTTCTCACGATTGAGCCAGCAACCTTTTGATTTTCAGGCGAGCACTAGCCTATAATTTTTTTTAAATTTAATTTTATTTCATTCCAACGGCAAAACCATTATACATAACAACACAACAAAGATGGCTACGGTAGGTACGTACTATTCACATACGGTACTCTAAAAATTAATGAATACTGAGTGCTACATGTGGTGACATAACATAACAAGCAAATTTTAAATAAGCAGTAATAACAAACGATAGCAACAACAACAACAACAACACTATGGCTAATTAATATAATTATTGACATACCACAAAAAAAATTTAATAGCAAAGCTATCAGGCATTCATGAAAATATTTAGGCTAAATAGGCTAAATAGTAAGAAATAAATATAAGAGACATTAACAACGGCAGCAACAATAAGTACTTTTCATGTATGTTCAAGGGTGTGTCGGGCGTCGAGAACTCTTCTACTAAAGGAAGTAGGGTAAGTTACTCTCGTGGAAAAAGTCGACTGTGTGACAGAATCGATTCCCAAGCCTCGTCATTCTTGCAAGTGGGCTGTGAAAGTCGTAACCACGTGAATGATGCCTTCTGCCGAACAGATCACGAGATCGGGTCCCTGATGGAGTGCGGAAGTCCACCTGAGTCTCACCTGAGTGAGTGAGATTGGGTAGTCCAGCAGGCCATTGATCAGCTTGGCGAGAAATACTACATCTGCCACTTCAAGTCTGACTTGAAGATCTAGGAGATGGAGGTCAGCCTGGAGATCAGCAAGTGGAGCCTCCGTCTACCGAAGCCCCTGTCGTATTCCTAGGCTACCAACCTTAGGAATTTCCTCTGCACAGCATCAAGCTTGTCAGTCAAACCAACTTGGTAAGGGGACCAAACTGGGCTGGCATACTCCAGGAGTTGGCGTACAAAGGAAGAATATAGTGTTTTTAAAACAACAGGGCTTGTCATTCCACGAGTAGATCTAAAGATCTATCCCAATAGCCTGTGAGATCGTTTGCAGAGATCATAATAACCCCTTAACTCACGACAGTTTTTAACTTGAGGATTAAAGGCCTACAGTACTTATTAATTGCCAGCTGCTCCAAGGGGTTTAAGCAAATCAGGTATAGAAAGCCTGGGCCTAACCTACCTGAAGCAAATAGGGCCTTGACCCAAATCGCGTCTTTTCATGGACAATCATGGAACGAATATCAAAATATAGGTTGTAGGAAGCTCTGACATGGGCTGTAAATGATGTAAGACCTGGTGACACTAGGCTAACATAGTAGAACTTGGGGGTAGAGATAGATAACTTAACGTAAGGGGCTTAGGATTTTACATGCGGAAAGATAGGCTAGGCTACTCCTAAAACACATAATAATCATTTACCTGATGAATTTAAGTCGCCACTTTTGCTGGGAGGGTCCATTTTCGGCTTTTGTCGGTATACCTCGCAGTTATTTGGAATAAATCTACACTAGCAATAACACCATTACAGACTACAGACAGATTTCTGAAGGGAAGGGTGAGGAACGTGCAATTTGCAATAATCCAAAGGGATGGTTGATAGAAAAAAATAATTCAACACATAGAAGGTAGACAGTATTTGTCTACAGAAGCTGTTAACTGCACCGTTGAGTATTGTATGATTAATCTATATACTGTAATTATATTAAGTATAAAAGAGGGTAAGTTTTCACCAGGCAAGTGTTAGATCATACAACAATATTTCAAGTCTTTTTTCAAGATAGCAGTGCTGTAATAGGGCTTGTGTTGCTTAGTCTATGGTACCACCAAGTCTTCCCTTGCAATTTACTACCAACTTCCAGCCCCCCAGGCATCAGGGGCAAAATGAAAAAAAAACCCTCATCTACGGAGGAGCGTGATGGTAGAGGTTACAGCAGCCTTTTCTTTTGTTCCAGAGTTTGAATAACAAAACCCCAGTGGCCCAGTGGAGATTTTACTGCTTACACTTACAGTGTGATGGTGCAATTTAAAATTTTCGTACAGTGTCAAACCAAGACACTTAAAAACAAAATGTGAAGTATATAAATTAACTTAAGTGTATGATCATTAAATTCATTATTACATGGGGAAACAAGATTTAAAATTAATCAATACAAAAAATGGCGGTATCCACTACTTATCAGATCAAAAAGCCTTAAATGTCCTATAAAGGTCCTAAATGTTGAATTTTGTTTCTAAAAGTGTTGGCGTATGCGTAAATATTTTATCAACAGATGTAAAGATCAACATGTTTCTATTTTGTGTCCTATTCCCGTTGCAAAGCACGGGTACAAAAGCTAGTAGTGCACCAATAAATACCTAATATACTTGAGGAGTATGTTTTATCTATTATATTACATACAATTTAATGATCTATGGTAATGTTCTACATGAATTTTTAACATTATACAGCCGTAGATTTATCAATAAAAACCCACCAATAGTTTGTAGTAATACGGTAATTAGTAATAGCTTTGTTTAAATCAAAACTAGGAAACATGGAACACCAACTTTTTATAGTATGACAATTCAATCTCTAAAATTTTCCTAATTTACTACACGCATTTCAACGTTCAACGACAACTGACAGACAACGACAACGCCAGCCATCTTGAATAATATAGTCGTCGACTCGACATCTGCCATCGCCAATATTGTCATCCCATTTCCAATTTGATCATTAATTTTATAAAAGTTAAGATTTTACGAGTGGTGGATAGATGGAATAGAATTGTATGAGTTTACGCTGCTTTAATTCCAAAGTTATACGGAAACAGATTAGTTTGTTATTTTTTAATAACATTCGTAGAGGGCTCGTTTTTTTATGGTGCTCAGTAAATGTAATTATATATCAGATAAAAACTCTTTTTATAAGGAATTATAATCGCTTGATAAGTGTTCATCATCATCAGTGTTTTTGTTTACATAGTTGTGAGAAAATGAGTGAAAACGGAACACCAATTGATAACTTAAACACTAAAAATGGGAACTTTATTTGTGGTGTTGTTGAAGGTAAAGTAGGCCTACAGCCTAGGAGGCTTAGACTAAGACATAAATAGGGCTACTAGTTGAATCAGCTTGTTTGTGATCACTCTTTGCTATGTATTATGTTTTAGCGAATTTCCCATATAGGGAATAATACCGTAGTACCTACTCATGGTAAGACCTGGACCCGGAACCGATTTACTTTTTCGTTTTGAGGTCCCTAGAGGCCAAAAACACCATCCGTTCAAATTCATATATATTTATAGTAGAACCTCTGTAATCCGAACGTCCACTAATCCGAACGCCTCATTGAAGTTACAGAATAGTTATTTATTGTATAGGCCTACTTACGCACCGTAATTGTTTCTATTGTTATGTACAGTCATGTTTATTCCCTATGTTTACTACTGTATTAAATAAACGGGTACAGTTTCTTAACTGGGCTATGCTAATATTGGTTGAAACTATGGAATTGAAAATATTGATAAAAAATCAATATTTTTAAATATATCTAGGCCTATTATAAAATAAAACTATCATAACCTAGGCTAACCAACCAAACCATATTTTTTTTTTATGGTTAAAAAATCGCACGAAGGTTTACTAATCGAATCGATAGTTTCAATCAATATTAGCATAGCTCAGTTAAGAAACTGTACCCAAATAAACCACTGTATTTTAATTTATAAAGCATTTTTTCACTTTTCCTGTAACAATTAACTTAAGAGCCATTTCAGCTACATTAGGCCTAAACTTAGGCCTATAGATATTGTTATATAAAAACAACAATAGCCTATGTTCTGTAATCCGAACTATTCAATAATCCGAACTACCCCCGGTCCCAATTAGTTTGGATTAAAGTGGTTCTACTGTATGTGTCCGTTAGCGCGATAACTCGAGCAAAAATCATCCGATTTTGATGAAATTTGGTACAAAAGTGTAAACCTACGTTTATTTGAATGAGTTCGCGAACCAGCATGATCGGACTATGGGAACAGGGGTTTATGGGGTAAAAATTGGTTTTTCCCATTTTTGACCCCAATAACATAGGCTAAAATTTTGGAATTTCTTTCCCAACCATTTTGTAGAGTTAAAAAAAAAAAAACAATTTAGTATAGCCTATATAACTTATTGAAGTATTGTTGTATGCCCAGTGGTTAGGGAGAAAATTCTAAAAAAGTGTTAAATTTAAAATTTTCATGTTATTTTTATGGAGAAAATTGTAAACTGTTATAGCCTAGTTTGCTTGTTTATGAGCATATTTTGATCAAATTTGGAAAATGCATTAATTTCATAGGTACCTACTAAACTACCGGTACCTATTAACATTTCACAAAAAAAAAAAACACCTTTTTACCCTCCCTGTTGCAGCAAACTGTTGTAGGCTACTCGTTACTGATGCTATTTAAATAGGGAATAAATGTGATATTTTTAAGGAGACCTTTAGTGTTCAGGCAAATGGAAATGTGCTTAGTCTGCAGGTTTGCTGCAGCGGGGGTATTTGTTACAAATGACCTACTATTCTAGTATTTTTTACTATGGGATCCGAGATTAAAATCATACATGAAGTGTATACCTAGCCTTAGGCAATCCGGTGACTGAGCTTTGTATAGTACTAACTGACGTTCTACTGTAGAATCAAATCCAATAGGCCTAGATAACTCGTAAATGTCACCAAGATCGATTATGAAGAACAAACTATTTTAATGTTTAATTGATAGGGAGGCCTAAACTTATGCTTAAACTTATTAACTTAATAAATAAAAAAATGTAAGTTAGGGTAGGCCTACCTGTTCCCGACCTGCGATGTGACTGTATATGTTCGGGTACCCTGTAATTTATTCATGCCTATAAGTTATGACAAGTTGGATAAAGTTAGGAGACTTCCCTCGTTAAGTAGTCTATTGACTCAAACAGGGCATCCTATTGAGTGGACTTAATAACTTGCGTCTCCTTTTTAACTTAACATTCAAATGTACTGGACTTGGGTGCTTGTCAGTTAGCAATCAAATTTTTTATGCTGTAGCTGTTGTGCACAATGCATAACTTAGGTAAGGTACCGTACTCTAACTTAGCACAATTTTAATATGTTCACTTTGAGTTCAAGGTCTCACAGTGCCCTTAGTGGTCGTTCTGCTTGGAAGCAGTTAGTAGGGCAAAGTTGCTAGGCCTATAATTTTCCATTGTATGGTAGCCAAACACAGTAAGTTAACGAATGCAGCTCTAAGTTATTAACTTATTACTGGGGCTTGTCAAGATCGGTGCCCATGTGAATGTCAGGTAGACATATATTCTCAGAAAGATAACCATTACTTTAATAGATATAGCCTATTTGGTAATTTGTATCCTCACAATTAAGTTAATAATCTGGATAAACGGGACTTTATCTTCATAAGTTAGTTACTTAACTTTTTTTTCTGTTACAGGTTTTTACGGTAGACCATGGACTACAGATCAAAGGAAAGATTTGTTCCAAAAGTAAGTAGGCCTAGGCCTAGGCCATCTTTAAAAACTTTTAAACATAACCATATCCATACTTTTAGTAGCTTATTTTTAATAAGTTACCTCAAAGAGCTTTTGTAAATAAACTACAGTAAGAAAACCACCTCATATCCGACCTCAGAATAACCAACTGCTCGGAATATCCGACCTAGCGTATGACTGTCTATTGTGTCCTGTCTGGGGCAATTTAACACCGGACACAACCGGTTAACTGAAAGGCCAATCGCGGATGTTGCGTTATCGCGGCATACGATCAGCACTGTTGCCAAAAAAGGAGCCACCGTGCCGCAGTTGGGGAAGACGATTACTGTAATCGCGGAGACTGCAGGTTATTCTCCCGATATCCGACCTTCTGGCCGTTCCAACCATGGCCCAGTCCCGTCATGGTCGGATATGAGGGGTTTTCTACTGTAAGACCTACGGTATTTTGTCCTGAGCAGATTTAAGATAAACTACCTATCTAAATTTTTATTGAACTTGTTATAGGCTATATAAATTTAATATGAATTCTAGCCTAAATTAATAATTTAGGTAACGTAGATATTTGATTCACCATGAGTGTATTTGTGAAAGCTTCCTACTTTAACATACCAAATGTCTAACTGTATTCTCTTTTTTTCAGAATGAAAAAATGGGGAATGGACTCGTACCTATATGCCCCGAAGGATGACTACAAACATAGAGCGTACTGGCGAGAACTGTACACTGTAGAAGAAGCTGAACACCTCACGGGACTGATCAGTGCAGCGCGAGATAACGGCATTCACTTCTACTACGCATTATCACCTGGACTAGACATAACGTACTCTAGTGTGAAGGAAGTCGCGGCTCTAAAGCGCAAGCTGGAACAAGTCTCCCAGTTTGGTTGCAATGCATTCGCTCTGCTGTTCGACGATATCGAACCAGAAATGTCTGAAGCTGATAAGGAGGTTTTTCAGTCGTTTGCCCACGCTCAGGTAACTTATGTGTTGAAATCTAATTAGGTTGTCTTTAACATTTTGGGTTTCCATATGTTATTAGATTCAAAACTGTTTACGTCTTTAGAAAAATTTAAATTATTTCAAATTTAGTTTGAAATCCTTAAATACAGTCTCGATCTCACTCTTACTTCGCTTTGGAGTAAGATGGAGAACCTGAATTACATAGCCCTACAACTTTTGCAAAGCTTAGTAGCCTATATAATTTTCATTTGGTTCTTCTCTAAGAACTGGATTCATCTCATGTTCTCACAGCTTCTTGTATCAGAATGATTTATTGCTTAAACCATTAGATAACAAAAATGTAAATGTAAGGCTTTTAGTAGGTAGGCCTAGGCCTAACTCATTTTTTTATGGAATCAAGACTATTTAAACTCATTTTTTACTTGACTGGAGGTTTAATATTTTAGAAGATTTCACTAGTGGGTTAAGTTTACATCAATCTTGCAAGCTTTCATGTGGGCTGTAGTTTAGTCCTCATTAGACTGGCAATTAAGAACTGAATGTGACTTAAGTGGGTGTCTACACACAGGCTCTTGTAGTTAGGCTTAGGTTATCTGAATTATTATCGCTGAGAACATCTCGTTTAATTTTATATAAGCCTTAATTTACCATAAGTAGGCCTAGCATATGTTTTGCCTAGCTTGCACTTTTTATGGTATTTAGATTTTATTTAAACTCATAACTACAGTAGTATTTAACTGGACATTTTGGCTTTCAGGTCTCAGTTACCAATGACATCTACCAGCACTTGGGTCAACCGAGATTCATGATCTGTCCGACACAATACTGCGCTGCTAGAGCTATGCCCAATGTGTCTAACTCTGAGTACCTGAACACTCTAGGATCTAAACTTGCACCGGAGATTGACATTATGTGGACAGGTTAGAATCTTTATTGCTAATTTTGTGTGCTAATCAGTAGGCACACTCAAAATAAAGTCTAGCATATTATAGGCCATACAATTGGCTTTTTAATGAGATTTCCTTATCAATTCTTATTCTTACTGAAAAATATGCTATGAGTAAAGTTGTTTCTGTAAAATAGTTGGTACCTATGCTTGTACAATAGACATCAACTCATAATCTCAATGTTGTTTTAGGCAACAAAGTAATTTCAAGAGTGATCAGTGTGGAATCGATCGAAGAGATCACGGACGTGTTAAAGCGGCCACCGCTCATATGGGACAACTTGCACGCCAACGATTACGACCAAAAAAGAGTATTCCTGGGCCCTTACCAGGGGCGGTCACCCGACCTCATCCCCAAACTGAGAGGGGTTCTTACCAACCCCAACTGTGAGTTCGGAGCCAACTTTGTAGCGATTCACACACTCGCTCAGTGGTCTAGATGTAATGTGGACGGAAAACGAGACATCAGTAAGTATTTACCTAGTTTACATTGTTGTTTTTTCTTTACTAAATGGCTAAACGAGATAAGCCTGGATTATAGTATAACCTCGGTTTGTATGATGGCCTTGGTTAAAGAGAAGGCAACACAGCTTTACAAGATACATTCCAAGTAGACAATATTTTCAATTTAATAATTAAAAAAAAATTGTGTGCGATTGAAAATAATACTGTAAAATGAAAATGACTAGTCTGCTTTTATATTTCATGAGAATGTAAAGATATTGCTGTGTTTTCAGTGTGACTCATTACTCCCACTACCTAATACAAATACATTTTACTGGTTTATTGTGACACCCTACTTATGCAATAATATTAATAATGAGACATGTAAATAATCATGATAAAATACTAGCCTATTGAATCACAGACAACAGAGAAGGCTGCCATGTTGATGTAAAGTCGCAGATGTCAATGCATTATCACCTGTCATGTGTGATTCTGCAGACAATATCAGCTGACATTTTAATGTGATGTTGCAGACGACACAGTATCAGCTGACATCAAGCTAGAGACAGAGACGGAGGATGGAGGGGTGGGAGAGGACGTTCCCACCTCTCTGCCAGCCAACATGTACCACCCTCGGAGAGCTCTGCGCAACGCCATACAAGAGTGGCTTCCGGAGTTTAGACGAGTCAAGCAAGCGTGGGGTCCGATCACCAAGCCACAACCTGCGTTGCCACTCCCACTGCCGCTGCCAGTTATCATACCATCCGTCAACACCTGTATGTCCGTCACTACCACGACCAACACTGCTGCCTCGGCTGGCCAACAGAACACCAACCAACTACAAGCACTTGCTGAAGTTTGCTCCACGGTATGGTTATTGACAAGTATTTCATAGTATATCTTTTTCCTGGAAATTTCTTTAAATTTTGGGACTTGTAAATCCCTACTAGAAATACATTAGGGCCTAATCATTTTACTAGAGTTGCTTGTGTTTTTTAAGTGGGATAGGGTTAAAGAAAAGATTAGTTTAACTATTTTAGGTTCTCAGTTCAAGCACACTTTTTAATCAAACTAGTCTTATACTATATTTAACATTATGGATTTACATGATCAGGTGAACGGCAACGAGAGCTTGATGCAACCGGTGAGCAACTGTCCCATAGTGATGAACTCTCTGATATCCGAGAGCAAAGTGATGAGCGAACCGATGGACTGCAACTCTACTCCAACCAACTCTCCGGCTCACATCAAAGCCACACCTACACAAGATGTGCCCATGGACAACAACTCTGTAAGAGAACACGATGTTTGGTTATCACTTAATAAGAGGTTGACTGTAATATAGCTCAAGGATGAGTGGACATAGTGTGCCCTACTTGGAACTCTGTCCAGCTGTTCTTAACATTGGGCTTTTAATTAGTGGTCCAAGCTAAAATTAACATGAGTTGAGTTGTATGATTTTTTAATGGATAGGTTGAACAGTTTACCTTACTGACAAAAATAAATAGATGAATAGCACAAATAAACACATAAACATAATTTTTTGAGCTACTAGCTCCTTCTTCAGTAGTAATCTTTAACTATGTATGTCCTTGCAGGTTGTAGAAGGAGAAAAATGAATATCTTCAATTATGAAAGTTAGTACTTATTTACCTATTGTAAAAATACAACATTGTACTTTACAATAATTTTGTTTGATATTGTAGGGGTCTGGAGGATTAAGTAGTTCCAGCAGTATGACGATGCAAGTTGAACCAGTTTCAGAATCTAATCTCGAGAGGTAAGTTTTTTTTTTATTTTCGCTTGTATTTCAACGTAATATTTGCAAGTACCTACTTTACATTTGACAAATCCAGTAATTCTTTCAATCTTAATAGTATCTAGACATATATTTTTGTTGAAGTAAAATATTATGAATTATGACATGAAAATACAGTTTTTAACTAATATGTGCGGTTTTTAACGCAGCAGTGACGAGAGACCTAGAGATGCAGACAAGGAGTTGACTCTGGAGGACTTGGCTCTGCTGTGTGATCTGTTCTACTTGCCTTTCGAGCACGGCAGTCAGGGAGTCCAGCTGTTACAGGAGTTTAACTGGCTCAAGTCTAACGCTCATCTCATTACCCTGCAAAACGCCAAAACTTCCGAGACAACACCTGAGGTACAGTATGCCAGAAATTTAAAAGTTTCTAAAATATTTTGAAAAAGGGTATTTTGGCAAAGCAGAAAATATTAGGAGTATGCAAGTCCCTGATATTTTTTCAAGTTAGGTTGGTTCAGCAGTTGGCTTTGAAAGATCGGTTTGGGTCAGAAATAATTTTCGGATCAAGGCAGATTAAGTAGACGGCGGCTCTTTTGCAAGAGCTGTTATGATAGAAAACATCTGCAGAGATGTGCGATTGAAAATTTCTGTGATGTTTACAGCGTTGCTGCGACTGTTGGAGACAATGATGTGGTGACTGCTGAAGATGTTCTTGGTTTTGCCATGACAGCGAAAAACGTTTACGATTGCACTATAACTTGTATTTGAAAGAGACTTGTAGCAGAATGTGTTCCTGATTTCTCTCTGACTGTGGGGAATGTTCACAATTTTGCCGTAACTGCGGATCATGTTTATGATTTTTCCTTGACCGTGGATGTTCTAAATTTCATTTTGACTTCTGAAAATGTTCAAGAGATTGTCGTGACCATAGACGATATTCAATATTTTACCGTCATATGGGGGAGATCATGTAGGCCCTACATAATTATGTATAGACCAATTTTAGTATTGCAATTGATGTTAAAAAAATAAAATACTCCTAGGTAAACCAGCATTTTTACCTAACCCGACCCAAAGTAAAAAAGTGTGGCCTATCGACAGAAAAATTAGTGTCCATATTATACCAAGTTATACTTAATACACAACAAAATAACACAGACATTTAGTCGTAATAGGACCTCTTAAGAGAGTAGATTGAAGAGAAATGTCCTCTCATAAATCGTAATCATAAATAGCTCCAAAAATATTGATTTCCTCGATATAACACCTGATTTTAGCCTTAGGCCATTATGGAATGTTAACGTTTATCCATTGATTATTCTATTGAGAAATAAACACTAACAGTAATTGGCCTGAAGGATCGCTGCAACGCATCCAAAACATAGGGAAGTCTTTTTGGCAGTTCAATTTAAGTGGTCATCTCTTGAAGATCTGGATTCAAAAGTTTACGTTGACCGCTGAAGCTTATCGATAACATTTCATGGTATTTTATTTTTGCAGATACAAGAATGGCACGAACGAGCAGCTAAACTAGAAGAGATGAGTCAAAGTGTCAACCGTCTGTTCCAGCGGCTCACGTTCGCCCACAACCGAGAGCTGTTGTATGACTTGTATCCCTACGTTTGGGACATGAGAGGGGTCATTTCACTGCTTAACTCTTACATCAAGTGGTTAGGTGAGTTTCCCCCTAACCTAACCTAACCCCACTTTCCTTCTTTTCCTTTGGACTAAATTTTGCCTTGAAATTTTGCGTGTAGATGAAAATACAAAACTATATTTTCCTAACGGTTGAGTAGGGTGTCTTACTAATCAATGGGCTTTGGATTTTATGGGAATAAAAGTCTTGTGCAACAAACTTTTGATTTTAAAAGTAGCTAAACGAATTTGCTGTGATAATTAAGTTTTTATTTCAATATACCTTACTTGAACATACTTACCTATTCTAAATGCTTAGGATTTAACACATTTTAAAAATACAATGTTAGAAAAATACAATGATATTCTTGAAGCAAAAGTAATCACCAATGAAATATTTTTTTAGAGGATTTTGTGTATTGAGGTTTAACAGCAGGCTTACCTTAATGACAAAAATAGATAAAATGCATTTAAATAAACACACAAACAGAATTTTTTGAGCTAGTACTGAGAAAGGATCTGGTAGTTCCAGATATTTTATGTTTATTTGTGCATTTTCATCAACTTTGGTCAGTAATATAATCCTGCTGTTAAACCAATCCATTACAAAACCCATAAAAAGCCTGACCTTTACAGAAACGTCATATTTTTATTTTGGTTGGAGAGTTATACGTTTAAATAATTTTTTTAAATTTGGTTTATGAACCAATAAGTAATAGGTAATACTGTAGTCACCTTTATGTTGATTATTACTGTAGGCAATTGTATGTAAAATTTTATCAAAAATTAAACAGAAATGAAAGATAGCTGTACACTTTAATTTTTAACAGGCCTCTTCTTCTATTGTATAACTTATACTTTGTAAATAACCCCTGGATTTTAAAATTTAATAGTGCTAATTTCCAATAAATATAGCATATGGATTGAACAAATTGAAAAATTAAAAAAATAATTTATTTTGAAATTAATAATGAAAACGTCTAGGTACAAAATAGCCTTTCTTGTGTTAGGACATGGTTCTTAAAATTTATATACAAGTTTGCTCTATGGACTTTGTAGAAAGTAAAATGGTTTTCATTTTATTGCAATCTAATTGACAGTAGTTTACTAACTGTAGTGGAATTCACTTTCTAATCTAGCCTAAACATAAATTTAAAGGATAACAGGTAAATTTATTGTTTTACTTTGTTCACTTCTTAATATCTTTTATTGATTAAGATATTATAAATGGGCAGATTCTGAATCTTGGTTGATAAAAATCTATGTCAGTGGTAGGAATATCGAGAAATTATAAATTTTTATTAACCTAGAGTTTTGATTATGAAGAGTCGTTACTCATTCAAGAATATCTTGCAACTGTGGAATAATTTTTCTCATCTCCTGCGTTTGCGGTAACAACATGTCCATCGCTATCTCGGCTACATAGTAATTAATTGATTTTTGCAAACGCCTTCCACAATTGCGAGATTGCTGTCTAAAACAACTAGACCTACAGTTATTATTTGAATCCTTCTGGTCAAATGAGAATAATAATTGCTTATAATTTTGTTCATGAACTTTCTCACTTAAAAAGATTTATTGGAATTTAAAATTAATAGATTATTATTATCTCTGTTTAAAAAAGTTTGCTGAATTTTTCAAAATAGTTTCTACAGTAATTTAATAAATCCTACTTTACCTAATTTGCTTTGTTTTTATTCATCGTCTATCGTAGTTTAGTCTGTAATGAGAAACGCATTCTGAATCGAAAGTGAGAATAACATTTCTATATCGGAATCAATCAATTTTGGAATCTGTCCATTACTATCAAATTATCATTCACAATATTTGAGCAAAATTTGTACCAACATTAAGTTGATTTACCTTAAAGCTGTAAATCTTTTGTTACGTAGTCAAATGTTGCTCAGGTTTAACTGCATCAGAACATTTACTAATAGGTTGTGTATGCTTTCTGTTGTCTAGCCAAGGGACGATTTCCGCAGATGGTATCTAACTACACGCTGGGAAACTACACCTGTACGAGCTACTTGTATTTTGCCTAAGTATAAGCGCTGCGTAAGACTTTCAGTATAAATGCCTGCGCTGGGCTGCGGAACAATGGTTTTGGGACGGTAGCGATGCGAGCGGCAATACGTGGCGAAATATAAATTGCGATTTTTGTGCTGAATTTCACCAGAAGCTTTAAAATAAGTAGTCATTTTTTTCAGTTCCACGATAGAATTTCTAAATGTAATAACAAATTAAACACATTGATGAATCTCTTAAACAATAAGTTTTATTTTTGATATATTTGAACTACGTTTACTTTGTTTACCTTTCGAAATAAATTTCACTCCAACGTTTTAAACGGAAGTATTATACAATATTTGCGTTTCTTCCAAAGGAATTGCTGTAGAAGTGTAATAGATCTTATCAGTTCTTATCTTATACCTCTGGTGGGATTCATCAACAAAGCGCGTGTGTGCATTAATTTTGTTTTATTCCAGAGGCCCTTCCGATCATTTGTGTCTGTTTTCAGGTGACCTGACTTTTGTTGGAAGCAATACAGTTAAATGGGATTACGGATCAGTAATGACTACTGTCAAGTAATCTTTATGTTTAACTGTTAGGTTTGTTTTGCCGCTAAAATCTGGCAAATGCGAATTGGCTTTACGATGCGTAATTTAACGAGCTGCATACGGTTGCGCTGTGCGAACATAAGGGTATTGCAAACAGATTGCGTTAAGGCGTTATTTTTCTGGCCCAAAACCATTGATTCTATTGATTTCAAACTCAATTACATAGCTATCAAAGAGTGTTTTATATTTGAGTTTTGTCAACGCTGGCGCATACATTTACAATAAATCTCATTAATGCTTTGTTTTCATGAAATTATGAATTTCTATCTAGTTAGTACTTCTAGAAACTTGACTTATAGTAATTTACATTTGTGCTCTAGGGAAATATTTCAGTGGATATTGGTGATTTATAAGTGTAATGTATTTCCTTTTTAATTTTGTGCAATAAGTTAAACAGGTCATGGATTTTTTTTAAACTAGACTATTCAGTTTTCAAACATGTTTCAGTTTTCGTTGATTATTTTGATAAACAACTTTAGAGGGTTTTTTACTCTAATAACATTTTTACACAACCCCTTGTTAAGGACAGGAATAATTATTGGACAGGTGAAAGGTTATCACTTTTGGTTGACGTTATGAACGATACTTTTCATCATGTCACCAAAATACTCTCACAGAACCTATGTAAAATTTAAAACATTAAAACTATTATTCCCTAATTAACTTTATTTTAAAAGCAAAAACTTTATATCAAACCTACATAACAATGTGACAATTATAAGTTAAAGTTCAAGGTTATGTTCATTGTGCTTTTAGTGCATATTTTTTATTTTTGAACAGTAAAATCAGCTGATTTTAATATTAGAAATAAATTGTAAACAAACACTAGGGCCCATAGTGAGCAAAAGGAGAACTGATTGAGTTGAGAGCAAGGAAAATCAGCTGATCATTTTACCTTGTTCTAAATTAGAGCTTAGGAAAAAAAATACTTTCTTTGATATCAGCTGTTATCAAAAATATTTACTTTTGTACGGAGTGATAAAAAATATAAATTCTATAGAATAAACTTTGAGAGACTAATTTTAAAATAGACTTTTGGTGCCTCCTGTGATATTTCATTTTTCCTCTATGGGAAATATACTAATAGGCCTAACTGAAATAATCACGAAGAAACAGTATATCCACATGAACAAAAACAAATATTTTTTTATTTCATAAACAAACAACGTCATATTACAATTTTCTACTGCAACATACCCTTTTTTTACAATTAGACGTACAAATATTTCATCAGTTAATTTTACAAACTGAGACATGTTGAAAATTTGAGTTTTATCGAAATGCTACAAATGTTTGATTAAAGTTTGGTTCCATGATTCAGGGTTCTCCAAAGGTTGGAAGGAAAGCTTCATGTCCGGAGACCAGGAACCTTGGGTTTTCAGGGGAGGCCTCACAGCGGATCTGCAAGTAGGTAGTCTATTGCACACAATTGTGTACGCGCAAGCTCTGACGCGCTGGCGGCACGCGTGCGCGAGTCAACAAGATACACGTTGGTTGTCACATACGCAATGCCTTGTTTGTGTCTTAAATCATAATATTTGTCTGACATTTTGTTTGGAAACAATATCCAAGTATAAAACCTGTAATAGAATGTTCGGTAAATAAATTACAACAAACGATTACTACAAAAGGACAATTAATGCGTATCTTGTTCACTCAATTAATTTTGATTAGAGAAAATGCAGCAGCGTTGAAAGTGGCGGTTTTTATTTTCAGTTTTGTCTTGCTATCTATGTTTTGTCTGTCTCTGTTTTAGATTGGATAGCCGGCGAAATCCTCCGTCTAGGTTTGTTTAACTTAATTATTATTTTTATTTGGTTTTGTTAAGGAGTTCATGATGAGTCCGATGAATGATGGAACCTAGTGTTCATCTTGAACTGTTTGCAACTTTTAGCCATCACTGAAAACTTTCTACATATTGTGGTAGTGTGAGGTATCAAGTGAACTAAGCAATCCGACAACACATTTTCTTTGGATATAAAATGGTTTATTTCTGTAGTTGGTAAATATTTTCATGACAAAATGTGTCAAAATATTATAAAACCGATGTAGAAGTTGTTTCGGAAAGGTAAAGCTAAGCTAGCTAGATGCTTTTACTTACTCCATCTACACCTTCTTGTATTAGTCACGATAAATTCTTTGAAGAAGTCCTCAGACTCATATTTTCCTCAGATAAGATAGCTGAATTCTATGTCATAAGAATAAAATAAATTCTTTAATCAGCCATATGGTTTTTACCGTCAGGTTACGATATGGAGTCAATTTCTGTTTTAAGAGTTCTTGGTGTAATGCAGTAACACACTGAATTCACTTTAATTTTTAGTATTTTAAACCTAATTACATTCTAAAACTAGAATTGTTGGCTTAATTTTAAGGTGCTTTATTTTTTAAAGGCCATAGTTTAGATTTTACCTCAAGCAGTCCATTAAGCTTTTTATTGTTGTTAAAGATAAAGTTAAATGTTATTTATAAATACAAACCATAGAGTTCCTTTACAATCTAGGCTTACACAAACCATTAAATTTCTATTGTATGGAAAAGTCTTATGTCACCTCCACAACCTAAAAAATCTCCAAAGAATATTATCACCTTTTTGAGGCTTGTTGTCAACTGAGTCGTTAGACTTGCTCAATATACTATCATGCACTATTTTCCTTAAAAATTTAAATAAGTCTGATTAAAAACCATTTTTTTGTTGTTGAGAAAAATAAGTTTCCCATGTAATCTTGTAACAAAGTTTTATTGAGAAAAGGTTTCCCTTGTAATTTTGTAATAAAGTTTTATTAAGATAAAAGGGTTCCCGTGTTGTAATTAAGTATCTTGTTTCTATTATTTACTATGTAGTATGTATTTAAAAATGGTTAACACCTAGAAATACAAGAGCAATGGGTCTTTCAAATTTTGATTGCAACTTTTATGTTAAAATTCCACACCTAGTTACCATTTGAGGTTAGGTCATCATAATAACTGTGTTGAGCTTTTTCTCTTACAGAAATAATAACCTGCTATGTTTGTAGCCTAGGTTAAAAAAAAAACAGCCTTTTCCTTTGCGTTTCACATACTGTGATGAATAAATTTTAATTCTTTATAGACTTTGTCCCTAAACATTGTATTGTATTTGATTTTTGATAAACTAATTCACTATAAAGAGTTAAAAAGCAAAAGTGTTTGTATCTCATGTCCCATTGTGTTTGTAGCGGTTGATCCCAGTGGACGCAGGTTCAGACCTGTTTGTGTACAAAGCGCCAGAGGTACCTTGCAGCAAGATCTATACAGTCCGTCCCTACCTGCCGGAGGATGAACCTGGAGTATACTCTGTCTGCCGCAAGACTTATATGTTCTCTAGTCCTGCTCTGCCTAACCTCATACCAGACAGGTTAGAATGTCGCAGATGGATATGTTTTAAACTAAGTGTAATTTTGTAGAAATCTCATGTTTACAACTAATCCCAATCAGCATTTTTGGAATAAAATATTTTCAATGATTTCTTCCAATCTTTAAGTCTACATTTGGGATGTTAATGATAATTCCTTACAAAATTCCACTGGTGTTAACGATAAAAATAAAATAAATTAAAAAGAAACCGAAACGTTCAAGTGATTATAAGTTTTTCAGTGGCTTACAAAGTGATCAGTGCCCTTGAAATATGTATTCTACTGTGTTTTTACTTCGAGAGTGCAGTCGTTTCAGAACGTCTTGCTTGGCCAACCACAGGTTAGCTTGTAGTTATCTGAAAATGTTGTCCAGGAGTAAGAAAATAATAAATTTTTTTACTTAAATGTTATAGCATGCAATAGAAAAACATTTTGGTATAAGAATACATTCGTGTCATTCATATTCAAACTTTACAATAGAAAATGGGAGTATAATTGCAGTATTTAGACACACCACAGAGAAGTAAGGTACAGAGGAAACATTCAATGGTACACTTAAGTGGTGTCTAGGGCAAAGTCCATCACCACCCTCCCTGGCCATCATGGACTACAACGCTCATGGTGGAGAATGCCCCTGGGCCTTGTGGGATAGGAATTTCCACACACTGCTTGCCGTTCGGATCCGACATACTAGAGGCGAAATCGTACCCATAAGCGTGTTACCTCTATACCTTACTCTTTGGACACACATTTTACTCACCATGCACTCATTGGTGTCTAGACTGGTTGGTGCGTTCCTCACTCTGAGCCCTGAGCTGAGCATGATAGTGGAGGATGAGACGGGGATTGTGGGGTATGCAGTGGCAGCCCTGGACGCTAGACAGTTCTACGGCAAGGTACGGCTAGCTTGGCTACCCGAGATGTGCCAGAAATATCCTGCGACCGCTCCCTCTGAAAAGTCTACTCCAGAGGAGGTAAGTTTCAATTTAACTCCTTATTGCTTGTTTGGAATAGCCCCATCGAACAACGTTGCGAGTGACACATGTGAGTATTTTCAGATATTACAAAATCTTCTGGTCTCCAATGCCAATAAAGTTTTCCATAGTATACACCATCACTGTATCCCGCGATCAGAAAAATCATGAATGTCTCCTGTGATTGCCGAGACATCATCACTGTCTCTTGCAATCTCGGCAAAATTGTGACCACCTTCAGTGATTGCGGAGACATTATTGTGTCTCACAGTCACAAAGACATCATCGTCATCACTCACATTTGTGGCAAAATCGCTGACAGCCAAAACAAATCCTGACCCAAGAAAATCTTGGATGAAATCTAGTCCTGCTCAAGAGGTTGGAGATATATTTCTCCCAAAAAAATTCTTTTTGAACCCTTCCATCCCTAATTGGTTTTTACCTGACGTGCAGCTGTGGTTGTAATGAAAGCTAATTTAGAAAACTGTTTATGGCTGAGATTACCCCTGAAGCCTTTTACTCTATCCAGATTTGGAGTGTATTTTGATCAGAATAAAACACTAATACCAATTTATGAAACAATTGATTTTTTATGTTCGGAAACCTCTCAGTTGTAATGTTTGTCTAGGACATGATCAAGTGGTTCCACTCGCCCATGTTGGAGGATGTTCCTGATTCTATACACACACAGCACCCCTCCGTGATGTCTTGCTCACTACTGTCTACGGTGTTTGATCAGTCTGTGGCCAAGAGACTTATCATCTGTCTTCTGGCTGCCCTCAGGGCTAATGGTAAATATAGTACACTTTTGATGCCAGTTCCAGAATTTTTCATAGCGTCATAATAATATCTTGCACAATAGTGCAGTTTTTTCTTTCATGACAGCAACATCATGATAATCTCTCATGATTGTGGTGACATTGTGAATATTTCGCACTAACTCAGTAGTTGACTATTGCGATTGTTACATAAATTGCGATAGCGTTGCACACTTTGCGAGCATAAAAAATGCCATGTTATTTAAATTGCATAAGAAAAATGGGTATACAATTTTTTAGGGATGGACGAGATTGGATTTTTAGTTCGAGACGAGACGAGATTTTTTATTTCTCATAAAATTTCGAGACGAGATCGAGACGAGATTTCTCTTCTCATACACAACGGGAAATGCACGTTCGAAATTTTTACCTGATTTTGTAACATTGTTAGATGACTGTTTAAATACTAAAATAATAATAATAGGCAAGAATATTTACAATCTTTCATTAAATAACATCAGCATAACATTTTTTTATTAATCACGCCTAACTTATTAAAAATGCCTACGATTAGGAAACATGGTGATATCAGTTAGGATAGAGTTCAACTTATCCTAAAATAAAATAAATCATAAAATAAAAGCAATATTAATTTTTATAAAATAGTTACTTGTTTTGACTTTTTTTATAGTAATAAAACATTCCTCACACTGCTTACACTTAACAAAACTTCTCAAATGTTATTAAAGTAATATTATTAAAATAATGAAAGTAATATTTACATTAAAAGAATGAAAGTAATATTTACATTAAAAGAATTAATTAAATAAGAACGCCTTCGAAAAGGAAACGCAACTACAACACGCTCCTGTATTGCGGGTATTGCATTGACTTTCTGCAGGCGTTTTTAATTTTTTTTTTTTTTTTTTATTGTCTTGATAAAAATCTCGGCCAAAAAGTAATCTCGTCTCGTGTAACGAGATTGAAAATTTCCCGAAATTTCGAGACTTGACCATCCCTACAATTTTTCTGTATTCTTGGGACTTAAACATTCCTAACACATAATAATATATAATAACATTTAATATATTTGATAATTATCTATATATCTTTGAATAGATCAAACATTTACCTTTTGAAAAACTTTCTGTGGATTTAATAATATTCCTAGTTAATTTTAACTAGTTTTTTTACTGTGTATCCTAATTCCGTCTGGAACTGGGAATAACATCCAAAACCAAAGATCCAAGCCCATATTTTATAATTGACCATATCTGGATTTAGCTTATCACAAATAAAAATATTAATATTTAAAGATAGAGCGTAGAGAACATTGCCTTTGTACTAATTCTCCGCATTGTATTACCAGGTTCGTTTGGAGTGTACGTACCGGTCAGTTCGCAAGACAGAGCTTTGCTTGAGTTTTATTCTAAGCTCGGGTTTGTTGAACTATCCCAAGGAGCTTCACAAGAAACTATGTATCTCGGAAGGATATTTTAAACTATTCTTACCTTTAGGTAAGTATCTGTTAGTGATTGTTAACAGCAAAGAGTTATGAATCTTCCCTGTGTTTTTCCACTTCACTCTGATGGACATTCACAAAAGTTTTATAGCCAACAAATACAACAGTTTTTTGGGGGGGGAGTAATAAAGCTCTGCTAGCTTAACTTAATATTAGGCACAGAAAAGGTCAAACAAAAAAGTGCTTGAAACTATTAATTACTCCCACAAAGGATAAGACTTTTAGGTGATGAATTTCTGCGGACCTAATTAAATCCGTATTTTCTTCGGTTAACGTCTATATTTCATAAATATTTAGAGGTCATTGGGAAAGCAAGTTTGATGAAATTTATGGATGACCGTTAGTCTATAAATCAAAATTAACATTAAAAAATATATTTTTCTAAAAAAAAGAACAGTTACAAGTATTGTGATTTTCATTAATACTTGAATATTTTCAGGTTCCAGTACTGCTCAACGACTTAACCGACCACAACACTCTCAATCAGTGTATATAGTATTATGTAGATACATTACTGTATAGGTTTTTTTATTTCATTCCTTCTAAACTAGTTTCATTTACCCTTTCAATGTTATTGTTATATCTTATGTATAGTATTTAATATTATATTGTTACATTATGCACTGGATATGTTTATAGTTGTGTCATATCAGTCCATTTTCCTGTGGTTAAGGAACAATGATAAAATCATAAGGAACTATTAATTTTAAAGCCCATGTGGTGTGGGCTCAAAATCGTAATTAGGTTTTTGATGTAGTTTTTACAACCCTTTTTTAGTTGAAGATGGATAGTAACTAGAACTAGTTTTCAAAGGATATTTTTGATATATTTTAGTACTTTATTTAGAAGTTTTTTCCCAGATGATTTTTAGTTTGCCTTTTTAGTGTCACTAGCATTTTTTATATTTTTTTCCAAACCCTGACCATTTTGTTACAATTCAACCCTGATTGTTGTTAAATAGGTACTAAATCTAAGTACTATTTCTTGTGAAAATGAAATAGGCCTAATTTGTAACTGTATCAGGGTTTTACTTACGTTTTGCATCACATACTCTTTCATGTACTCATTATTTTTAGTTGAATGCATAAAATTAGGGTAATATTGCAATTGGCCAAATCAAAATTGAAAAACCATTGTCTAGTCATTTGACAAATTATGTTATGATTTTGTATCCTATGTAATGTATACCACTAAAATCACATCGAAGTAGTGTTTAATTTTGTATAAAGATTTTGTTTTTGCACCATTCGGCACCTAAAATAGTTTAAAGGCATGATTTAGTTTTAGTAGGCCTAATGTAAAGCATGAAACTTGATTGTAAATTAATCAATTGATTGTAAAACAATAAACAATCTCCTTATTTTTCATGTTTTTTCTTACAAACTAGCTGAAATAGAACTCAGTATTACTTCAGTAAGAAATGCTTAAATGTATGTTAAGTATTACACGTGTTGCCATTCAAAATTTATTTTTTAGTTCCTTATGTCGACTTTCCTTCTGTGAAGGGATATTTAAGTGTGATAGAAGCCCATCGTGTAAGAATTATATCTACCACTATACTAATGTATCCATACATATATCTGTTGTGTAAATAAATAATATCTAGCGTATATTATGCTCTAACTGATACTTTAAGCAACAATAACTGCTTTAATCTTTGGCTATTATCTTAAGTTTAAAGCACAAAATGTTAACGTTTTGGTTGCAAAGGTAGTGTTTTGTGTGGCTGTGTTTGTTGTTGTGATAGTAAAAGCACAATGTAAAACTGCCCAAAACTTCTAGCAATATACAAAGTAATGTATTACCAAAACACATTATCTACCAATAATAAATGTTGTAACATTATTTCGCTGCCAAGTCATACTGTTTGATTGGCTGTCTTTAAGTGGTCGTTTGATGTGAATTTGTTCTCTTTTATATATTTACTATATTCTACTGTAATAAATAAATAAATATTTACTAAAAGTGAATTTGTTCTATAACCATTTCAGAATCCTAACCTATTACACCTTTAGAAAGTGTGCAAAACCTTACAAATTCAGATAGTCCAATAATACATAGTATATCAAATTTATAACGGCTTATTATAAAGTAATTACAAATACATTTTTTAAAACCAAGGTAATCATAAAATAAAAATATTGAAATAAGAACAAATTAACACTATTATTGCCTTCAGTGTAGAACTCTACCAAAATATTGGCAACTAAAACAGTAGGAATAAAATGACCTACAAAGATGTGTATGATCTTATTAGTTATTATCTTGTAAAAATATGGCCCGCTGCTATTTGGCTTACTATAACAGCAGATAAGGCCACGGTAGAAGGCCATCAACTCAAGTCAATCACCTAAAAGTATCCTATACAAAACATGTTAATTTACTAATTTATGGTTTTATAAACAAGTGGAATTACTTTTGATGTAGTTTCGATTACATATTCTTCTATGACACTCAAACAAAACTGATAATTAGTCATGAACACAAGGTATGAAAATAACAGTTACTTTATACGAAAAAGTTTAATATTTTACTTCTAAAATCTTAGAAAAACATTTACAAAATTAAAATTAGAAAGTTAAATCTTAAAGCTACATAAGTTTTGGTTTCTTTTTCTTTGGCTTCACTGGCAGGGCTCCAGGTGTTTTGAAGACGGCACTGAAAAATATGGAAGTTTTTAATCATAACAATATCAAATGTGTTGATTTTCTTTAGTATAAATTATTGTTCACTACTATTTCTGAAAGTGGCTCATTTCGGGGCGAGATTGTGGTTTATGAGCAAGTTCTTGGTTTTATTTAATAAAACATTCTATTGTCTAGTGATTTTTGTTTTTAAGTTAAATATTATAGTTTTACAATTTATTTAAAAGTCAGCTGTCAAACATCCTTATATGTAATATGTGAAACCAATTTCTACGAAACGCTACTCCTCCGTTAACAATGGACGGATTTTTACGAATGATGCGTGTATTAAGTACTTTTTGTGTAGACGCCCCCTTTCACCAATTCCTGAAATAAAAGTCCTCGGACTTTGCCCCTCAGGCCATCAAAATCCCAATTTATATCTCATGAAGAAAAGATTTTGTTTACTTAAACAGACAAATAATTTGTATTAATTACAGCTGTTCATAATTAACACATGATACACACAAGAGCATTCATTTTCAGAGTGAGTTCGTTTTCAGTTTTCAGTTTTGATAACTAGAGTGGAGTGATTGATTACATTATTTTTTAGTTGACTCTTTCAAGTCATTATTAAAATGTTATTTATTTTGAAATAACGCGTGTAATACTTTGCAATTTCTCGAATTCGAGCAACAGGTGCACCAGTATTTTCTAATACCTGATGGTAGGCCCTTAGATCTACGTATACAGGTGATGTTAAACTTTTGCAAATATGTACCGCCCCGTTACGTTGCCTCTTTTTGTAATAACCACAAATATTAGAACAGAAAGTGGTATGGATCATAAACATAAACAAATTATGTAACTAGCGCCTGTTAAGCTGGTCGGAATCTTAATTTGTTTGGAACAGGAAAAGTAATCAGACAAAATTATATTTTTTGATAGAATGGATAACGTTGATATTAGTAGGCTAAAGTTCATCTGTGTGCAAACTAAATGTAAATATATATTCACAAGTAAATATGAGCTATTTTTGTATACAGATAGATGGAAACATTAATTCCATATAATCTAGATATAGGTATTTTGATGCATAGGCCTAACTTAACAAATTTTGAGGAAAGAAGATAACTCAAAACTGAAAAACATAATGTGAAATGTCCATGAAGGCAGAAAACCAATTGGAACGCCCAAAGCAAGATGGAGGAAAGTAAGAACATTTGGAATTATGATGATGTGAGTAAGATAAGGATGATGCCGATGATTTTTTTTTTTTTTTTTTTTTTAGGGAGAGGTGGGAAAATGCATTTATGCACACAGGTTGCTAGCCTGTAGTGTGGGACTCCAACGGGCTTAAGGCCCAGAGACTACCCACTAAAAACCTCCTCTACTCTTCGGACACTAGCCTGGGAACACTTGTCGCACTTCATCAGAACTAGGCCGAGTTTGCCTACGCCCGAGGGGCTTACGCCGTGTCTAGCCGTTTATTTCTTATCAAATCTAGACTATGTTCCGATCTAGATCATTCTTTTTAGCTTGAAGGACATTCCGGACAAAGTGCGACCAGCAGTCCCAGTTGTCCTCACCCTTCAGCAAGGTCTCACAGATCGATTCAATCGACAGCACCCCAAGATGTTGAATGGCCTCCTGGCGAAGCATATCCCATTGTGGACAGTGGAAAAAAGTGTGTTCCGCGTCGTCGGGAATGCATGGGCAGTAAATGCAGTCAGGTGAATTCGTTTTGGCCATCAAGTGCAGGTACGACTGAAAATAGCCGTGACCTGACAAGAACTGCGTGAGGTAATAGTCAACCTCACCGTGCCGCCGTTCTACCCACGGTTGGACCTGCCTGATGAGTCTGGCAGTCCAACGTCCTCGAGTCTCCCTTTCCCAGCTTTCTTGCCACATCTGAAAAGTGCGGGAGCGCTCTTCTGTTCTTGCAGCGTCCTTTCCGATGTAGCCTTGTCTCTGGTAGATTGCCTTCCTCTCCGCTGCCAAGAGTTTGACTGGGATAACTCCAGCGATCACCAAAACGGCCGGTTCGGACACCGTACGGTACGCGGAAGCGACCCTGAGTGCCGCCTGACGCTGCACTCGTGCGAGCCTCAACCTATACGCCTCCTTGTTAAGCGCGTCTGCCCACACCTCAGAGCCGTAGAGAAGCACGGACTGGACTGCAGACATCAGTAGTCTTCTACGGCTGGACCGGGGACCACCGACATTGGCCATAAGCCTACTAAGAGCAGCAACACTCCTAGCAGCCTTGTCCGCCGTACGGAAGATCTGGTCCCTCCAGCTCAGCTTGTTGTCCACCATGACACCAAGGTACTTGGCGGTTCGCGTGGTTTGGACAACTACGTTCCCAACTCGTAGCGGAACGATGGTTTCAATCCGTTTTTTCGTGAGGATGACGATCTCTGTCTTGCTCAGAGCGAGTGTCAGACCATGATCAGTCATCCAGGCGTTTACAACGCGCATGACTTGGTTCAGTTTCAGTTGGGCTAGCTCAACGTTGCGTGCAGCAATGAGGGCTGCGACGTCATCGGCGTACCCAACTAAAACGGTCTCCTCTGGCATCTCAGATCTCAGAAGGCTGTCGTAGGCAGCGTTCCACAAATCTGGGCCGAGTATCGAACCTTGCGCGGCACCGGAAGTAACATCCATCGTCCGCGAACCATCTTTAGTTTCGTAATTAAGAGTTCTGCAGCGCAGGTAGTCCTCGATCAGCCTCAACAGATATGCTGGTACGCGGAAGCTATTCCTCAACGCGCTCAACATATCGACCCATCTCGCCGAGTTAAAAGCATTCTTGACATCTAGCGTAACAAGAAGCACGATACGGCGAGAGTAATGATTGAAGCTCTCGGCACGCTCTACCGCTCTGTGTACCTCGGATATCGCGTCGATTGTTGACCGACCCTTTCTGAAGCCGTACTGACGAGGAGACAAATCTCCGGCAGCTTCCACGGCAGACGTCAGGCGGCAGCGGATCAGTTTCATGATGCCGATGATGGAGTAAGATAAGGATGATGATGGGAGTAAGATAAGGAGGATGATTATGGAACGAGATTAGAATGATAATGATGATGGAGTAAGATAAGGGTGATGATGATGGGAGTAAGATAAGGGTGATGATGATGGGAGTAAGATAAGGAGGATGATTATGGAACGAGATTAGAATGATAATGATGATGGAGTAAGATAAGGGTGATGATGATGGGAGTAAGATAAGGAGGATGATAATGAATTAAGATAAGGAGGATGATAATAAAGTAATATAAGGATGAGGATGGAATAATATAAGGAGTATAATAATCAAGAAAGATTGGATGATGATGATGGAGTATGATAAGGAGGATGATGGAATGATAGAGTAAGATAAGGAGTACCATGATAGTTGAGTAAGATAAGGATGATGATCGTGGAGTAAGATAAGAAGGATGATGATGGAATAATATAAGGATGGTGATGATGGTGGAATAAAATAAAGAGCAGTAAATGGAGTAAGATAAGGACGAGGAGGATGGGTGTAAGATAAGGATGATGAGAGTAAGATAAGGAGGATGATAATAGAGTAACAGGAGGATGATGATAATAGAGTAACATAAGGATGATGATGATGATGATGGAGTAAGTTAAGGAGGTTGGTAATAGAGTAAGATAAGGATGATGATGATGGACTAAGATAAGAAAGTTGATAATAGAGTAAGATAAGGATGATGATGGTGGAGTAGTATAAGGAGGATGATGATGACGGAAGTAAGATAAGGATGATGATGATGGGAGTAAGATAAGGAGGATGATAATAGAGTAACAGGAGGATGATGATAATAGAGTAACATAAGGATGATGATGATGATGATGGAGTAAGTTAAGGAGGTTGGTAATAGAGTAAGATAAGGATGATGATGATGGACTAAGATAAGAAAGTTGATAATAGAGTAAGATAAGGATGATGATGGTGGAGTAGTATAAGGAGGATGATGATGACGGAAGTAAGATAAGGATGATGCAGAGATTTTCATAAGTGTTACTAAGTTAAGGTAATCTAATGATTACAGTTCTTATGATAAGCCTTATGATGAAAAAGCTATTATTGTTTGTTTTCATTAAAACTATTTTACTATCAAAATAATACTTACTGACATGTTGTGCAGATGGGACTGAACTTACAGAAGACTGAAAAAATATTCATTTTATTAAAACAATTCTCCAGAATAATGGTGAAGTGTATTGGCCTAGCGAAATTATAATAAACATGTGTTTAAAATTGCTATGTATTGTTAAAACATATATATTTCACAAGTAAAGTCTTCATAATATGGTACGGGTACTGTACAACACTTCAAAATGCCTCCTTGTTACCCGGGATTGTCGGCAACTGAGGTAGTCTCGGTCCCATAAACCTCATTTAAGTTTGATACGTCTGGTGTATCAATTGAAAATCACCAACCTAAAGCCAGCTTCAGTAAACTTACTAGACAGACATATTGAGCAGACGTAGCCGATGTCAACTAGCTGCCGATGACAGAAACAAGCCGCGCGGTAGTCGACCTTGACTGGCGGCGGCAGTACCAGCTTCTTCCTAATCGGAGGCTCGGGCAGAAACACCCACAACAGGTACTGCAGTAGGCCTGGCAGTCTGGGAACGGTGAGTTTCAGATACAGCCCTCCAGTGATGTCACAGCCTTGCTGTAGCAGGCCCAGGTTCTGGTCTAGGCTGCACACGTCCAGGATCACATTCTGCGGAGAGGAACTCGCAAGTGAGATATTTTGAAAATTAGTGACATAACTTAGTGTGTGTTTTCAAATGCTTTTTACTTCAGACTACCAAACATGACTCTGTGATTTACCCAATTGGGACTAGGCCCTACAAGTTTTACCCTCTGGTAGTTTAATTTTTTCTGCAACAGTACCTGTAATTATACAAAATACGTAACAATTATGATTTTTTAATTCTAATTTCATACTTCATTAAACAAGTGACTAGATGTATTTTAGGTAGCAAGTGAAGCAAATAATATTAAAAAAAATCTAGAATGTAATACATACTTGCTTCTGTGCTGTGAAAAAGACATTCATATAGTTCATGTATTGCGAGGCGCTGTCTCCGCTCCCTGTGATGACCAAAATACGAGAGTTCATCTTGACTCCGGCAGACAACTCCCTCTCGAGTCTGAAAATTGAAATTTTAATAAGCGAAAGTATTTATTTTATATTAGTTAACCTTGTGCAATCAGAATAAATAAATTAGGTAGAGTGTCTTCGTCCAAGAGGGTCTTTAAAGTTGGGGAGCAAGCTGGTCTACTGCAGTGGTTAGAGCGTGGGACTTTGGTTCCTGGGGTCCCGGGTTCAAATCCAACCAATTCATCAATGGATTTTATACTTCAGGTGATAATGCCGCAACCCCTAGGTCTAGCCTGAAGTAATGTGAAAAACAATTCCGGGCTCGTGCCTGGGGTCTTAGGACAAAAAAAAGTCCAAGGGAGCCAGCTCTACTGGATTTACTTTTTTGTATCAGCATAGGTAAATTTCATATCAGTTGTCTTTCGTGCATGGATTTCCAACATAAAAACACTTAAACACTACTGCCAGGAAAAGACTAATTTTTGTACACTCACTAAAACCACCAAGATGGGGCTCTACCTTAATCTTGCAAAATTCAAGATTTGTGGGGTTAAACTAAAAATCTATTGTAGCAGACAAGGAATTTGATTTACCTATGAATGTAACAGAGTGCCATAGCGAAGGCACCGGCCAAAAGGGATTCAGCTGTGACAGAGTTTGTATTTCGCAGAACAAACTGTTGCAAGCCGTGGCGGATGGTTTTTTCTGTGTGTGTGAACAGCTCGTATTGGCCATCCTGCTGTCTTACTGCAGACGCTGACTTGTCCTCATTCGGATATACAAACTCACTGAAATAATATAATTTATGTTAAACGGTCTTCAAACATTGGTCAAGCCTTGGTCATGGTCATAATTTCCTCACTTTTTATTTAATGCAGAATTGTACGAATGAATTACACTTTGTCAGGCAAGTAGGTAAAATTTTATGTGACGGTGTATACTTCTAAATAGATTAATTACTAACAACAACAACAGGTATATAACACTAGAACCTCAATAACAAACCTCTTGGTAGTAAGAGCCTTCATAAAAGGAGGGGGGATTTTAGTTAGGGACTTACTGATTTTCTACTATACTTTACTAAAGCTCAACTTTTTGTCCTAATATATGTAATTCTATTCAACAACTATTGAAAATAACACAAATAAACATGTTATTCCTTTTCCTACATTAAATTGTAAATTAGTTAATGGTAAAATAAATTTACAACTATTTTGCTAACCTTCCATCAGCATTGCAGGCAAGAACTGCAAGCTTGTTTGTTGACTTAAGCATTAGGTGAGAGTTTGAGAATGCAACAATGGCATCCAGACACTGGGAAAGCCGATGACGTTGTTCCACCAAAATACGCTGGGCTGGGTTCACGTCTACCACCACTATTAGCAGACTGGTCTCCGTCTCTGGTTACAAATGAAAATTACAACAGTATAAAAACTGTTCAGCAAGCAAGTTAGTTGGATACACAGTGGAAAGTTTAATAAATTGCAAACATTTGCGAGTTTTTAGGTCTAAAGGTTAGAGTACCGGGTTACAGTAACTCAACTGGGCTACCCTAATATCGATTAAAACTATAGATTAATAATAGATTTAACTAAATCAATTATAAAACAAAACTGTTATAAACTGTTGTTTTATTTTTGTTATCAAACTTTGTTTGTTATAAATTATCCTAACTAACCAAACCCGCTGATAATGAAAAAATCTAATGAAGTTAACTAGGTATTCAAATTGATACTTTCAATCAATATTAGAGTCACTTAACATATTAGCCCAGTTAAAAAACTGTATCGGAGGGGTAGACTTTCATAAGTGGGACTAAAAACAATCGAAATGAATATATTTATCGATTATTTCATTCGATAAATTATATCAAGCTTTGGTTTTTTTCAAACTAACCGAATGAAATAATCGATCTGATATTTTCATTCGGTTGGTTTGGCCCCAATTATGAAAGTCTACCCTACCATACCATTCCCATGCAGAGAACCTACAATAATTATATTATCTGATAAAATTATCATAAAATACCAAATATTATAAAATATTACCTTCTGTAGCCATTGTAGACTTTGCACGACAGGTCTGGTGTCTGGGGGATTAATGAAACTACAAATAGGCCTCTTTAAGTTTAGGCAAAGACAATTATATAACTAAGGTGATCTCTTGATTCTCTTGCATTTTGAAAGGTTTTCATTTATATTTTGATAATAAACAACAATGTGTAGGAAAAAACCAATTACAGGTATTAAGAAGTACAAATAACTACAAAAATAACAAGTTAGCCTACAACCACTGAGCTATCTCAATGCCTACAACTTTTGTTTTGTTTGACACAAGCCAAACATAACCTTATTTCTTTTATTATTTTTTTAGTTTTTAATTCTTGGTTGGGGTGCGCTTACTATAATGTCTATGAAGCTGTGATGTCTTCTCTTCTTCCCCATTGCAAGAGACATGCAATGTTTTTACAGATTAACATCATGGTGGAGGTGGAAGGAAAGAAAGATTAACATCACATCCCATTATAAACGTAAACTTAAAAAAAGATGATCAATCAAATCGATTAAGAATAGTATCATAGATCAAACAAGGAGTCGCTAAAATTTCCCTTGGAAACGATTCTTTCGAATCGATGGAAAACAGTTTTTTTCAAAAGCATTGTGGTTTAATTAATTAAATTCAACTTTTATGAATATGAATATTGACAATGGTCAGAAGTCCAGAGTACAAAAACGGTACAAATCACGTCGTACATGCAAAGTAATGTTGCAACGCATTTTGTAATTTTGGAATAAAGGACTTATGACTTAAACGATAACCTAAGGTGTAACCATAGATTTTTATGCTTTATCTATGGTGTAACATCAGCATTAAGTGTGTCAATGTGTTTAGTCAAGGGCGTAGACAGGATTTCCTTTTGGGGGTGCTGATGATATTCATACAGGTCAGCAGGGGGGTTTGTTGGAAATGACCAACATACAGATGGTCCGGGATGTTGAAATTTTAGAGCAAAATTGTGGGTTTTAAGCTTTTAAAATCTCTTATTTCAATTTATTCCGGACCATAGGAAAATGCAGGTTAAAAAAACCTCAGTTAGTTATTGTTATGAGCACCTTCAGCACCCCCCTGGCTACGCCCTTGAGTTTAGTAAAGTTAAATTTTGACTATCGTGACGAAAATCCTATTAGGTGCATGTTTGAATAAAAATAATATCATGTTGGAAATCTAGGATGCTTTTGCACGTCCGTTGATGACACTTGTTTTTGACTTAGCTAATGCATTTTTGTCAATTTGGCTGAATAAAGGCTTAGTTTTGTGATGTTTATTATATTACCAATGTTTAAAACAAATTTGTATAGTGACAAATGTAGTATACCTATGTAATTAAAAAAAAAATACTTTTACTGTGTTGGCTAACCTGTAGCACTGTCGTAAACATTATCAGTCATGACTGGAAACACTGGTCATGGCCGAAGAGCTGTCTCTTCTGTGATGGTGATGTGATGTAAATAAATTTTGGTGCTAAGATTTTCTAGTGTTTTGTTTTGTTTGCATTTTACATGTTCTCATGATGTCTATACTATGGGCTCCTGTAAAAGAAAAGGACAGATATGGAATTGGTAAGTTTAAATATTACAATTTAATTTAATGAAGAGCTAACCATTGCTAACCTTTTATTAGTCCCAGGCTGACTTACCCTGGTTTTAACACCTTCTTTACAACTATGATAGTATTATTAGGCTAGATTTATTATTGTATAAAGCTTTAAAAAGTTTTGGCCTAGGCCTAATTAAAATTTTTCTGAGACAGCTATGCCTACTAAGTTTGCCACAAAGCTACACATAGACCTAGGCAATTTACCCATCCCACACCCATCTTTCATTCATAGCCTATAACTTAATGTGAAAATGCCCGAGGAAATTTTTTTAGGTGAATACCTACTAAGTTACTAGGTAGTAACATAGTAGGTACTCACCTAAAAAAAAAATCAGTAGGAATAAAATTGCTGTTTAACTTATAAGTTAGGTAAAGTTGGCTTTGCTAAGCTTAACTTAGGCTACAAAAAAAAATATCGGCCCACTTCCTGCCGATCTAGTCCGGTTAAACCAATGTACTGATAAAAATTGTTCGGTTAAAGAGATGTCATTTCTGCCGAGTGTAGTACGGTTAAACCAATGTCCAGTTAAAAGGTGTCCGGATAAGGTGTCCAAAATTATAGGCCTACTCCTTTTAAAACTAACTAGGCCTAAGCATAGCCTAACTGAACCCATCAGCGACACAATCAAGGGCACTCTTGTAAGTTAGTAACTCTGTAGTCACTCTTAGCTAAGAACATTTTTTTTTACCGTATTTGTCTTTTAACGCTGTTCAAGTCCGATTCCAGCTGGAGGGAGGGGAGGAAAAATAAGAATAGTTTATTGCCATTGACCATGTAGGCTACAGAAGGAATAGGCATTGTTAAGTTACATAATAATAGAATCAATTAAGGGGGGTACCGGTACACTTCAATATCTGTTGGCACAAACAACCGAATGAGTAGCCTAATATTGATTACCGGGTATTCGATTGTTTAATTTGATATATCGATTGATATTTTCATTCGGTTGTTTGTGCCAACAGATATGGAATTGTACCCGTAAATAGGTAGGCCTACATAATATACATACATAACACCAAGATTCATTAAGTTAAGTTCTAAAGAGTTCCAAGATGTAGGCCTACGGTAAATAAAATAAAAAAGTACAAATAGTTTGAATTAGGTAGCCGTTTGATCAATTTCCATTTTGTGTTCTATGAATTATTTAATAGGTAGGCTACTCTAAAACGGGTTTTCCACGAGCCTATACAAATTTTTGATTTGAAAGTGGAAAGAGAAGGTTAAATCTTGAGAAGCTCAGGCAGCTTGTTGTAAATTTTCACACAATTTAATTTTAAGGAAATAACTTAGGCCTACCTGTGGTGGCCAGTCTGTGATGGGGTATGTCTAGCTGTTTCTTTCCTTTGTGGGAAGTGTGGGTAGTTCTGCCTCGTGGAAAACTCATTTAAATTAGCTTTTTTACTGAAACAGAGTAAGTTAGTTGTATAGATTTACCATTGTAAAAATGTGTAGTCTGATGAAAAGTGGTTTGCAGTGCTCCGCAGGGTCAGTCCCCAACATTGTGCGGAAGACTTCCTTTTGTATAAGTAGGAGCGAATGAACAAAGGGGGTATGGCCACATGTTAGAATTCCATTTTATGAGACTGAAACAGTCCAAAATAGGCTAGTTTTTAAGATATTCAATGCTGACAAGAGGCATTAACTTCCAGAATAGAAATGAAACTCTCCAGAGTTTTTTGCTTTGATTTGTGAGTAGGCTAGATTCATAAGTGTAATACCGTTGTAAGTCTTAATGGAAGTGTCTCTTAAAAATGTCGTCAAGTGAGAATTTGAGAATTGTTACGTAGTGAGGAATGCGTAGGTGAAGATTGATATTGGTTTAGGCCTAGGTTTTTTTTATGTGAACCAGAGTTTCCAAAATGTATTAGACCTACATAAGTTTTAAGGAAAGTAAGTTACCCTAATTAACTTTTACATAACATGTAGCCTAGGTTGTACATAATAGTAAGTTATTGTTTGCTATGTACCTTACATACAGTAGGCCTAATTAATTTACTATAGGTGCCTCCAAACAAATTTTCAATTTTGATATAATTCTGTTGGTGCATTCTTACCTGTTGTGCTGCTTTTGCTGTCTCCATTTCAAGAGACCAGCGTTTTAATCCTTTCCCCGTTACAAACTCAAGTTAAGTCCACCCTCCTTACTTTGTCTATAATCCTCCATCCTACAAAAGTAGTGTAAACAAACATTGGTCACAATTACATTAAAGAACATTTAATTTGAATCAACTTACTTACACATGTGCTAATCAATGACTATAGAAAGAAGCTGCGGGGGGCTGAAGTGTGTCCAGGTTAATGGCAAGACGTAAACAACTGCCAGCAATTTTGCCAACTCGGCTTCTAGTAGCCGCATGCATTTCAGCCGAATCATGGTTTATATAGCTTTTACGGCGACGTTATTGACCATATCATTTAATCTATTTTTTATCATTTTTTACTAAAAGAGCTACTTACTGCGCCTATCTACTATCTTGAATTGTTAATTTTTTTGTATAGCTTTGTAAAAATGTCAATTTTCTACTTTTTTTGCTCTAAAAAACAATAATTAGGCATAACAAAAATATATATTTGAGGTCCCCTAAAGTTTTTAACATGGCGACTACGAGAAAACAATTTTTCCATATTTAGTCTCGATAAATAGTATCGGAAGCAGCTAAATAGACATGTTTTGTCGTTTTTTAGAGGGGTGGTGATGTGTCTTAAGATAGGTAAATAAATTTTTTGACTAAAGTGGTTTGTGATTTTATAATAATTGCCGAGCAATATTTACTCATTATGGATGCCAATATTTAATCTTTTAATGTTTGAATTAAATTTTAATTGTGATTAAGTTTACACAAACATTTTGTAGGATTGGTCTCCCCAGTAAGGATTACAATGTGCATTGAAAAAAACGGTCAGATAGTACTAGAGGTTTACTTTGGTTAAACTAGTTTTATGTTGTATTTTTCAATACAGCAAATTAAACTTGTTTTGTTACAACAGTGAAACACATTTATAAATAAAGTTTAAAAAGGCCTTTAAATTCCCTTATTTACGTTTCCACTAAGTTATGGTAAAAAATAAGTAGCCATTACAAATCTATTACGGTAGGTACATCATTTTAAACTTATTTTTTTCGTTAACATAAAATCTGTGAATTTACAAAACGACTGGGTAAGTTTTTGCCCTACCTAGCTCATTGTTAAGCAGGATATCCTGCTTAGAGATTGAAGAGCCCACCTGCACTAGCTTCTCCATTGTTGGTATAAAAATCATGGCAAAAATAACTAATTTCATAAATTACTATTTGAAATGATTTTTAAGTCCAATGAAAAAATTATTGTATTGTAAAAAAAATTACGAATTGTGATTTTTATTTTATCAGCTAAATTGATCTAATCTTGGACAGATGTTAGGCCTATTTGTTTGTACACCTTCTGTAATATGACTGATGCTTTAATTGTGTAATGTAAATAGGTACAGAATTCATTGTTTAGCCTGATCTCTTACTTTGATTCTGTTTCTCTAATTTAGATTAAGGTAGGCCTCCTACTTTGTATGGTCGCCATTTCATTGACACATTTCATTAACAGTTACAATAATCTCAAGCAACGCGCTAGCATAATTTCTTATAATTAGAAAAATATTAAAAATTGTATCAACATTGTTTTACATAACACAATGAAACATTCTATTGTGATATACCCTACAATCTTTAAAAAAGCAAAACTTGCAAGTTTTTAGGAATAAACAAAAATATCAAATGGATAATTTATTTTCAAGCAGGGGACTAAATGCATAGTGCCCATCACATGACTAAATCAGTAAAAAATGCATTAAATGCTTGCAATGTTATATACTACAGTAGAACCTCGATAACAAGACACTCATGGGTATTATTTAATTGGTAAGACTTGTTATCAAGATTGACTTCTTCAGTAACATAAGATTAAGGGTAAAATAAATTAAAGGGGATTTGAAAATGACTATTGTTATCAAGGTTCCACTGTATTACCGATTACTTTTACCTGTAGTAAAACGGTTAAGCCGTTGAAACATGCATCACACAATAAAACTGCCGATTTAAGTAAATTTTTGATGATAAAAAAAATTAAGATGCGTTTTCATGTATTGTTTTGGCTAGAAAAAAATATCAGTTAAAGTGTTCTCCTTTAAAGATTTTTTTGTTGTTATTTTGACAAATATTTGAGTTATATTTTCTTTAATTTAGCACTCACCATATTAGCACTATATTTTCAATTTTTTTTTTTATTTTAGTTGTGAATTGAACATTTTGGAAATGAATTGACGTTTCTAAACTCTTGCAAAAACAAAGTAGGGATAGTAATTAATAAATGTCAAAAGACCTTTATGAGTTTACAACTGAGACCCCTTTTGTAACAATATATGACTGCCAGGCAGCTAGTCCATTTTACAACATGCGATCCACATACAACATCAGAAACATTTATAAAATATTTATTTTCAGCAATCCACAACTATCAGCAGGAAGATGCACCAATGAGAATCAAGATAACAGTTGGAGAATGTGTTCACATCCTGGAAGAAAACGGAGATTGGTTTTACGGGTTCACCGCCAAAAACCGAGGTCTAAGAGGGATTTTCCCCAAATGCTACGTGAAGATTATGGAGAGTGTCGTTGACAAATCTGGGTGAGTATTTTGCACAACTTAATTAGCCTAAGATAGAAATGTTTAAGTCTAGGTTTTTGGATTTGAATTAATCTTTAGATATTTACATTGAAAATAGCCTACTGATCTTATGAAAAAAATACTTGTGCGTATAATTTATTTACAGTTTATTGCAGTAATTTGTGGATTAGTTAGGGTTTTAAGACGTAATAAATGAGAGTGAAAAGTAATTTCAGCAGTTCTTTTAGTTTTGGAAAATTTAGTGAAAATAATAGTTAAAACTTCTGCTATACTAATCAGCAATAACTTTTAGAAAATGTCTACAATAATCCGTAGAGCAACATAAATTCAACATTGTCAAGAACAAACTTAAGGCAAAAATCTTTACTATTACTCGCGTCTATTAATTCATAAAATTTTTTGGAACTGTGAGAAGTCTGGTAATTTAAGAAAATTTTGGTTGTAAGAATGTTAAGTTAATGTATAGCTTGAGAAAACTAGTTAAGGAGTGCCTACAATAATTTAAAACTATTAAAACTTTGAAACGTGAATAAACCATCATTTAAAAGTATATTCCTGTGTGATGGTATTATAACCGCGACTTAAGATTAAAATGGTTATAATTGAAGCTTTAAGCACATACATTTGAATATTGTATTCAGTAAATCGTTAAGCAAGTTAAATAGTTTGCATACATTTAAAAACATTTTTCATCACCGTTAAAACAGAAGTGAAAAATTATGAATAAAGTCAATTAATAGTGGAAGAAACTGATATAATACCCCTTATAAAACAATAACATTTTATTGGAAGTAGCGTTCAATAAACTCACTTGTGAACTGTAGCTTATGTGTGAACCAGAAAAATAACTGACACAACTTTATCGAGGTATTTTGGATATTAGTAAAAATAGTTCTGTTTTAAGGAAATCAATCTTTATTTGATAAAAATGCATCCTGTTTTGCCCGTTATAAATAATAATGTCAATCAATGTAATCAATTCTATGATACTAGGTCCTTTAATTTGACTAAAAATTATCTGATCTTATATAAATAGTAGTGAAACTATATTAATTTAAATTACTAATAAGTTTTCCGTTTTCAATATAGGCTATCTTTAGTTAACTAAAAAAAAACTTTGTCAACAATACCTAACCATTATGAATTGACCGGTTGGTTGAAATATTGAACCTACGTAATAGATGTCAATTGGTGAAATAAATGGTCCACTGAAATCTGACCCAGAATCTAAACTGAGTACCCTATCATAAAAAATACCTTTGATTAAAGTTATCGTTGTGCATTATTTTGTAAAGAAATTAATTTTGCAAGCACATTTAGAGATTAATTAATGTCTCTTTAATTGTTTTTAAAGTGCATAGTTCAAGGCTGCAAAGGATAATTGTTTTAACTTCAAAAAGGTTTAAATAGGCTACCTGATATTAGGCAATTCATTAAGATTGCAAATATAAAAAAAATAAATAAAAAACTGTTGAAACTAAAATATAAGTTATGGACATTTCCTGCCACAAAAGTGTTAAAAATACACTATTAATACTACTCCCCTTTTGAAGTGATCTATTTTATAATAACAAAAAGGCGACAAAAAACATATGAAACTAACACTAAACACATAATAGATTATATCATTCAGCCAAAAGTCTTCAAGGTAATGGTATGTTTCCGTAGTGTTTTGCGAGTGTTTTTTCCCATACTTACTTCAAGGCTTTGGACTGATAAGTGGGTGTTAGTAGTGTTTAGATCTAGTTTCATTGTTTTCTTGTCAAAATTTTTTATCATGTATATCGTTTCAGGTTATTTTCAGGTCCTTAAGTAACACACGTTGAAATTAAATGAAATCTGTTTATTGTCCTTTGATTTTTACAAATTATTGAGAATGTCATATAACAACTAAAGTTATAACATAGTCAGTTAATAAATACCATACAGCTAACTAGACAAAATGAGACATGTTACAATAATTATTTTAAATATTGCAATTGAATAATCTTATTCTTAAGAAAAATTGGTGGCATTTAGAATAATGGAAGTGATTATATCCCATAACCAACAAAATCCAACAGTATTTCGGTCAATTTGCTAACTCGTAACTTGCTCATTTGTAATTTGCTAGGTAGATAGTAACTTTTCAGAATGTAACCCAATGCAGGTTTTATTCTTTAAACGTTTTTAAATCGCCTAACAATATCACTATGATGTCAATGAATGGCAGATGGCGTGTGGATGAATGGTAGCGTAGTATGTGAGGTGTGTAGAGAACGGTGTATCATAAGATGTGACTGGAGTGTTGTGAATTCTAATGCAAACCTTGGCTGTCTGCCATTTCCTGCACAGCTCGGAAATGCTAACAGCCTTTGGAAGAAATTAATTGAATAGGCCTACAGTATATTTAGTTTTTATATTTCCTACTGGATATATTAGTTTCCGTATTTGAAAATTTTGCATACGGTATTTATAATTTTCTGTTTCCATAATTTTTCTTCTTGTGTATGCTTTGAAAACTGTGATACAAAAATTTACTCCTCAATTTTATTTTCTGTTTCAAAAGAATAAACATAGATGTCCTGTGCTGCATAAATAGCTTATAGTTTTTTTAATTTCTACTGGAAAAAATGATTACTTGTATTAATAAAATATTAATCTCTCAAGAAAATTATACTGGAGTACCTAGATGACCTAAAAGCAAATATGAATGGAAATCTTGTACTTTGTCCTATGTGTTTTAATCTCTGGTCGAATACAGATTGTGGAAACAAAGAAAAAGTACACTCAAATGTAGTAAAAAAAAGTTGTGTATTTTTTTTTTTATTTCAGGCCAACAGAAGCAACAGTGTTAAAACAGCCTCAAATCGTCCAGGAATTAACGTCAGTCCTTAGAGAATGGGGCACTATATGGAAACATTTATTTATTGTAAGTATTTATTTAGATTATTCTTTACTTCAAGGTTATGTTTATATTTTAAATATACCATCTCATTTTTTACCACTTTTATTTGAGACATTTATTTTAATCGTAAACTAATCAGTTATTTTTTTAAAATCTATATTAGAGTTCTGTTATCGTAGATGCAAGCAATCAATTTGTTATAAAGATATGAAATACTTGTTTCTCCTTCTTGAATTAATTTGTAAATGAAAGCAAGTGTTAAAAACTCTATATACATGTTGGTTGTATTATCACGTATTTCAGTGTAGGGAGTCATCAATGCTTAAGGTGAACTAATGAACTGGTGGTCATGATATTGCTAAATGTGTTTAGCCATTGGTGGAATTGGTTGATGTGTCCAAGATCAAAGTTGCTCTTCCCTCTAGAGCAATGAAAACTTAGGTGGGATTTTATTAAGGTCTTACATTCTTACCCCAAAATGAGCTTCACTCAATTAAACACCTTAATTGAATTCTAATGATTGATTTCACGCTTTTCAAAAGATTAACTTTATCTTAAAAAAATGGTAATAGTTTTTAGTAAATTTAACCAGAATTATGTTAATAAATTGTGATAATTTGTTTGTTAGATGCACGACAAGAATTTCAAAAAGATAGAACAGAACTTGTACGAGCTGATGAGGTATCGTAGTCAGATTTTGTCCGGAACTCTTCCCGTTGATGAACTGAAACAAGTCAAACGTCTAGTCACCTCCAAAATCGATGTTGGGAATAAGTAAGTATTTATGTTGTAATTAGTTATTTGTGTGAGAAGTGGCACTTTGCTGCGCACGATAGAAAAGTTTACGGGCGAGCTGCAGGCGAGTGTGGAAAGTTTCTCGAGTGCAGCAAAGGCACTTTGCACTCACACATGATATTTTTCCTACAGTTACTATTAAGCATAGAAATAATTAGTATTCCAAACAGTAAATAACACGTTTTAGGTTAGGTTAAATCCAAGCATTGAACGGAATGAGAAACACTGCATCAGCTGATCGTAGTCGTAGTATCCCTAAGTGTTGCCAACCTATTTCCAAAAAAATGCTCACTGTTTTGCGTTGTTTGGTTAGAATACTGGTGTGCGGCAAAAAAAGTGCAGAAAAAAAAGCGTGCTTAAAAAAACCGTAAGTAAATGCAGCAATTATTAACTTTCTGTACTATAATCAGTGCAAGGAAGCAATTTGTCAGGTGACTGTAGGAAAAACATATTGTAGTTCAAACTTGGCCGATCTGTATGACAAAGAGTTAACTATTTTTATTTCACAAAACATTTTATTTTCAATAAAATATCACCAACCCCCTGAATTAATTAAATTCAATGGAACATATGCGGAACAATTAGTAATTGAATACAGGTGGTTTCTTATTTTATGTAATCCTAAATTTTTAATAAAATCTCAGTCTACAGAATATTAATGCCATTATTATTTTCCAGTTTATTAGGTTTGGACATGGTGGTCAGAGATGAACATGGTAATATTCTGAATCCTGAACAGACTTCAACCATCCAGCTCTACTGGCATCATGAAATTGCTGCCGAGAGGATAAAAAAAGCTATTGTGAGTGATTTTGCACGTAACAAATTATTCATAAATTTGTTTACGTGTTACTGGTATTAACCACGAGGCAATTTATCTGGTTGTTTCACATTCAATGAAAGATGGGTCTTATAACTGCAATAGATTGTTACTGTTACGTTTTTCTTTAGGAAAAAGCACTTGGCTTGGGAATACAGTAAGGAAGCAGGAAGAAGGAAAAATGCATACACAACTAACTTAGCTAAGAAAAGTTATATTTTGTTCGTCCCACAAGGGGTTTAGAGTTCAGATTATTAAAGATTTGTGTGTAATAATTTGATTCCTCCTTTTTAAAAACTGTATTAATTTATAATCTAAATAGTATTTGATTTTTCACTTGATTTTCAGTCGGAACCAGTAAACAAGAAGACTCCCCGGCCTGCCAGTCAGTCGTTGACACACACTATGTTCGTGTCTCTGCGGAACTTTATCTGTAGATTAGCAGACGACGCGGAACTGTTGATGACTCTGTACGACGGCAAGGAGAACAAAGCATTCACAGAAAACTACGTCGTCAGATGGAGTCAGGATATGTCTCGCAATACTGACCAAATACACAACCTTAGGGTGTTGTTTACCGTGAGTATTTGTAGTAATAAAAGTTTTTTTTTACGTTTGAGTGAATTTCTTAGGGGTTTTGAGAATTTTGACACAAATGCAAACTTTTGTAAAATGTGTAGCATTGATACAAAATAGTACACTGAAAATACACCTGAGAATCTAGGCAGGTTCTTCCAATCATACTCGATTGTTTAAATGTTGAAATTAGATTTAAGTGGAATCTAGGTTATATTACATATTTTGGCCCTTGGTATATAATTTTCTCGGATAAGCTAGCTGTCCTCTATTCATTTTGAAACAAATTCTTAACTTGCAAGTGTAAGTAACTTTTACCATTTGTTTAATCAGTTTTTAGAGATAAGAAGTAGAAATAAATAATTTTACACAATTAACTTGTGTTTATAAGAGTTCTGGTCATTTAATAACTTAAAAAGCTGTTAGTGCAATTATTTGATATTCTCTCATCCAAGGGAGATTCTTGGTAAAAAAGGTTTGCCCATAAAATGCCTGGGAATTTTTCACCCTCATAAGACACACATCTAATCACAATCTAATACCACATCTTCAGTAGTTATGTACATGTTTGATGTTCAGGACCTGGGATCGCGGGACCTGAGCCGAGAGAAGGTGTACTTGGTGTGTTACGTTGTTCGGCTCGGAGGTATGGAGGTGAGAGATGCTGACAAGGAGAATAAGAAGTCATCACGCCAGAGCATCACTAAGCCCCCAGTGGCGACGGGGGACTGTTTACGGCGACCCTACGGAGTGGCGGCGATAGACGTGACACTCTACATCGCGGGGAAACTAGAGTCCGATGAGGATAAACACCATTTCATGCCGTTCCTACCGTTAGTGTGTTTTTACATCTCATTTACGAAGTACCTAATGTTTGTTAGTTGAAATGTGCGTTTACGGTGATCACAGTTTTTGTGATTTAAATCATTTATAATTCTAACAATGTAAGATAGAACAGAAGGGTCTAGGTTTCAAGAACTTTTGTTGGTATAGTTGTCTTATCTTAATGGGAAATAGTCCACTGTGACACAAGAAGCACAAAATAATTTTCCATTATACACTAAAGCACTGTGTGTGAATTTTAGCTGAATAAACAAATTTGAATTTGAATTTGTCCCTAAAGCATCTTTAATCAAGGAAGTCTTTAGTTAGGAAGAGAGAGTCCCTTAGGAACCCTTGGAGCCCTTCTTGGTTGAAGATTCTGTCATTAACAGTAAAATAAGAGGGCGGGTTTTTAAGTAGGACATTTTGCGTATAGTTCCGTAGTTTGCTTGTACGCTGCAACAAGGCTGCGTGGGAGATAAGGCCAGTGATACGTTTTTTACCACAAGAAACGTATCCGATGCCAAAATTAATTGCTAGATGACTGAGGGATATGACTCTACAGTAATGCAATGAGTGAGGGTAAAGTGCGGAAATATGTTATGGAGTGAAAAAAATGGTTCTGAAATCCTTTTTCCTTTGTGGTCTTCTGTGGGAAGTCTGGGGACACACAAAAAAAACTCAATTCTTTCCTAAATGAACATTTTCACAGCCATTTTTAAACTCCCTAGCATATTTTTGCACTTCCCTGCTCATTCTGTTCACAAATGATGCCAGTAAGCAGTGAGGAGCCTCCAGGCTTTCCTCACAAGTACGTCGCTACACACAAAATAACCCTTACTTCTTAATTACCTTGATTAACCACTCTTGTATTCTAACTTATTGTGTTTCTGTGGCAAAGAGAACTTGTTCCCATTCAGGTAAGCATGCTATCCTCACAAGAAATGCTAAAAACTTAGGCCCTTGTGCTCTATGTTCCATCCTTAATTGATAGTGTATTTTTTAAAGACAAAATATATTCAATACTTAATTCATGTAATTTGTTATGTTCCAGATGTGAAAAGGACAATTTAGACGGAACTCTAAAGCGAATCATTTCCAACAAAGAGTTGTCTCAGAAAGATCACAAAGGTCAAGGGATTCACTGCAGTTTCAAAATGCTACAAGGAGACATAAACCAGGTATATATATTTATATATTTTTGTAACCACAAAGGGTAGGTACACCTACTTTCTGGCCTTTTAGCATAACAAAACTATTACTTTCTCCCCTTCTACTAGTATACAAAAATTTATTGTTTTTGTCAATATTTTAGAGTTTGATTTGTGGGTAAAAATATTTGTTTTTAGTCACCTGAACACAAAAAAGTGGTTTTCAAAGCGATGTCTGACTGTGTATGTTGTGAGCATGTGTACAGAGCTACAGACGGACTACACCTGAGGTCAGATTTTAACTGATTTTTTATGAGAATCAGGTGATACTGCCAATCTATATTTTGAATTTTTGAATTTGCTTGCGTTTTTCCCATAAAAACACACAAAATAACAACAAAATTAATTTGTTAAAAAATACAATTCGATTCAAATTTAGTACAGTAGACTCTCACTCATCCAAATCGGTTTTGTCCAGACTCCCGCTAGTCCGGATCGGCAATTTTGATTTTTTTGCGGCACAGTACAGTAGAAGTCCGATTATCCGAGCCAAACGGGACCGAGATTACCTTGGATAATCAAAAACTCGGATAAAATGGCGGTAAAAATTATTCCTGGTGGAACTGCATTTGCCCGGCTACCAATACTGTGGACCTGGGACAAAATTGAAAAAACGGCAGTACTGTATTTGCTCGACTCAGGATAGTCCGGATTATTTGTAATCCGGACCGGACGTCCGCCACATTAGTCTGGATGAGCGAGAGTCTACTGTAAGTTATTACCCTTTTAACTCTAAACAAAATGGTGTAACCCCCCAACGCTGTCAAAATTACGGTTTGAAAGTTACTGCAACTTTTGTGATTTTCCTCATAACATATCATACTCCCACCGCTTCCCCATTATAAGGGTTGTTAATGTGCTAATATGATAGTATGTGTCAGTTTGCTGATAGCGTTTATTTTGGCAGGTGCGAGAGGAGAACCCCCACCTAGTGCTGGGTCAGGTGGCTACAGCCCACAAGATGGGGTTCCCGGAGGTGATATTGCCCGGAGATGTCCGGAACGACCTCTACCTCACGCTGGTCTCCGGAGAGTTCTCTAAGGGTAGCAAGTCTACAGATAAGAATGTGGAGGTGACAGTCAGGGTGTGCGGGGAGAAGGGGCAGCCACTGCAGGTTAGTGTTCTGGATTTGTCCAGCCCAATACATAGGCCTAACAACCGAAACTCTCCAAAAAACATATGAACGGCCATCGACATGTTAAAACTAGCAAGGAATAACCAGTTGCACAACATGTGTTATCCCACCAACTTCCATTTGATGACTGTTTCACCATAAATGCACGAACATCATTGCCAAAAAACCAATGATGTAATAGACTAGTTAAATCTTAAGAATATGGGAATTGGCTTACCAGTTTGTGTCCAATTACAGAACCCCAACCAAACCTCAAAATAATATAATATCCTTTATCATCACCCTCACAGCTAACTCTTTAGTATTTGTTTCCATTACATAAACTAATTTGCTTTTTAATATATAAATATGTAAAGAGTCATTCCATGTCAAATCACCCGGGTCATGAAACCCACCATCTCAGAATTTGATGAAACTTTGTGAAAATGTTCATTCCTATGCCCTAAGTAAAAATACAAAAAAATTCGAAGATACTGCTTATACTTTTTTTTATATTAATTTTTTTGCGATACGCCGTTTTGACCATTTCAGGCCTCGGAATCGACAACCAAATGTAGCCTGAGCGACCAAAAAATTTAATTATTCACAAACCATTTAAGATAACACCTTCAAATTTTTAAGGCATGTTTCCTATGTCTTGAACATAAATAAAACGATATATAGGTCACTCTAGAGTATAATAAAAAAATTATAAAATTATTATATATTTTAATTTAATTTTTTCAAATTTGACCGTCATGGATTGTGAAAAACGGCTATAACTTTTTTCTCCAACCAGCTAGAACAATTATTTTTTTTGCAGAATTTTCCTTAAGCTATTACCTGTTTGAAAATGAAAATATAAAGATATTAGTGGTTTTCTATGTACAGATATTGGAAAAAAATAGTTTTATTAAAATATTAATTGACGCTAAAAATTTAGTAACATATATTTTTTATCTTTAAAAAAAAATACTTAAAAGAATTTGCAGTTATGAAAGCTTAATTCACATAAGTCCTGTAGTTCTATTACAATAATAAATAAAATTTTTGAAGATTAGGTACTTGATATTTCCTTAAACAAATTTAAAGCTAAAAGCTTTTGAGCGGTATACCTTGAAATGGTTGTAACAAAATAGTTTAATGTTTTTTATTATTATTGGCTAATTTACAGCTTGAGTAAATTTTATGGCATGAGAGATTAGTCACATGACATAGTAATTTTGATTTGAAGTCCTTCCTGACTAGTAGCTATTTGTTCAGGTTTGATTCAGCCAGCTCTAAGTCCTTGGTTGTAAAGCTCGTTGAAGGCTTACTTTTCTGTGTGTGCTTTTTATGGTACCTCTAAGACCATCTCAGGTTGACTTACCACAGCTTGTGGCATAAAAGGAGTGCTAAGCATTAGGGGTGTGCGATGCAGCATATTTTTTTCGATTCGATGCATCGATGCGATTCAAAGAATTTCGATTCGAATCGATGCGATTCGATTCGATGCAGCACGGCATAATTTTCTTCAAAAATTAAATACAACATGTGTTTCTGTAATGGATCCTTTACCTTAAAAAAGTTAAAGTAAAAAATGTACTAAATAAAATTATGAACAAGAGGATAGTTGCTGACCTAACCTCATTAATGGACACTGCTAATTTTATGGTTTGCCTAAGGAAATTCACCCTTCACTAACAATTAGAATAAGCCTATATCAATAAAGCAATCGTTAAGTTTATTATTATTGACCTGTATTAAATAAAATAGAGTTTATTTTATGATGTACAGGTAGTATTGTTACTTAGTTTTCACATTTATATTTGTTGGCTTTCAATACTTTTGGTTCATTCTTAAATCAGCATGAACCAAAAAAGTTGATAATCAGTATTTACTACTACAATCGGATCTTAGGCTGGATCCGGTTTTAATGGATCCGATTTTATTTATACTAGGGATGGACGAGATTGGATTTTTAGTTCGAGACGAGACGAGATTTTTTATTTCTCATAAAATTTCGAGACGAGATCGAGACGGGATTTCCCTTCTCATACACAACAAGAAATGCACGTTCAAAAATTTTACCTGATTTTGTAACATTGTTAGATGACTGTTTAAATAAAAAAATAATGATAATAGGCAAGAATATTTACAATCTTTTATTAAAAAACATCAGAATAACATTTTTTTATTAATCACGCCTAAGTTATTAAAAATGCCTACGATTAGGAAACATAGTGATATCAGTTAGGATAGAGTTAAACTTATCCTAAAATAAAATAAATCATAAAATAAAAGCAATATTAATTTTTATAAAATAGTTGGTACTTGTTTTGACTTTTTATAGTAATAAAACATTCCTCACGCTGCTTACACAACAAAACTTCTCAAATGTTATTAAAGTAATATTATTAAAATAATTAAAGCAATATTTACATTTAAAGAATTAATTCAATAAGAACGCCTTCGCAAAGGAAACGCAACTACAACACGCTCCTGTATTGCGGGTATTGCATTGACTTTCTGCAGGCGTTTTTAATTTTTTTTTTATTTTTTTATTCTCGTCTTGATAAAAATCTCGGCCAAAAAGAAATCTCATCTCGTGTAACGAGATTTAAAATTCCCGAAATTTCGAGACTTGACCATCCCTAATTTATACAATTAAATGGACGAGTATTCGAGATTTTGAGTTCGAGTAGAGTACGGCCTTGAAACTCGAGCTTATATTTGAACTCGCTAGTTTGGTATAAAATTGTAAGATCAATATTTGTTGAAATGCAACTTGTGTTAGAATAAAATGATGGATGATTTGTATTACTGTAGATTCTACAGTCATACAAACAAATATAGAAATAAGCAAGAGGTAGTTGTCTTGTCCTAACCTATTTTTATAGCTGTCACGACAGAATAGGTCAACTCAAAGCAGTCGCCGGCGACTGACTGGCAATGGCATACTGACTTGACACAGAATAGAATGACATGATCGGTAGTGATTTTGTTTTAGAGTAGGCCTAGTGTTTCACAATAGAAAATTTCACTACTGAACTGTTACGTAAGCAATAAATTTATGTTTATAAAAGTCAGAATAGAAACACTATAAAGGCAAAACAATAGAAGGGAGGCAGGCGTTGTGCAATGACCTCGAAATGAGCTGAATAGTAACATTGAGTAGGGGGTTGGAAGGGGGGGAAGGGAAGGGTGAGACCTTTGAGCTATATTTAGACTAGACTTTCACCACTTCCCAAATGGCTGGGTATGGGGATTACAATAGCAGGTTTTTTCCTTGCCTGGTTTGACTTTTGTCTTTTTGTGTAGGAGATTTGAATAATCAAAAATATAATTTGAATTGACCACAATTATTTAGCATTGATAATACAATTTGCAAGGGACCAGGAGGAAATAGAACAAAACACTAAAATTAATAGAATAACATACAAAGTAAACAAGAAATTAAATACTTTTATGGTGATTTAACACTGTCACTGTCACTCAATTTTGTTGTCTAGAAGGGTCGGTGAACTAATCAATAAATAGCCAAAACCAGTTTCCTCCCCCTCTTCTCTCTCAGTCTCACCACCACCCCTCCCCCCCTGAGCCGGGAGGCCCAGCACTTTGTCCTTGAAACACCCTAGCCTCTGAAACAATAAACCCTTACACCTGCGTTGCTGTTTTGTCAACAGGTTTATGAATGTGTTCACTATTTTTCATTTTCCAGAATTAACTATCAATTATTATTATTTGCAAGTTACAAATAGGAAACTACATGACATTATGGTATTCAATTACCCATGTATTATCAAAAATGTATAATTCATTACTTATTTTGATAATAAAAAGCATTCATTACAGCACGCAGCACTTATTGATATATATGTATATATATAATCATCAAAGTATCTGTTACTTTATACAAAATAAAATAGGTACAAAATTGTGTGGCCAGTCAAACTTTATAAACAAACATTTTATTCTATAAAATACAGATGGTAAATAGGGGTTGGTTTAAAGGAAATAAAATACAAAACAGATTAATTAATTATTTTGATAAACGATAGAAAGGTTATGGGATTGATTGAACTAAAATAACCACAGGGAATCTTAATTAGAAAAATCGTCAACCACAATCTGTTCAGTACATCGCTAGAGAGAGAGGGGGAGAGAGAGAGATAGCAGATAAGGGCGTTTGATAGGGAATATGAAAAAGTAAACAAACAAGGAACAACGACGCGACAATACTCGTTTATAGCCTTATTGTCTCGACCACTACATTTGCACACGTGACCACTTTTTGTTTCTTCCTTATCTTTCATCCGTCCCAAAATGGAATTCCTGAAATAGTTTGTTGGTATAATCTTCCCTCACACACAAGGCGCAGAGCTCAGTGCGCACTGTAGGTTGCCACGGCAACCGTGTGTCGTCATTAGCGACTTAGCCAATCACGCACGCGCACTGCGTTGTAGATTACGATACGAATAACCCTCTGACTTCGATGTTGTAATTGAATCGAATTTTTCTAATGATGCGTAATGCAGGGATGAAACTGAACATCTAGACAAGTTTAGGTTATTTATTTTGTTCTAAAAATAAAAATAATACATTTAAAGGTCTGATTTATTGATACAGACATTTTTTAGTATAATTTCGTGTTGAGGACACTCGCACGCCGGTTGTCTGAGACTGAATTCTGACCGTCTGACATCTTGAAATGTAGATTGTATTGTGTTGTGCAATATCATCTGCCTGCAGAGAGAACAGCTGAAAATAACCTTTAGCTGTTTTGAACTAAATAGTACTAAGTTGGTTACTAAAGTTGTTAGCGTGATTACTAAACCAATAGATATCAAATAAATAAATGTTAAATAAAATATCTATCCATCCCTGTCGGCTGTCGGTATCGGCGGAATCGGGCGAAATCGATGTTTGGCAATCGATTCTTGATACCGATATTCCTAGTATCGGCAATGTCCGAGTATCGGTGGTAGCGATAATTGACACTTCCCTATCTAAAACTCATTTTAGAGTCCTAAATTAGTTTTAAATATGCATCGGGACGTAATCGTTGCATCGGGAGTTAACCGCTGCATCGGTCTTTTTCGATGCATCAAGGCCAAATCGATGCATCGTGATTTCGATGCATGCTGAATCGAATCGCGATTCGATGCATCGAATCGAATCGAATCGAAATTTCGATGCATTTTCGATGCATCGCACACCCCTACTAAGCATTAATCCCAAAATTGTTTTCATGCTCATATATATTTTTTAAGTTTTTCCTGTTTTTATATTGCCCGTCACATCCATCTGTAAAATAGTGCACCTTTGTGACGGATGGAAAACTGTCTTTCAGCTATTTCATTCGTTTTATTTGGATGACATTAACAAAAGAGACATCACGATCCAAGTAATCACTAATAAAACAGTGGTTTGAAACCTTTAGTTCCCCCTCACTCGCGAAATAAACACATACGGGATGAAGTGTACAACCGCCTCTTGACCAGTGATAGCTCTGAATCTTAATTTTATTTTGAATCACAAAACAATAGTTCTCACTCAAGTCCAACAGTATTACTGCATCATTAGGAGAAAGGTTTTCTTTAAGATTTTTTAGCTTGGGATTTTGCCATTAGTACTTTGCTCTTGTGAGGAATACTTCAGATGAATATGAAGATGCTGAACTAGTGTTCATGCATCCATATGGTGCTAATAAATCATTTTACTGACCACAAAGAGAAAGATTCCGTTTTGATCCCTTTTAGTAACATTGTATGTTCAGTTGGTGCTCCACAAACAAGTTCTACAGGTAGTACTTATTACTTTACAACCAAGGATTTAGAGCTGGCTGAATCAAGCCTGAACAAATGGCATGCTAGTCAGGAAGGACTACAAATTGAGTAAATTTTATAGCATGAGAGATTACACACATACATAGATATTTTGATTTGGCAGAATTTCGAAGTTATAACCAAATTTTAAAGTTCGAAGTTTGTAACTAAAGGTTTAAAATCGCTGTGTAAAATCAAGGTAGTGATGACTTGGATCGTGATGTCTCTTTTGTTAGTGCTGTCCAAATAAAACTAATGAAATGGCTGAAAGACAGTTTTCCATCAGTCAAAAAGGTGCACTATTCTACGGATGGATGTGACGGGCAATATAAAAACAGGAAAAACTTAAAAAATATATATGAGCATGAAAACGATTTTGGGATTAATGCTAAGCACTCCTTTTATGCCACAAGCTGTGGTAAGTCAACCTGAGATGGTCTTGGAGGTACCATAAAAAGTACAAACAGAAAAGTAAGCCTTCAGCGAGCTTTACAACCAAGGACTTAGAGCTGGCTGAATCAAACCTGAACAAATGGCTACTAGTCAGGAAGGACTTCAAATAAAAATAACTATGTCATGTGACTAATCTCTCATGCCATAAAATTTACTCAAGCTGTAAATTAGCCAATAATAAAAAAAACATTAAACTATTTTGTTACAATCATTTCAAGGTATACCGCTCAAAAGCTTTTAGCTTTAACTTAAATTTGTTTAAGGGAATATCAAGTAATCTTCAAAAATTTAATTTATTATTGTCATAGAACTACAGGACTTATGTGAATTAAGCATTCATAACTGCAAATTCTTGTAAGTATTTTTTTTATAAGATACAAAATATATGTTACTAAATTTTTAGCGTTAATTAATATTTTATTAAAACTATTTTTTTTCCAATATCTGTACATAAAAAACCACTAATATCTTTATATTTTCAAACAGGTAATAGCTTAAGGAAAATTGTGCAAAAAAATAATTGTTCTAGGTGGTTGGAGAAAAAAGTTATAGCCGTTTTTCAAATCCATGACGGTCAAATTTGCAAAATTAAATTAAAATTTATAATAATTTTATAAATTTTTTATTATACTCTAGAGTGGCCTATATATTGTTTTATTAATGTTCAAGACATAGGAAACATGCCTTAAAAATTTGAAAGTGTTATCTTAAATGGTTTGTGAATAATTAAATTTTTTGGTTGCCCAGGCTACATTTGGTTGTCGATTCCGAGGCCTGAAATGGTCAAAACGGTGTATCGGAAAAAAATTAATATAAAAAAAAGTATCAGCAGTATCTTCAAAATTTTTTGTATTTTTACTTAGGGCATAGGAATAAACATTTTCACAAAGTTTTATCAAATTCTGAGATGGTGGGTTTCATAACCTAAATTTTTTGGGTGATTTGACGTGGAATGACTCTAAATACAATATTGCAATGTGTCTGTATTTAGTGTGTCGTGTTATGTCAATTGGATAACCTATCAGACATTTTGAATTTAAACTGTGACATCTTATTTTAAACTGTTGTCTTTGTAACTGCCATCTACTTCTGAAGAAGCCTCTGAAAGAGGCGAAATATGAAATATTTTGTGTGTTTCTTGACTCATCTGCAACCTTTCATCCGTAGTTGAGTTAGCTGTGTCCTCTCCAACCTATATATTTCTTTAATCCAAGCTAAATGCTTTTTCCTAAAAACATAGTCCATCTTTGTGATTTTTGTGAGGATGCCAGGCTTACCTGAATGGGAGTTTTTGGCAAACTGGCACAACAGACACAAAACTAAATGTTTCAATGTCACTGACAGAATTTTCAATTTGGGAAGATAAACTTTATTGTTATAATTTCTGTTTGCATAGTAAAATGTTTTATAAAACCGGTTTCAATTTGTTTAGGGAGTGATAATGCTGGGAGGAGGTGTCCCTCCACAAAACGAGTACAAATCTATCATCTACTACCACGAGGATAAGCCTCGTTGGAGTGAAACGTTCAAGATCGCTGTGCCGATAGAGGACTTCAAAGTGTGCCATCTTAGGTTTACATTTAAACACAGGTAACTGTTTACATTTAAATTAAATGTACAGTAGATTCTGGATTAACCAATTTAATGAGTAGCTCAGTGATCATGGATAGTCAAAATCAAGGACAACCTAACCTGAAAAACCTGGGAAATAACTAATATTTTTACTTTGAATGTACAGTTAAGCCTCAATAGGGGTTTGAGTAATAATAACAAATTTAAATTACTGTACATACCTTATAATTTTGTTTTACACATGTCTATTTACAAAACAAATAATATCGGATAGGACAAAATATAAAGACAAATACAAAATGTAAAATAATAACTCATCCGTTTTAAATGGTGACTCCAACAGTGACTCATCAATAGTGTGTGTAGTAAACATCAGTAATTATATGGTCTCCCCACTAGATGATGGACCTTCTCATGCTAAACTTATTAGTCCTCACTGTATAACGAAACTTTAACTTGTGTAATATACACATATACTTTTGTATACTTTTTATTTTTTGCGTTCATGGTTAATCCGCTGCGTGGTTAATTCACTTGTGGATAATCAGTAGTCTACTGTAGTTTAAATCCTTTATTTTTTTACCTGGCAAAATATTGAGGTAAAGAAAATTTTAGTGCAAATGCCACAAATACTTAAAACAAATTATGGAAAGTTAAAACATTTTTGATACATATCCTAAAAGCTATATTTGCTAAAATCATAGAATACCAAGGACATGTCTATACAATTGAACCGTAATTCATGTGGTATGTCGACATGTTGTATAATAGGTGTTGAGGTTTTTTCTCACCAGACGATCAGATTACAGATCCAGATATATTCTGAATACTTGTTTTGCACTTATTGGGTTGGAAATTTCAACAATAATCTTATTAATGAAATAAACGTACTCGCAGAAAATAAACTTGAAACAAAGAACTTGAAATTACGTTAGGTTTTTATTCTCACAGATCATCAAACGAGACCAAAGACAAGAACGAGAAGCCGTTTGCGATGTCCTACGTGAGACTCATGCAAGAAGACGGCACCACACTCAGGGACACACAACATGATCTTCTTGTGTACAAGGTGGGTTTTACGCAAATAAAATATCTAAATAAAATTTCTACATAACTACAATGATATTTAGCATCATAAATCATAAAAAACATCAAAAATATGAATTTCACATGAGGCTAACTTCAAAATTTGTTCTGTAACTTCCAGTATTTTATGATATTTTTCGAATCTAGGTACAATTTTAAGACATTTATTCTTTGGATTTCCTCTCCAAACTTGCTTGTTTAGGAGCTACAGGATGTAGAATTTACACAGCAAATAACTTTTTCCAAAATGTAACATTTAGCTCTTAAACGAGTAGCTTCAGAGGAAAGAATAGAAATGTTTTAAAATTGCATTTACATTCTAAAACCATAAAACAAAATACAAGGTGTCCCATAAGAAATTTGAAAGTTTCCATATTGGAAAATTTCAGTTAGAACTCTTATACTGTTAGATAAAATTGTTATTCATGCTTTGATTTTACAGGTGGACCACAAGAAGTATGATGCTAGCGACATAAGCTATCTGAACCTACCCTCCAAGCGCAGTGAGCTGATAGAAGGCAGCAAGCCATCGGCCGGTGGACTCGTTCTCACCAACAAAGACTCGTTCATTATACAGACGAATGTCTGCTCGACCAAGCTCACACAGAACGGTAGGCTGTAAAAATTCATTCGTGCATGATAGTGTAATGGTAGAACTTTTTGGGTTAGAATTCAATTTTGTAATGCACTCAAAAATCCATATTGTAAATGGTTTTCAATCAATCAAGAAGTTGAAGGTGTCTCATGTACAGCATTTGCGTAATAAGTTAGTAATTTGCGTAGATTGCTGGGTGTAACTAGTTTTGTGCTACTTCTTGCATTCAGTAGGGCAAATATACAACAAATTGCTGATCACATTCTTACACTCTTTTTGTGACTAAATTAGGTAATACCATCGGTAGTATTGTTTTTCAAATTATACTCTTCACGTCTGCCCTAGACCCAGCGACAGCTGGCTAAGGTAAGGCCGTTCTCCTATCTTTACTTTTGATGACATATTTTTGAACTTAGAGCACAGATAAGTTTAGAATACAGATAGACACATTAATGCTTTCTCATATTTATAAAGTCAGACTTTGTATTAAACGAAAATAGATATCCATACCAACTTCTATTGCCTCTTTGGTTTATTACTTATTTGAGAATATTCACATAAAACTTCGTACTGAAGTTAGATTGAGAATCATACACATAGTTCGACTAACAATTTTCACCGTTACAATGGTTTGTTGGCTAGAGTCTACTGACCAATGACAATACAGCTTTTATGCATAGGGAATTAACTATTAGGAACCGTAAGTCTCATGGAGCCGGGACCTAGCACTTTTTGATATGGCAGGGAAAGAGCCATAACACTCAAAAGCTTGTCTACTGTGTTAAAAATTGATTGATGACCAATCCAATGTGGACGTATGTTTAGTGGACCTTCTTGGACTGCTGAACTGGACCAGTCAGCCGGACATGTTGCAAGAGAGTCTGCGAGCTCTGATGAAGGTGGATGGAGAGGAAGTGGTCAAATACTTACAAGACGTGCTGGACGCTCTGTTCAACATACTCATGCAGAACTCCGACTCTGAACTGTACGACAACTTGGTGTTTGAGTGTTTGGTGAGTATCCAAGTCAAGATTAAGGATTTTATGTCCTGTAAGTAAACAGCCAAACTCCAGGAAATGGTTCTATGGGGTCGAAATAAAGAAAACCAAGAATAAATGTTTATTTCAAAATAGATTTGTAACCAAATAAAGGCCTACGCCATTTATATTTTTTACTAGGGATGTGTCGATTCTCGAAAACCACTGATACTTGAGCCATTGGTATAGGTGTCGACAATCGATCGTCAAAAGCCGATTCCGATAATGATACCAGTCACGCCCGAACGATCGGATAACTACCGATATTGACGCAAACATGCAAGAGACACTGATGACGTCTAAACAGGCATGGGAGAAGTTCATGGTTCTGTCGCGATCGCGGATGACGAGGATGGTCTACATTGCTGCGGAAGATGTTCACGGTCGTGGACGAGGACGATGACTCTTCTGTGACTGCGGTAGATGATGATGACATCTATACAGCCACGGGAAATGTTCATGATTTTGGCGCTATTGCAGACAACGATGAAGTCGTTTCTGTGACCGTCTGAGTCAATCATGATGTCTACACGACCACAGAAGATTTTCATGATTTAAAGAAAGTGGAATTGTGCATGCAGAACAGTTTGACTGAACTAGAGATTACCAAACTGATGGGAACCGTTTCTTAAAGACTATCAAGAAACTCAATAGTAAACTGTTTACAGTGTACAGTTTCTTTAAATTAAATATAATATTTTAAAGTCAAATTATGTTTCTTAATTAATTGTTCTTTGTCTTTTTTCAGCTATTCATTATTGGGCTTGTATCCGACCGCAAATACCAACAGTTTCAACATGTGTTGGATCGCTACATTTTAGAGACATTTAGTGCAACTCTGGCCTACAAGTAAGTAAATGTGTATATAACATGTTTTAAACAATAATTTAACTCAAAAATAGGTAAATTAGGAACGTTTTACACTTTTTGATTTACTTTTTAAACACTTTTAATCCAATGACTACAAAATAACCCCAACTAACGAAATAATCTTAAACAATACATAAACAAACAATTTTTTTCTATACATGTGAACAAAATTAATTATACTTTGAACAATGTTTCAGTAAACTAATAGTGGTCCTAAAACATCTTGTGGACAACGCAAACCTCACTGAAGACAAGGATATGCTACAGAAGACGATGAAATCCCTACAATACATAATGAAATTCATCGTTCGCTCTCGGCTTTTGTTCTCAGCGTAAGTTAATCCACCAAACAGAATAGTACTTTCCTGTAATTTGATGCTTCCAACTGAGACCAGCTGTTCCTCGTTAGGCTCTTAAAATATTTTTTTCTTGAATTACAGTCATAAATAATTTTGACTAAAGTAACACCTTGTTTGGCCAAGAATATGTAGGCCTAAGTTTTCTGACTAATTTTTTTTGTGATACACATTCCATTAATCATTAGATCACCTGTTTGATCCTAAAAAAAAATGCAGTTTTTACAAGTTGAACTTGTGCCCTTTCTTCCTTGTACTACAGCAGGAAGGAATAATACTGGCTTTACCCAAAATTGTACAGTAGTAGTTTTCTCATATAAGATTTTTGTAGTGCCAACTTTCAGTCAAGAGATGCTCGTCCCATAAGCAAGTTCTCTCTGTACCTTATTTCTCTGTGTGTCAGTACAAAAAATAATAATCCTAACTAAAGCAACAGCTGGTTTTGACCGATACGCTAGCTACACACATTTTTTCCCCCGATAGTGAAATTGGCACTTGTTTAACATCAGTTGTACAAGATATTTACCCTTGTACTTCCTTTTTAATGAATTCTTGATATCGATACCCCGTTGCTGATGCAGGTTGTACGAAGGTAAGGGTCAACAACAGTTTGAGTTGTCCCTGAAGCAGCTACTACAGAGCATCACTGTGATGATGTGTTACAACGCTGACACTACTCTGCTGGTCGTCCAAGGCAACTGCCTCAAGTACCTCCCGTCCACCATCTCCGATGTGCTTCAGGTGTTCAGCGCTACCCAACTGAGGTAAGACAAGAGTTTGTGGGTCCTAGAGTCTGAATTTGTCAGGGGGTCCAGGAAAACTATCAAAAGTATTTCTTTGGAGTTTTATTTCAGTAACTTCTGAAGATTTGTGTTCTTCAAGAGTTTTCTAGAACAAAAAATGTACTCTGTAGTTTAAGCAGGCAATTTAAGTTCTTGTTTTAATTGACAGTAATCTCCTGATGGATTTGATCAACAAAATGCCAGCGCAACGTCTCGCAAAACAGAAGATGATGACTGTGAGAGATATAGTTCACAGTCAGCTGTTCTTAGACAGTGAGTGTAGAGCCATCTTGTTGCCGGCTATCTTGGTGAGGATACGAGAACTACTGGAAGCCGGAGGCGAAGTAAGTCTAACCTAACCTACGACAGTGACCAAGTAAAGATTATTGCTGAGAGCTTACTAGACGTTAGCATTGATTACATGCTAAAGTAGAAATTGTTGAATAAATTTGACTGTTTTTCCATTTGGGTAAGGCATTGTAGAGTTTGGCTTTGTTTAGTAATACCTCCTGGATTACTGTTGCCAATCCTTATAGTTTTCCGAGACCTATAGTTTCAAAGCTAAGTTATCCCATTGTCAACTCTTTTATCATTTGTCTTCATTGTTTAATTTCACCACCATCAATTAATGAAGATGATACAACTAATGGCCGATGTTATACAGTAACAAGAACATTATCTTTTGTCTTCATTGTTTAATTTCACCACCATCAATTAATGAAGATGATACAACTAATGGCCGATGTTAGACAGTAACAAGAACAGAGTTTAGATAGTTCCTTAAAAGAAAATGTCATCAGTGTCAATGATCAATTAAATTGTGCTAGCTTTCAGTTTATTTTACTATCCAGCGTTTTTTAACTTTCTCTCTCCACACTTGACAATATTGTGTGTTTTTTTGTGTCTTCTGTGTGTTTTATGGCTGGTGGTTTTATGTTGTATGTCTTGTAAAGTAAGCTAGCTGCTATCTCCCCTTCCCTTATTCTACAATTGAAAATCCTGGCCTAGAGCCTTTCCTTGAACAAAACTAAGATTAAATAAAATATTCAACAGTGTTTTAAGTGATTATTTTTAAATTGATTTCTACTTCAGCATCATCTTCTATGTAAATAATTCAATTTGCATAGAGATTAGAATAGAATTAGGCCATTTTTTTTGGCTAAAAAAAGTTGTTCTGTATTTTTTTCTGTTGTAATTTTGTACTAATTGAGATACTACTGTATTTCAAAGCTCAGAGGATTTTGAATTTGATTGGAAATTTAATCTGCTTAAGGGATAAGATCTACAAAGATTTTTAGTTAGCTTAGAAATAATTAACCAACTTAACTTTTACTTAGATTATAGATTGTATTATCAGATTGTGTTTGATTTGATTTCTCAAAAGTTAATGACTCGTGTTCTTGTTTGTTGCTCACAAAACTTGCAGCATGAGCTTCTGCTGGCTTTGCGATAGCACAGCTGTGCTTGAGCATGGTTATAGAATAGTTTTAACATTTTAAAATACAGCATTCATCAAAATAATCAACAGGATAAATAACACAGCATATTGTTGAAGTGGTTAATTTTTTTATGTGTGTCAGGGTATCCATTTTTTTAATACCGTGATTTTGGTAACTGTGAAATAACCTGGATCATGCCGTGGGACATTTAAAAATAGAGATAGGTAATTTTTGATTCATACTTCCACAATTTTTTAACATCAATGGTTTTTTGGAATCGTTAATTCTCAATAATTTGTGACTTAAGATTGAATACCAATGATTCCCTGCTTTCAGTCCAATGACCTTATGACACAAGAAATGTGCAAGTATGATCATGAAAAACATGAATTTTATTTACTAATTGGACTGAATTGGTAACAGTTAACAAGTTTGTAACATTTAATTTTTTTAACAAGAGTTTTTATAAGATGATCACAGTTCATTTCTAACAAATTTGTTTAGAGAAAAATTGTAATTTATTTATTGAGTGGTATAAAGGACAAATATTTACACTTTGTTTAATCATTTTGAAGTCATTTTTCACTATCAAATGTTAGAATAAATCATCCATTAAAAATATTTGTCTAAAGGTTACTTTCTTTACATATTTACCTAGTTGGAAAGTGTCTTGGTAAGGGTGTTTATATATTTGCCATTTGTGGGTATTATTGTGTTGTAAGCTACGTTCAATAAACTTCAGCCTACAATATATATGTCTTTGAAAGTGTTTGTTAACAAAAGTGTTGTGTGTCACTAATATCTGTGTGTGTTGCTGCATGGGCCAGAAGCCTCAAGACCAGGTACGGTAATTTGTTTGTGCTATTTATAACACAATAATGCTTTAATCTCAGGAAATTGTTTACTCTGGACATCAGCGTATAATGTAAGTACTGGTTATAAAAGGTTATTGATATTCGAGGTGAATAAATTTGTACTTGTAGACCATGTTTGATATCTTCTAGAGAATGAGAAAAGTTATAAAGTAAAGTATGTACAAATATGGTTTTTGAGTGTATATTTTCCTGCTATTCTGTATGACATGGGACAATTGTGTACCCTTTTGAAACTTCCTAGATGGTAAATTTGGGCTCCAGGCTTGTGTTAAGTGGTTTTAGTGGTGATAGTCGAGTTTGTCTTTAACAGAGGTTATGAACTTCTTTGGGCTTAAAGCCTGTGTCACTGACTCACATTGATTTTGTCCATTTTGGGAAAATATGTGTTAATAATTATATAAACCGAACCCTAAAGATTGCCAGAATGAATTTTAACATTTACAAACCCTTGTTACAAAATATGAAACCTATATTAAGTCAATTAATTTACAACCTCTGTAAAAAAAACAACGTTATTATAACCAGTTAATGGTAAGCGTCTTCCATCCAAGGATTAGTTAGTTCTTCAGATAACTGTAAGTAACTGCTCTATATTAATTGCCAGCTATCTATAGTTATAAAGTGATGCCTGTAGACAAGGTAAGTGTTGCTTGTTGGACTCCACTGTGTTGTGTGCACTCATGAATGTATCACTACTACCATCACCTCCACTACTACTACCACCATTACCACCTCTTCCACCACCACTAATTAGATCTACCCCTTCCCACTACTACCATTGCCACACCACAACTATTTACCACTGCCATAAAATACCTTGGACTACAATGCAGAATAGCCATCATCTCCACCACTACTTCTGACAACTACCACCACACCCAATACCACTACTCATAACTATTTTCTTTCACTACCCACCTACAACCAATAACATTTACCCAACTACTACCACCACTCCCAATATAAACTACCCACTAACTCATCAACTACTTCCACTACTGTCACTAAACCCATTACCTCGTCAATTACCCCCCTAACACTACTACCACCAACCCATTACCTACCCCCCCCACTACTACTACTATCCTACTACCTTATCAACTACCCCCTACTACTACCACCAACCTACTACTTCATCAACTACCCCCTACTACTACCACCAACCCACTACCTCATCAACTACCCCCCACTACTACCACCATCCTACTGCCTCATCAAGTACCCCCCACTACTACCACCATCCTACTACCTCATCAACTACCCCTTACTACTATCACCAACCCACTACCTCATCAACTACCCCCCACTACTACTACTACCAATCCACTATCTCATCAACTACCCCCCCCCCACTACTACTACCAACCCATTACCTCATCAACTACTCCCCACTACTACCTCATCAACTACCCCCCACTACTACCACCAACCTACTACCTCATCAACTACCCCTCACTACTACTACCAACCCACTACCTCATCAACTACCCCCCACTACCTCATCAACTTCCCCTGCCCCAATACTGCCACCAACCCCACTCCAATAATTTTTCTCCACTACCCCCAACTATACCCTCTTTTCTACTACCTCCTCGCCACCTTCCATTACACCATTGCAAGCTTGCCCATGTGTCAATGTGACTGAGGAGTCTGAAGTCTGTAGCACTTTCTCCACTGGATGTCTAAATTAATCAAACTCATACATTGCACAGTCTGGTCTCTACACTAATGTCTAACGCGAACTTTCCTTCTGTTTGGTAACGTTAACATATTTTATGCCAAACAATTATTTGTTGGGAATAATTTATACAGTCCTAAGATTGCTTTAACATGATTATGTTACTGATAGACAATGCTTCATGTCTGTGTGAATGAAGACGAAAAATGATTTTTTAAATTTATTTTTATCACAGGTAATTTGCTTTTATAAGTTGCGTCTTGAACATTTAATCAGAAGATAAAGGAAATTACAAAATGTCAAATAAATTACTACCAAAAGCTAGATAATTACTAATAAATCTGAAACCCAAGGTTGAGTATTGTAAATATTTGCCTCTGAGGTTTAAGTTTAAAGAATATTCAATTCTATTCAACGAAAAAAACTTTCCAAAAGCCAGATAGGTTCAAAAAATTTGCTTTAAGCTGTGCGGCATTGCTTGTGCATAATAACACCCATGCTATGTCCGAGATGGATCAAAAAGTGTTAAATGTTAAAATAATAAAATTTCAGAATTTTAATTCTAAATATTTAGTTTTAAAAGAGTAGTTCTAAGTAATGCGTTTCCTTATAAAAATACAATTTAAAATAAAATGTGTAATCTCGCAGAAAATATCGTGAAAATAAAAGCGTCTTGAGTACTTTTTTGTAAAGGAAAAAGTACCTCATTGTCATGTGTAGACGTACATTTGGTATAACAGACTCACAGCTTGCATTGCATGGGTAAAATAAGTTACTATCGTCCCTCAATAGATCATGGTGTTTATTGTTTCAAAATTTGGTTTTTGGTTGATCATGTCTCATTATCACAGAAAGTATTTTTGTTCGGGTTGGGAGTCTTGGTTGGTTATGTCAGCATTTTCTAAAAACAGGTTGTGTAATGCTTATTTGGCATTTTGGTCTCAAATTTGGTCTCACATTTTTGTATTTCCATCTTTGTAGTAGCCTATATATTTTGTAAATAATTTAGTTTGATCGTAAAACATGCATTTCCTAAGACTGGGATCAGTTGGTCGTTTATTCCACATCGTTATGTCAGTAAGAACATTTTTTAAATTATTAATATGCTAATTTAAAACTTATTTTTGTTTAAAAGGTTATGCTCTGCAAAATTCAATAGGTGGATAAGCCATTTCTATAAGATGTGGTCCACTTATATGGTTTTTATTAATTTTACCACTACCATGTAAATGGGATAAAAGTTATTTATGAACTTAACAATAATTGTTAAATTTAAACATGATTTACCTATATTTTGAAATAGTTTGCTAATTTTTTCATACTATTTGTACCAAAACTTTCTGTGTTTATTTAAATGAGTATTGAAGTGGGTTTAGGAGTAAAATAATATTGTCAACCCATATTTACATATTTGACAGTGAAACAATAAAGACCATGCCCTATGATTTTAGCAGGTTTAGATCCCAGCTGATGAAAAGATGGATTCAGAGACACTCACACTTACTCATAACAGAATTATCTTTGGCCTGATTTTCTAATCCTTGAATTACCTACGGTAGTTCAATTCTGTTGAACATACTAACAGTAGAATCTTGAATCTGGAATCTGGTCCAAACTAACCGAAAACTCAGAATGTAATAGGAAAAAAAACCATTGTCAAAATAACCTTTGTAAAGTAATTAAATTAATAGTAAAATAGTCAAATTTATTCAAGCCTTTAAGTTGGACTTAAAACCACTAGATTTTCTTTTTTGAAACCATCATCACAGATAACCTTAAAAACAAATGACAAAAGTAAAAATATCTGGGTAACTAATTGGTTATTGTGCTAGCCTTCAAATCTAAAGATGGCTGGTTCTATTCCAAGGGAGGTCGTTTCCAGACCCAGATGCCTTTTGTCATTTGGCTATGGATTAATGATCTAACAAAAAGGTCGACATTTAGATAGGGTTTTGACCGGTCAAAATGTAAAAAGTGTCATTGTGGTAGAAAATGCACAAAATAAAATAGATCATAAACTGCAACCTTCCTGTGAAGAGTTGACTAACAGTGTAGAAACCAGTGGGCTATAACAATCAGAAATCACTTTCAACTGCAGTTAGGTATTTTCCAAATAAAATCACGGACAGCAAAAGTTGTGGTCTCAACCCTTCAAAAATAGCATGATATCTCAATTACTCAATCGTCTTAAGGGAGAGTCAGATGAAAACTAAAGATTTGACCAAACATCAGATAATCGAGACCTTACTGTATAAAAATCGGGTACTTTGGTATTATACCACACCTAAATTGGGTTAGTTAAGTTAGGTTATAATAAGATAAACCTAATGGTAACCAATTTAGGTGTCGTCGGTATAATACCAAAGAACCAAAGAAAATAGTGTCAGAAATATAGCTTTTGAGTAAGTGAAGTGTAGAGTCTATCAGCAGTCGTAAACGATGGTAGTAGCGTGAGTGGAGTGGAAGTGGAGTAGATTGGAGTGAGTGAGTGGAGTAGAGTATCAAGTAATGAGTGCACACTGTTGTAAGGCCCGAAGCAGTATAGAGTACCGCAACAAGTCCAAGTCGGTGGCCAAGTTGGCCAAGATGTTGGGAGCGTCGTCGATCGACAAGATCACTAATCTCAACGATCTTGCGGAAGAGGTAAGAAGAGAGTTCGATAATGTAACACATTAATGCTCTAGCTCTACTGTGTTTCTGTAAGTTTCGGTTAGTAAAGGTTTTAGCGTAAAAGCGCTGTATATGTGTGTAGGTAATAGCAGGTACCTACAGTAGGGACCACGAGAGTCTGCAGTTGGTGGCAGCCAATCACTAGACAAGGTAGTGCGACGTTGCCATATCGCCCGTTGTCCACACTAATTAAAATACTAAACAATATTTTCAAACCAGCTGGTATTATTAGATTTGGCAACAACGTGAGGTCCTCAGTGCCTACTTCGAAGTCACGTGGTAAATAGGCTCCTCTCTCAACTGCAGACTCTCGTGGACCGTACTGTAGGTAACTAGATTACTGTAGAGCTCATAGAAGATTCAATTTGTTGTTAATTTGTACATTATTAACTCATAGTGTAAGTTTACTTATAAGACACCTGACAAGAATGACAAACCAAAATAATATCCAAAACAAACCAATATCCAAATTATTAATTTTTATATGTCTATGATTGGACCACTTAAGTAATTTCATTGGGAAGAATTTTTTTCAGTTTTCTGTTATGTTCTAAACAAAACTAAAGTAACATAAAAATTGCATATTTTGTTTACCTTCAATCTATAATAAGTATTATGGTTGATAATTTAACAACGCAGTACAGTAAGGTATTCGGTTGGTTCGATACTTGGAGTTCGGATGAGTGGAGTTCTAATGTATTCGAGAAAGGGATTTGTAGAAATAGAAAAAGAAGAAAGGGTTGGATAATGGATTTTGGGAAAAGGTTTGAGTTTGTCAGAACTTTTCAGCTCCCAGCTAAACCAGAGCTGGACAAGACCAATGCACAAAATAATCACCGAAGATTATGGATCAGGCTGAACGTTGAAGATCAATCACTTCCTGAACAGCCTTCTACACCAATCATTTATTTTTTTTTTACTTTTCTTTGTCAACAATAAACCTAGCCAAATTGGCTGACAAAACTACAGCTGTTTTTTTCTGCGAAAGTAGAGCATATCTTTTGGTCAGAATGTCTCGTTGATTATTTATTCCATATGTTAAGGATGGTAAATTATTGTGCTGTACTTCAAGTCTAATTATAGTATGAAATGTATTGCAAGTCTGTAAAATGTTAAATGTTACGTTTTGTTTGTGTTACTTTTATAATGTTCTGATGAATCATCAGAAGCATCGTGAGGAAGTTTTAATCAGCTAGTCATTTTGAGCTGAAGGTGTGCAATATTTCTGTAGCGCCAAACTGTTTTAGTTGATTTTTAAACCACAATTTTTTCTGACAGTAACAACCATTGATTAAGGTTTTAATCAGTGATTGCATGTCTAGAAGGTGAGTTATTCTATCTTGAAACCTAGAATGTTTATTTGTAACTGACAGAACCTAATTTTTTACAAACGATCTGCCACTATCTGTAAAACTTACAAGTGTGTGTGTTTCTGTAGGTGGAGCTATGTGTTAAGATCCTGAGTGATATAATGGACCTGTTGTTCAATGCTCCGCCAGGCTCTACGATACGAGATATCAACGAGGTTATGTTGACTGTGTTGAGGACGGTCATACAGTCTACGATAGCTATGGAGCGTGACAAGCCTCTATGTGTAAGTAGACAAACGCTAACTTAATCAGTATGCTGATGTTCTTGGTAAGCATTTACGACTTGGTAAATCAAACTTTGGTAAGCATTTACGAAGTTGTAAATTTAAAAAAATATTGCTGTTGTTCTTGGTAAGCATTTACGACTTTGTTAGTCAACCAATCAATTTGCTGATGTACCTGGTAAGCATTTACGAGTTTACGATTTTTTAAATAAAATAATCTGGGTCCAATTCTATCAGCAATTTAAGATAAACAATCAGTAGTTTATTTATTTTCTTAACTATCCTAAACAATTTAAAATGTTGTGTTTGTCATGTGAGAGTGAGAGTAAAGGCATAATTGTCACTGAATAATCCACGGGTACAGAGTCATTGAAAGTTTTGTTGTTTCAGGGTAACCTCACTGCGGTGATGATCTCCGTGTTTCGACAAATGACGGCTCATCATTTTGACACCTACATCGGTCATTTTGCCACGTCCACGGATCTGCTGGACTTTCTTATGGAGATCTTGTTGGTTTTCAAAGACCTCGTGTCCCGACCTGTCTATCCTTGTGATTGGACGGAAATGATAATGCTGCAGAACAGGTGAATTACTGCACGGAATGTGAAATAAATTAGCAGTAAAACCATCTAACGCAAAGTAACTTAATGAAATACTGTGTGAGATTTGATGAAAAAGTCATGGGTGGAAAAGTATAGCGGTAAAGAAGTAACAAGTTTCAAATGATTGTCAGTGACAAATACTCATTTTCTTTTGCATTGTGTTTGTGAGTTAACTCTTTTTTTGTCTCATCTTCACATACTAAGACGTTAGGCTCTAGACTTACCTAGAGTTTCATAGCTTCATCACTTTGGTAAATACATTCGGTGATTTGGTGGGATTTGAACCAAGGACCTCCTAAACTGAAGTCCTGCACTCTACCACTAGATCAGCTGATTTCCCATATGCAAGCTTACTGATGATAAAACCCTGTATGTAACATCTGAATCTTATTGTTTCAGTGTCATCCTGAAGTCCCTCCGCCACTTTTCCCACACAATCAGGGATTTCTTCTCCAACAAGTTCGAGCACCAGGCGTGGAACAACTTCTTCCACTGCGCCATCGCCTTTCTCACTCAACCGACGCTCCAGTTGGACAACTTCTCTGCCAACAAGCGATGGCGGATCATCTCCCGGTACAAGGACATGCGACGAGAGACTGGCTTCGAGATACGTAGCATGTGGTTCAACCTAGGTATTTCTACTTGAGTGATGGCTTTTTTGTCATTTATTATTTTTCTTGCATATACAAATATTCTTTGACGTTTTACAAAACTTTTAGGATTACAGTTGTCTCAAAATATAAATAAAATATTTTTGCAGGACAACACAAGATCCAGTTTGTTCCGAACCTAGTCGGGTCGTTCCTAGAAATGACCTTGATACCGGAGACAGAGCTGAGGAGAGCTACGATACCCATCTTCTTTGACATGATGCAGTGTGAGTTCTACTCCCCTCGCGACGCCTTCACTAAGCCTTCCGATACGAAGAGAGATGCGGCCAACATCCGGGCAAACTTCTCTGAGGTATATTAGTACAGTCTAATTTGTCTCTAAAAATCCTGCTACAGGGTGTCATTGAAGTGCCTGATCTTACCAGGGCTTCCGATATTCACTAAAAAGTCTCTGGTTGTAATTTAAAGATTGTAACTTAAAAGGAAAGCCAAGTAGCTACCTACATCCAGTAGTTTACGCATCCAGCTGGTTAGGAACTATTTTGAAGAGGAAGAGTTCAGTTAGCTTACCTGAGAAATCAGTTTGGAAATTATTTTACAAAAATTCAAGTTTTAATTAGTAAAAAACAATTTGATTTAGTCTATCATGTAGAACTGTACCTTGTAAGTATAAATGTTGTTTATCACACTCAAGTCCTTCCTGTATTGTATAAGTTTAAATGCAAAATAATTCACTTTTAAGCTCAGTTAAAAATAAACAACAAAGCACAAAAATACAATTATTTTACCCAATAGTCACTACAGTTCATTGTGAGGACTGCATAATTAGAATAGACTGTAAAGACAAAAGACTCGTATCAAAACACAAATGAAACAGCTGTGCAGTATAGGTTGGCTGTTAACTCATTTATCTCATGGCCAGATTACCAATTGTATCTAGTTACCAAGTCTTGCATTATCAAGATTGTTGATGAAACTGATGTGTTTTTGTTTGTCAGTTTGAGAACGAGATGATCGCCAAGCTTGACAACCTAGTGGAGGCTGGCCGAGGCGACGAACATTACAAGGATCTCTTCTACGAGATCATGATGAACCTCTGCGAGAACCATTCTACCATGAGGGAGCAGGTAAAGCCTAATACAAGTAGAAGAGGTAGTAAAGCCAAATACTCTTTCTAGTTTCACTCGCCAAGTTTATCTGCCATAAAGATTTTTGTTTGTTATTATTGCCATCAGTAAGAATTTTACTCAAGACTTTTAAAACAGACCACTTACAATTTTGCAGGGAAAGAAAAATTTCACCCTATCTCCTGAACCAAAGAAGTACAATGTTGTCCATCCCTAGAATAAATAAAAAATGGAATTAAAATAATATTTTGTACTGTCATTCAGCTATCTATTCAATAGTTGGGTGTTTGAGTAGTTTTTCACTTTATTTACTTGCAGGGAGTTAGGTTTGTGAAGACAGTGACTCGACTGATGGAGAGACTACTGGAGTACCGATGTATCATCTTGGACGACAACAAGGAGAACCGCATGAGCTGCACTGTCAACTTGCTGGTCAGTATAATCATAGACCAATCATACTACTGTAGTAAATAGGTAATCTTGATGGATCAGCTGATTAAAACTTAAATTTTAGTCCCATCCGGTGCCGCTCGGGTGGTGTTTTTGTTTACAATTTGTTTCTTGATATTTCAGTTATTTAAAACTTGTTTATCCAAATAAAACAATCTAATCATAAAATTAACCCTAAAATATTAGAATTGAAATTTCGTTGACACTAGCGCCCAGTGTCTCGAGCATGAAAGTGTCACTAGACATGAAAAACATGCTTTAAAACTTACAATGGGATCAGAAGTCTACTTCTGTCAATGGTAGAAATTTATTCATTCCCATGTTTGTGAAACTATCTGACACACCACACCATTTACAAACTGTATCCAGCAAAAACTTGCATTAATTACTAGGGTTTTCAGTTCATAAGATAAAAATAAAACCAAGGCGTTTGAAGTGTTAATGATCCCATTCTCTCATAGGATTTCTACAGTGAGATCAACCGCAAGGAGATGTACATTAGGTACGTAAACAAACTGTGCGACCTACACCTGGACTGCGACAACTTCACAGAAGCAGCGTTCACGCTGAAACTGCACAGCAAGCTGCTCAACTGGTCGGACAACTTGTTGCCGCCGCTGCTGCGGAGTCACAAGTACCCGCTGTGTCAGACGCATCGCCAACTCAAGGAGGCGCTGTATCTGGACATCATCAACTACTTCGACAAGGGCAAGGTGATTACATTCTGATCCGGCAATGTCACAGATCTTCCTGGATAGGCTTTTACGGTCACTTATTGTAGAATCGTGGTCTTTTTGTGATGATTAATTTATTTGCAAAATATGACCTACAAATTACATTCATTCACAAAAATTCACAAATTACCACTACATTATTTAAAGCGTTACTTTAGAAAATGTATTTGCTGTTTTGTTAGTATTTCCAACACATACATTAAGTGAGTCAGGACTGAGCCTACACTCAGGCTTCCAGCCCATGTAAGCTTATTTCATAAGTGTATCGAACATAACTTTCTGTGAAACCTATAATTAATTGAACACTTTGTCATTTATTTTTAGGTTTGTATGAATATTTTATACTATAGCAAGACTTTTTGTTTCACTTGAACTGTAAGTGTAAGTTATGTTAATGTTTTCCTGTTTCACTTGGAAATAAAATTTATTTTGATTTGATTTGCTAAATCTTTAACTGGGAACCTTCCGTTTTATGAAAAACACTATGTGTTTCAAGCTGAAATCTTTTAATCATCCACTAATCAAATTTCACTTAGGGTTAGGTTAGATAATAACAAAGACATAACCTAAAACTTCAACTTGAATGGTTATGTAGGCACAATGTAGATTGAATGAGTTTTAACTCTGCAAGAGTCCAAACGCCTCTTTTCCTTGGGCTTGAAAAATTCCTTGCTTAATATTCCTTAGGTAGTATTATCTATAATATTTATGTCATAATTTTGTATTGTTATATACCAATTATTTATTGGTAGACCTATAAATTTACTTTCGATTCTGCCAACCGAACGGCCACTAATTTCCCTACGCGTGCTAGATGTGGGAGTGTGCCCTCAGCGTGTGTAAGGAGTTGGTGCGTCAGTACGAGGAGGAGATCTACGACTACCATCAGCTGAGTGAGCTGCTACGCAAGATGGCGACGTACTACGACAGCATCATGAAACAGATGAGGCCCAACCCTGAGTATTTCCGGGTCGCTTACTATGGCCGAGGTTTCCCCGCTTTTCTCCGCAACAAGGTAAACCATACAACTGGTTTGGATTGTTTTTTTAAACTGGCCGGTATGAGGAAAGCTTAAATTTCATTAGTGTTTGCGTTATTTTACTACCAGTGAGTAAATTAGCACTGTGTGAACCAAAGAGTAGCAGATAAATTAGCGATGATTGCAAATACTCGCTAATGACTTTGAACATATTAAATATTGCTGGCGCTGATCAGGGTTGTTAATAAGTTCCTTGATCCTAACATGAGGTGGGAAGGATTCTCAGAATAAATAAAAATCACACGTTGAAAAGTTGAAAATCTAAGAAAAACAATGTTATTCTTAGTTGTGATTCACCTATACATTAATTTGGTGTCCTAATTTTGCATACATTTAGGGATACTTTTAGGAACTTTCTGTTAAGCACAGATTTTTTTACCATGTAACAATTTATTAGGGTAGAAAACAATCAAACTAGTCTCATTTTATATTTTATTTATTAAACAACCAATTTATCAATTGGATTGTTTTGCAGGTGTTTATTTACCGAGGCAAGGAGTTTGAGCGCCTGAGTGACTTCAGCAGTCGTACTCTCAACCAATTGCCCAACGCTGAGAGAATGACAACCCTCACACCTCCTAGTGAAGACATCATGGAGTCTCTTCACCAGTGTGAGCTATACAAAACCTCAATAAAAATTATTGGATCAAGTGTTGAACCCTGGAGTACACCAAAAATATTTAGACCCCTGAAGTTGTAGAATCCTGGAATACATCACATGTATGTTGAATTTTGGGGTATCTCACAAATAATATGTTGAACCCTAGGGAACTCCACAAACCTAACACCAGTCAGATGAAATAATGTGTTTGGTGAGTTGGTGGCTCAGTCGCTAGGGTCACAGACTTCGGGCTCAGGCAGCGATGTCGTGGGTTCGGATCCTGGTCACTGCCGCTACTTTTTATCAGTACAGTTCACCCTTGTACTGTACCGGCCTAACCCTTGCTTTGCTGGGTACGTTCCACGCATAGGTCCATAACCTATATGGAATGGCAAATGCAAGGTTAAAGGAGGCCGCTAACGTCTTTTTTTTAATCAAACACTTCACCCATACAAAGTGATGGACAATTGCTGCTACTGTCACTGCAATGTTTTAAAGACAATTTAGTTAATCTTATTGCTTACTCTAGTTGCACAATGGTTAATGGCGACAATAACGTTGGCTACAATGATGATAGTGACAACATTAATGATAATAGCTGTAATAATAATGATGATTATTTTGTTGCAGTTGTCCAAATCAACCATGTGGAGCCTGTTATGGATGATCGCAAGAAGCGTCTATCAGGGAAGCCAATCAGCGATCAGATTCTAAGATACCACCAGTGAGTCTTCAACATATGTTGTATAATCTCTGTTTTAGTGCAGTGTTTTTCATACTTTGAGAATTCAAAATTATTAAGTTTAGGGCTAATGATAGTGACAAAAGAAATAAGCTTATACTGATTTTACCATAGAGAAACCTTTTATTTCTCTGCAAAATTTTGACTAGCCGCCATATTGTAGATTACCCCTTGGTCTGTCTTATGCAACAAAATACAAGTGAATAGTCACAATATGATTTGAGAACACGCACAGCACAAAAAAGGATACAATTTTATGACCTTTTAATTGTCTGTTTCACATAGTTATGCCTGTTTTGTTTGTGTGTCAGGGTGAACGACGTGCAGAAGTTTCGTTTCTCTCGGCCATTCCACCGTGAAGAGGAGGGTGTGGAGGACAACGAGTTTGCGACATTGTGGATAGAACGGACAGTGCTAGTGACATCTTACCCACTCCCTGGTATACTGCGGTGGTTCCCCGTCACTGCGGCCGACACCTTCGAGATCTCACCTCTGCGCAACGCCATCGAGACTATGGAGGCGACTAATAAGTAAGCCGCTCGTCATAACTAACAATATTCATTGTCATTGGCCACAAGAGCTGTTTGATATAATATACATACCAGAATTTCTATCACAGCTCTGACATTTGCAGTAATATAGCTTTATCTTGATAGACACGTTATTTGATTTTTTTAATTACAGAGAATTGAGACAGCTGATCATTGCTCATCGCCATGACCCCACCCTCCCCCTCAACCCCCTAAGTCTGAAGCTCAACGGAATTGTCGATGCAGCTGTCATGGGCGGCATCAACAATTATGAGAAGGTGTGTGAAAACATTTTACACCATCAATAATACAGTTTATGTTCAAGGTTTGACTGAGGAATTTTGAATTTTTCCTTTGAATCAAAATCTTAAGTAAAGAGTTTCATGTGAAATAAAAAAATTTCTCTCACTAGCATGATTGTGTGGTATTTATTTTGGCGTCAAATTACCTTACTAGCTTATGATAGACACAGAGATTTTTCACATCTCAAAATGATAAATCCATTGTTTGGTTGGTTAACAAAATGTTATGTATTTCCATTCTGTAATGTTATGTGTGGCATTTCACAGGCGTTTTTCACTGAGAGTTACAGTGAGCGGCATCCAGAAGACGCAGCTCTAATACACAGACTACAGGACCTGATAGCACTACAGATACCTCTACTGGAGGTGGGGATACGGCTACATGGAGAGAGAGCACCTCCGTCTCTACTGCCTCTACAACAGAGACTAGAGACATGCTTCAGTGACATGAGAGGCCATGTGGAGGCCAAGTATGGCAAGAAGGTGAGTACTGGTTATATACACAGACTACAGGACCTGATAGCACTACAGATACCTCTACTGGAGGTGGGGATACGGCTACATGGAGAGAGAGCACCTCCGTCTCTACTGCCTCTACAACAGAGACTAGAGACATGCTTCAGTGACATGAGAGGCCATGTAGAGGCCAAGTATGGCAAGAAGGTGAGTACTGGTTATATACACAGACTACAGGACCTGATAGCTCTACAGATACCTCTACTGGAGGTGGGGATACGGCTACATGGAGAGAGAGCACCTCCGTCTCTACTGCCTCTACAACAGAGACTAGAGACATGCTTCAGTGACATGAGAGGCCATGTGGAGGCCAAGTATGGCAAGAAGGTGAGTACTGGTTATATACACAGACTACAGGACCTGATAGCACTACAGATACCTCTACTGGAGGTGGGGATACGGCTACATGGAGAGAGAGCACCTCCGTCTCTACTGCCTCTACAACAGAGACTAGAGACATGCTTCAGTGACATGAGAGGCCATGTAGAGGCCAAGTATGGCAAGAAGGTGAGTACTGGTTATATACACAGACTACAGGACCTGATAGCTCTACAGATACCTCTACTGGAGGTGGGGATACGGCTACATGGAGAGAGAGCACCTCCGTCTCTACTGCCTCTACAACAGAGACTAGAGACATGCTTCAGTGACATGAGAGGCCATGTAGAGGCCAAGTATGGCAAGAAGGTGAGTACTGGTTATATACACAGACTACAGGACCTGATAGCTCTACAGATACCTCTACTGGAGGTGGGGATACGGCTACATGGAGAGAGAGCACCTCCGTCTCTACTGCCTCTACAACAGAGACTAGAGACATGCTTCAGTGACATGAGAGGCCATGTGGAGGCCAAGTATGGCAAGAAGGTGAGTACTGGTTATATACACAGACTACAGGACCTGATAGCACTACAGATACCTCTACTGGAGGTGGGGATACGGCTACATGGAGAGAGAGCACCTCCGTCTCTACTGCCTCTACAACAGAGACTAGAGACATGCTTCAGTGACATGAGAGGCCATGTAGAGGCCAAGTATGGCAAGAAGGTGAGTACTGGTTATATACACAGACTACAGGACCTGATAGCTCTACAGATACCTCTACTGGAGGTGGGGATACGGCTACATGGAGAGAGAGCACCTCCGTCTCTACTGCCTCTACAACAGAGACTAGAGACATGCTTCAGTGACATGAGAGGCCATGTGGAGGCCAAGTATGGCAAGAAGGTGAGTACTGGTTATATACACAGACTACAGGACCTGATAGCACTACAGATACCTCTACTGGAGGTGGGGATACGGCTACATGGAGAGAGAGCACCTCCGTCTCTACTGCCTCTACAACAGAGACTAGAGACATGCTTCAGTGACATGAGAGGCCATGTAGAGGCCAAGTATGGCAAGAAGGTGAGTACTGGTTATATACACAGACTACAGGACCTGATAGCTCTACAGATACCTCTACTGGAGGTGGGGATACGGCTACATGGAGAGAGAGCACCTCCGTCTCTACTGCCTCTACAACAGAGACTAGAGACATGCTTCAGTGACATGAGAGGCCATGTAGAGGCCAAGTATGGCAAGAAGGTGAGTACTGGTTATATACACAGACTACAGGACCTGATAGCTCTACAGATACCTCTACTGGAGGTGGGGATACGGCTACATGGAGAGAGAGCACCTCCGTCTCTACTGCCTCTACAACAGAGACTAGAGACATGCTTCAGTGACATGAGAGGCCATGTGGAGGCCAAGTATGGCAAGAAGGTGAGTACTGGTTATATACACAGACTACAGGACCTGATAGCACTACAGATACCTCTACTGGAGGTGGGGATACGGCTACATGGAGAGAGAGCACCTCCGTCTCTACTGCCTCTACAACAGAGACTAGAGACATGCTTCAGTGACATGAGAGGCCATGTAGAGGCCAAGTATGGCAAGAAGGTGAGTACTGGTTATATACACAGACTACAGGACCTGATAGCTCTACAGATACCTCTACTGGAGGTGGGGATACGGCTACATGGAGAGAGAGCACCTCCGTCTCTACTGCCTCTACAACAGAGACTAGAGACATGCTTCAGTGACATGAGAGGCCATGTGGAGGCCAAGTATGGCAAGAAGGTGAGTACTGGTTATATACACAGACTACAGGACCTGATACCTCTACTGGAGGTGGGGATACGGCTACATGGAGATAGAGCACCTCCGTCTCTACTGCCTCTACAACAGAGGCTAGAGACATGCTTTAGTGACATGAGAGGCCATGTGGAGGCCAAGTATGGCAAGAAGGTGAGTACTGGTTATATACACAGACTACAGGACCTGATAGCTCTACAGATACCTCTACTGGAGGTGGGGATACGGCTACATGGAGAGAGAGCACCTCCGTCTCTACTGCCTCTACAACAGAGACTAGAGACATGCTTTAGTGACATGAGAGGCCATGTGGAGGCCAAGTATGGCAAGAAGGTGAGTACTGGTCATTGGGGGTCTGCAGGTCACCAATATCTGGTGCGGCTGGTGGGGTTTAGTTGATCCGAGGAATTGGTTCAGGCTGGAATTTTTTTGTTGTCATTCCCAGCCGACCTATTATTTTTGTGGTTACAGAAAGTGCATGATAATATGAACCCTTTCATGTCTATTGATATTTAAAAACTAAACAGAATGACAATTTATTTTTAATTGGCTTGGATAGTGATTTTCTTCATCTTTTATTGTTGTGTTGCCAGACCTGTGACCTGAAGATTGAGCCGGTTACGCTGAGGAGACAAGTCAGCACAGCTACAACCATCGGAGCTGAGTCCAACAGGCTCTCAGGCACCAGCTTCGGCTCTTCAGAGTGAGTAGGCTAAATCACTATTCGTCCATAAATATATGGTGCTATGTGTACTACGAGTACTGGATAAAATTCAGTGTGTGAACCAGCGACTGTAAGTCTAAAATTTTATTAGAGGCTTTGAAAAGACGATAAACTATAAATAACTGAAAAACAAAACCTATAACCTAAATAATGAAACCTTTATACTATCAACATTTTAAAACTATTTTGTTTTTTTAAACCTTGTTCCTTAATGTAATTATCAAATGTTGTTTTCGGTGCTGATGATATTTTATATATTGAATACATATTGAATCTATTCAATCTAATAGTTAAAAGGTAAGTTGTATTTGTTGTTGTTGTCACTAGCATTTTGTTGCTTTTGGTCTAATTAGCTTCAGAGATAGTAGGGTTTTGATTTATTGGTGTATATTTATATATGTTATAAAATATTGGTATTGATTTAGTTTTGTTATAGTTGTAAAGACAATTTTTGTTTTTACTCGTTATGAAGTAGTAAAGTATTTTCAGTGTTGTTTAATCAATTCACAAGTACCTATATATATTTTTTTTCGTAATTTTTGATAAATATCAGAAAATTGTATAGGTTTGGCTTATTTTAAAAATAAATTAGATTTGCTTTTATTTTAGTTTATATTTATCTAATTAGCTAGAGTAGATACTCCTAAAATTTGTGTGACAATGTAAAGATGTAACTTAATCCAAAAACACCTTTATTCAAGTACTTATATTCAATACCCCTTGCCATAAACTGGGATGTAGAATAAATATTATCAAGAATAGGCACAAACATTTTACAATGTACAGTAGAGTCCTGTTAGTCTGAAATGGTTGGGACCGGGCCCATTTCGGATTACCAAATATTTAGGATTAACAGTGTTTTGTTTTTTTATTTTTTGAAAATTTTGAAAAAAATATTTAATTTTTTTAATTATTTAATTTTTTTTTTGTCTTAAGACGCAGGCACAAGCCCATGATTATTTTTCACATTACTTAAGGTTAGACCTAGTGGCTGCAGCATTATCACTTAATAAAATCCATTTGTGATTTGGCGGGATTGGAACCCGGGACGAAAATGAAAAATGTTAATAACAAAAATGGTGAAATATTTACTAAAATACTCTAAAAAAGTCTATCTCGCCCAGCCGCTACAGAATACTTTGACGAGATACAGCTAACTCTGTTAAAAGTCTAATAAAAAAAATTTCAAAAAATTTTCAAAAATTTTTTTTATATTTTTTTGTTTCCGATTAAGCGGACTTTCGGATTACCGAAGTTCGGATTATCGGGACTCCACTGTATCTTTGAAGTAGGTACAGCCGGGCTTTACATAAAAGTTGTCTAAACTATGGTGTACACTCTCTCCAGACAAAAAAGCTTTATCCAAATAGAGATACAACATTTTTGTATCTGTATTTAAATAAAACATTTAGTACACTCTCTCATTACTCAAAGAGAAGAAGATCCATTACCGGGGAAGATCGCAGCATTGAACATTGGACAATCAAGATTCTCTTGTGATTTGAATTTTCCAGAGCATAAACCTTAATTCCCGAAAATATTATAAATTTTACTTCAATTTTATTACCGTCTAAGAAGCTAGTTTAGCAATTAGTCGAGTAACTTCGTAAGCTGAATGTTATGTGTTTGCACAATATTGCACCGTGGCGCACTGTTTGTTTTGCTTAGTGCATGTTTGTGCCACCAGGGGCAGTAGCTCTCGCGTGTCAAGTCTGACCAAGGCCCAGGTGGTTGGGCTGAAAAGCTTCGTTCCGTTCTCGTCCACGAGCACGTTGACCAGGTAAGAACGAGTCACAGAGAAGGGCAGAGGAATCGTTATGAAAGTGTTTACTAAATTGTGACGATGAATACTGAACCAAGAAGCGAAACCGCCGTATTAAAAGAGGCGACGCTACGAAGATTGCCACCAGCGGTAGTTCATGAAGATTTATGTAGGAAGCGCTAGCGTCGCCAGCCAAGTCTTCGTGAACTACCGCTAGCGGCAATCTTCGTAGCGTCGCCTCTTTTAATACGACGGTTTTGCTTCTTATAAGGTTCAGTATTCATTGATTGTGCTTAATAATTTAGGCCATTCAGGAGACTCTTGATTATCTACGATATTGAGTGGCTGAAAGATGATGGATAATACAAACATAACCTAAAATGCTTGAGACACAACTTACATTGACTTAAATGCAGTCAAGCTTTAATACAGGTGTTAGGTGATAATAAAATGTTTTAAATGTAGTTTAGATACCGTTAAACATTGTTTCATATACAACAATTCAAACAGTTTTTTTTTATATTATTATTATACATAAGATAGCTCTTTAGCATCTGGGCTGAGGGGTGAGGACTCCTGCGAGAAATATTTAGGATTAAAGTTCTTCCAGTGGATTGATATTTGGGAGACTTCCAAATATCAAGTAACCGGTTTCTTGTTCCAGAGCTCGTGGAAATAGCCTTTCTCTGTTAACAATTTGTAAACTTAACGCTTTGAAACGTATTTTGAGCTGTCTAAAAGTCGGAATTATCCTATAAGAGACGTTTACAACATACTTATTTGTAGGGATGGACGGGATTGAATTTATACTTCGGGACGGGACGGGACGGGATTTTTATTTCCTTCCCGATTTTCGGGACGAGACGGGACGGGATTTTTTTCTGTGCATAAAAAGAAAGTCTTGAGTATTGCAGTTACCAAAAAAAGGATACAAAATCAATCTTTACCGTTTGTGGCACTGATCTATAAAAACCAAAAAATTGGTAACAATTTTTCAGGTACCTATAGAAACTTGTGACTCACGGTCACGGTGCGATCGTCAAAATGACGGCGGTAACGGGGTGATCGTCGGTATGACTCCGCGGTCAAGTCGTGATCGTTGGTATGACTCCGCGGTCACGGGGTGATCGTCGGTATGACTCTGCGGTCACAGGGTGATCGTCGGTATGACTCGCGGTCACGGCGCCTTTCGTCGGTATGACTCCGCGATCACGGCGTGATTGTCAGTATGCCTCCGCGGTCACGGGGTGATCGTCGGTATGACTCCCCGGTCACGGCGCGATCGTCGGTATGACTCTGCGGTCACTGCGTGATCGTCGGTATGACTCCGCGGTCACTGCGTGATCGTCGGTATGACTCCGCGGTCACTGCGTGATCGTCGGTATGACTCAGCGGTCACGGGGTGATCGTCGGTATGACTCGCGGTCACGGCGCGATCGTCGGTATGACTCCCCGGTCACGGCGCGATCGTCGGTATGACTCACGGTCACGGCGCGATCGTCGGTATGACTCCGCGGTCACGGGGTGATCGTCGGTATGACTCACGGTCACGGCTCGATCTTCGGTATGACTCGCGTTCACGGCGCGATCGTCGGTATGACTCCCCGGTCACGGCGCGATCGACAGTATGACCCTGCGATCACTGCGTGATCGTCGGTATGACTTAGCGGTCACTGCGTGATCGTCGGTATGACTCCGCGGTCACGGGGTGATCGTCGGTATGACTCACGGTCACGGGGTGATCGTCGGTATGACTCACGGTCACGGCTCGATCGTTGGTATGACTCCGCGATCACGGGGTGATCTTCGGTATGACTCGCGTTCACGGCGCGATCGTCGGTATGACTCTCCGGTCACGGCGCGATCGTCGGTATGACCCTGCGATCACTGCGTGATCGTCGGTATGACTTCGCGGTCACTGCGTGATCGTCGGTATGACTCCGCGGTCACGGGGTGATCGTCGGTATGACTCGCGGTCACGGCTCGATCGTTGGTATGACTCCGCGGTCACGGGGTGATCTTCGGTATGACTCGCGTTCACGGCGCGATCGTCGGTATGACTCCCCGGTCACGGCGCGATCGTCGGTATGACCCTGCGATCACTGCGTGATCGTCGGTATGACTTAGCGGTCACTGCGTGATCGTCGGTATGACTCCGCGGTCACGGGGTGATCGTCGGTATGACTCCGCGGTCACGGGGTGATCGTCGGTATGACTCACGGTCACGGGGTGATCGTCGGTATGACTCACGGTCACGGCTCGATCGTTGGTATGACTCCGCGATCACGGGGTGATCTTCGGTATGACTCGCGTTCACGGCGCGATCGTCGGTATGACTCTCCGGTCACGGCGCGATCGTCGGTATGACCCTGCGATCACTGCGTGATCGTCGGTATGACTTCGCGGTCACTGCGTGATCGTCGGTATGACTCCGCGGTCACGGGGTGATCGTCGGTATGACTCACGGTCACGGCGCGATCGTCGGTATGACTCCGCGGTCACGGGGTGATCTTCGGTATGACTCGCGTTCACGGCGCGATCGTCGTTATGACCCTGCGATCACTGCGTGATCGTCGGTATGACTTCGCGGTCACTGCGTGATCGTCGGTATGACTCCGCGGTCACGGGGTGATCGTCGGTATGACTCCGCGGTCACGGGGTGATCTTCGGTATGACTCGCTTTCACGGCGCGATCGTCGGTATGACCCTGCGATCACTGCGTGATCGTCGGTATGACTTCGCGGTCACTGCGTGATCGTCGGTATGACTCCGCGGTCAATGCGTGATCGTCGGTATGACTCCGCGGTCACGGGGTGATCGTCGGTATGACTCGCGGTCACGGCGCGATCGTCGGTATGACTCCCCGGTCACGGCGCGATCGTCGGTATGACTCCGTGGTCACGGCACGATCGTCGTTATGACTCCGCGGTCACGGCGCAATCGTCGGTATGACTCCCCGGTCACGGCGCGATCGTCGGTATGACTCCGTGGTCACGGCACGATCGTCGTTATGACTCCGCGGTCACGGCGCGATCGTCGGTATGACTCCGCGGTCACTGCGTGATCGTCGGTATGACTCAGCGGTCACGGGGTGATCGTCGGTATGACTCGCGGTCACGGCGCGATCGTCGGTATGACTCCGCGGTCAATGCGTGATCGTCGGTATGACTCGCGGTCACGGCGCGATCGTCGGTATGACTCCGCGGTCACGGGGTGATCGTCGGTATGACTCGCGGTCACGGCGCGATCGTCGGTATGACTCCCCGGTCACGGCGCGATCGTCGGTATGACTCCGTGGTCACGGCACGATCGTCGTTATGACTCCGCGGTCACGGCGCAATCGTCGGTATGACTCCCCGGTCACGGCGCGATCGTCGGTATGACTCCGCGGTCAATGCGTGATCGTCGGTATGACTCGCGGTCACGGCGCGATCGTCGGTATGACTCCGCGGTCACGGGGTGATCGTCGGTATGACTCGCGGTCACGGCGCGATCGTCGGTATGACTCCCCGGTCACGGCGCGATCGTCGGTATGACTCCGTGGTCACGGCACGATCGTCGTTATGACTCCGCGGTCACGGCGCAATCGTCGGTATGACTCCCCGGTCACGGCGCGATCGTCGGTATGACTCCGTGGTCACGGCACGATCGTCGTTATGACTCCGCGGTCACGGCGCAATCGTCGTTATGACTCCGCGGTCATGGCGCAATCGTCGAAACGACTTCGTCTCCTTCGTTCGCGGACCTATCGCTCGCAATAGCGGCGTCATCGGCACTCGCGAAGCGGCAAAATCGCCGGCGATCGGACTAAATCCCGTCCCGAAAAATTCCCGAATCAAATGTAATCCCGTCTCGATAATCGGGAATATTTTTTTCCCGAAAAATTCCCGAAATTTCGGGACCCGTCCATCCCTACTTATTTGTCACTAAAATTGTTTTGTAGATTTTTTAACTAATAAAACCAATTGTGCAAAGTCAATTGTAAAATAAAATTGAAAAATAACACAATTTTAATAATAAATGTAGGTCTAAAAATATCTTATCTCAATCAGACATTTTCAGATATTACGATTCAAGTAAAAATTGGATTCCCATGTCAATTGCGAACGGAATCAAAATTTCTTTGCTTAGCTTAATACGTTCTACGCACAGGCCTAAAACCTATGTGGACGGGAAAATGCGAGGTTAAGATGCCACCAATCTCAACAAAAAAATATTGTGGAGATCTTAAAAAATACAAATATAGACATATTTATTTTATGATATACTCAATTCTCACACATTTGACGATTCTTATGTACATTTCTCTGTGACTACTCTGCTTATTAAAGCACTTGCTATGTTATGTCTTACTAACCGTAGAAAATAAATGTTTTGTGTCTGCTTTAGATTGTCATGTCAATTGCTTAAATGGATATGAATTAAGGAGGAAGAGAGTTAAATTTTGAGGTGGAAAGGATGTAACAGAAACATTATTCATTATACCCAAAGAAATTATTTAATAAAAATATTTGTTTGTCAACTTGTATAGAACATTTTCATTTGCAATCCAATCTTGTCACTGTTTCATAAAAATATGTATGTAAATGTTACTTACTTACATAATATATTTGATAATAAAAACTTGACAAAAAATCTGCTTACACAAGGGAACTTTTGGTTAGGATCTTTACCTTCAAAAACACTCAGTTACTTAGTATTACACTTGACTCGCAAGACTAGAACAGATAGGTAAAAAATTTCACTGCAATGACTTTTTTAGATTATAACAAACAAACAAAAATAATAACTTCCAATAAAACTCTGCCTGTGATGCATCTTCAAACAAACCTATTTTAGCATTCAAAGACTAACATAGGGCAAAAGATCCTAGGTTTTTAGAATTTTTAGTGAAGATAGCAGGCTTACCTCAATGGGTAAGAAAAATCCTTCTTAAAGCCGCGTTTACATGAGGCCAATTGGCAGGCATGTTACTTGACTCATGTAACTTGAAATACATTAGAGGCAATTAACCTGCCTGCTCTACTGGCCTTGTGTAAACGCGGCTTTAGTTGAAAATGGTATCAGTGACAGTGAAATATTTGATATTTTGAGTTTCTTGTACTAGTTTTGACTTTTTCCCATTCAAGTAAGCCTGTAACTCTCACTAAAAAATCCTATCTCAGGATTTGTTGGATGCATTTAACAAACTCAGCTGCATTTTTAATAAGGTGAATTGAGTGAATGAAAACCTCGTCTTAACACAGCGGGTAAATGTTGATTTGGTTGTGTAATTTTGTCAAGTAATTCACACATTATTTCCAGGGATCGCCAGACCAGCCTAGAGCTGAAGCCACTGTTCTTCTTGTACTAAGTAATTAACGCTTGAGCACGCTTGTAACACACTGCTTGCACAGGCCGCAGTCGCAGGCGAGTCCGGGGAAGAAGGAGAAGAAGCGTCGCGCGACACGGCGCAGCAGCACCACAAAGTTGAGCGACAGAGAGAGCGTCGGGTCTAGTCAGTGGTACACGTCGCCCGAGGTGGAACCTACGCCTGCGCCTGCCCCAGTCACACCACCTGTTATACCTACACCTCCGTCGTCTACACCTGTGTTTGAACTGACTCAGGAGGTGGGTAGCTGATTACCGAGAAATGGTTTTATAGGTCAAAATGAAACAAAAATCAAATATACAAATTTGTGTCTGCCACGTTAGCTAGAATTTTGCCAATTATATCTCTGATTTTATTAACATGTTCTCTACCGCAATAGTACCATTTTTCATTCTTATGGACCAGTGACACATATATGCGACAGCCGGTTTCTACCCATAGACTGCTGGTCACATTAAAATAGACTGATGTTGCATATTTGCATTGGTGTACCAATGTTATTAAAAACTTATATCCCCGTAATGGTTTATTTGAAAATCCTGAATTCTCTGCAGTGGTCAATAGGGATGTCTGTCGCATATGTGCATCACTTGGCCTGTGGATATGATGATTAGTGAGGTCATATGATAGTTGGCAAAACTGTTTTTTTACTTTGCTGCATCACTGGTCCACGGTCTTCGTGTACTGTTAACCAAGTGACACCAGGTCTAGACAAGTAATATTATTATGTATACCTCAGGTCGTGGCAATGAACGCAGCGTCGAAAATATGTGGCGATTGGTATCAAACGTGTTAAAGATGTTTTTATGAAATTCTGTATACAATTGTGTGTTCTATGGCCTGCCAAGGTAACTTAGCAGCTATCCTTCTGCTCTCTACCTCTAATCTCTTTATTTCATACCTGACACAACTAATGTAACTTTCGCCCCTTAACAACTCGTCTGTTACAGCTGACGCCGACGAGACCGCTGAGGTCGGAGATGGAGAGGGAGAAGCGACTCAGTCTCAGCAGACCAAGTAGTGGACAGTTTGCTTTCAACAACCAGCGACTCACCGCGGTCAACGGCTCAAGCAGAGATTCCGTTGGTAGGTATTGTAGTTACTGCACAGAGGAGTAAGGTACAGGGAAACATTCAATGGTGCACTTAAGTGGTGTCTAGCACTAGTCGCTGGTGTCTAGGACAAAGTCCAACACCACCCCCTCATCATCATGTATATTTCCGACACAACATACCAGAGCTGAAAGCGCACAGCAGTCCCTTAAGCAAGTTTCCTCTTTATCTTACTTATCTGTGGTTACTGTACATTTTGGTTTGTAGACATTCGGCATTTGACCTTTGAACCTTTTTGTAACATTTTAACGTTTTATTGTATTTAAGGCTTAAGTATTAAATTAAGTATTGAATTTTGGTTACTGAAGTAGAGCCTATATGAATCAGCTGTTGCCTATTTCTTTGTTTATTTTCTGCCTTAGTTGATGAGACATAAAATAACACTAGTTAGAGCATGACACTAATATCTTGGAGTTTATTTCTTAAAATTCTGCCAATTACAAATAGAAACAAATGTTAAAAATGTCTTCATCTGGTAATTTGGAATTACTTTTTAAGTCCTTTTAACTATGAAAAAATGGATCCTTATGAAGTCAGGACTTTCACTGTGCTGGATTACTCCCTTCATGGCGTTAGATTAAAAAATATTGTATCTGTTTTAGGGATGGACGAGATTGGATTTTTACTTCGAGACGAGACGAGACAAGATTTTTTATTTCTCATAAAATTTTGAGATGAGATAAAGACGAGATTTCTCTTCTCATACCCAACGGGAAATGCTCATTCGAAATTTTTACCTGATTTTGTAACATTGTTAGATGACTTTAAACACAAAAATAATGATAATAGGCAAGAATATTTACAATCTTTTTTTAAATAACATCAGCATAACATTTTTTTATTAATCACACCTAACTTATTAAAAATGCCTACGATTAGGAAACATGGTGATATCAGTTAGGATAGAGTTCAACTTATCCTAAAATAAAATAAATCATAAAATAAAAGCAATATTAATTTTTATAAAATAGTTACTTGTTTTGACTTTTTTATAGTAATAAAACATTCCTCACACTGCTTACACTTAACAAAACTTCTCAAATGTTATTAAAGTAATATTATTAAAATAATTAAAGTAATATTTACATTGAAAGAATTAAATAAATAAGAACGCCTTCGCAAAGGAAACGCAACTACAACACGCTCCTGTATTGCGGGTATTGCATTAACTTTTTGCAGGCGTTTTTAATTTTTTAATTTCTTTATTCTCGTCTCGATAAAAATCTCGGCCAATAAAAAATCTCGTCTCAAGTAACGAGATTGAAAATTTCCCGAAAATTTCCCGAAATTTCGAGACTTGACCATCCCTAATCTGTTTTTAAAAATGTATATAATTTTAATTTTGGCAACATAATTTGTGGTGCTCAGTACCTAATTTTCACTATCATTAATGTTTTGCTGGCAGGAACGACAGACAGCACCAACAGTGAGGAAGACAATACTCCACCTCCGTTGCCAGTGAAGCTTAGAGAAGCCGACTACTGTAACCTACCTGACGAGTCCCCCTCCCCCTCCGTCACTTCTCCGTCTTCTCCTCACACGCCGCGGACACCCGTACGAGCCAAGGTAATGTTTCCTAGCTATAGTCTAACAAACTTACGGATTAATATTAGGCCATTTAAATTAGTTTTGTTTTCTGACCACCTAAAAAATTTATTTAGATACGATATTGTCTAGAGTAATGTTACTTTTTGAAAAAATGTGACTTCTTTAAAGTTAAAAAATGAAAAAATAAATGGAAAAGAGTAATCTAAATTTATCTTAAAGTAATAATAGGTAGTTTAGAGGTTGATATGGAGACTATCACGTTATCGCCAAGATCGCAACATAAGCTTACAATGATACCATAATCGTGGGAGACAATCGCGGTTTTCGCAGAGACCGCCAGAACACAGGGGATTGTGGGAGAAAATCTTTGGTGTGTGTTTTCAAAAAGAATTTTTTTTCATTGGCTTTCTACAGTCCAGAAAAAAATCGGTCACAAGATGAAGGTTGGAGATCCCTTTTGTGGATCTAAAATTCAAATATTTGTATAACAGTAAATTAGTAATATTATTCACCTAATGACTGTCAGTAAACTACATAATCTTTGAAAATTTAAAGGGTATTGAATCATTTGTTTTGGCTCGGAAACCAGTTCCGAACACAATTAATCAAAATACTCAATCTGCGCACAGATTCCCCATGTCTTGTTTTATTTCTGTAATCTACAGGGTGTTTATAAAAAAACTTTTAAAAACCATTCCTCATGGAGTGGTTTATTTAAACCAAGTCTAATGTTGTGTCACTTGACTGTGTTTCTTTTTTGTGTGGGGCTTCATTGAGGCTGTCAGTAAAGTGAACACCAAAGAAGAACTCAGACAAAGTATCGTTTGCTGAAATATATTGCCTTACTTTAGGTCTTATTCTTATTTCATCCTAACTGGACTTTAATTATTTGCGTGCAATTAATGGAAATAACATTGAAGAAACACCCTGTATTTAGTGTTGGTTTTGTTTTTAAATAATTTATAAAGATCTTTCTGCTTTTCCTGGATGTTAGAGAGCTTAGTAAATGTTGCAAGATTTAGTCTTTTCTTCTTCATTTGTCTATACTTACACAACTATTTGATAAATTCCCTTTGCAAAATATTGTATGATTGTTACAGCCTGTACCCCCAGAGCCCACTGAACGCCAGGCCCCGCCCACCCCTCCGCCTAAACGACCTCACATCAAACCCCCGCTAAGTATGCCACTCGTTTAAACTACACCATGACTGACACACTTAATGCTTAAACATATTTATCTGAGCAGTTTCATTTGCAATTATTCCTATTTGCAATAATGATAACGTAAAAAGGCTGAAATCTTTGTGCCTTTTAAGTTTTATTTTACTAAGCTTTTTAAGCGATAATAGTTTTACATAAACTATTAAGCTGCCGCACAATTTGGACCTAGCATGTAGATTTAAGTATGAATACTAGTGTTATGTTGAATTTTATCATTTTATTTACATTATGTATCTATTTTCTAATTTTATCTCAACAATTCTGTTTATCAGAGCAATTTTAGTCAGAAAATAGTATTTTTTAATGTGTTTGTTGTTATTAGTTTAATTTATTTGTTGTTGTTTTTTCATATAAATATTGTGTTGATTTGTACATTATTAGTTTGTATATTTTACTGTATAGTATCATTAAGTAACACCTATTGATATAGTTTGTAATTTTAGTTATTAAGTTTTATTGTGTTAAGTTGTATTTATTGTATTCTTGTAATATATACATGATAATCTGCAATATTTTCACGCCAAAGTTAAGTAAGGGAATGCTTATTAGGTAGTTTCTGCAGAAAATGGAAAAGATATTATTTTAATTACATTTTTATAAAAAAATAAGCTAGCCTTGAGTATTTTGAACATAAATTTAAAGTACTACTATAGTGTACTAGTCAAATATCAGTTCTGAAATATTTTATATCTATATATTATAACTATGAGATCACATTTTAAAAGGAAGTAAAAAACTAAAATATCAAAATAGTACCAATGTATTGTGATAACTAGTGAAAATTTATTCCCATTGATAGAACATTAAAAAAACTATTTCATTATGTTTCTTACTAAAAAAATTTAATTTATAAACTAGCTTTATAAAATTTATGCTTTATACAATTACAAAGCAATATGTACAATTGTGCTTTTAATATAATATGACTACACTTTGAAAAAGCGACTCCTTCAAATGTCCTTTAGGAAAACAGATATATTTAATCTCCTTTGATTATAGAATATAACTTATTTTCTATAATCAACAGGGGTTTCCAGAAGATAAATAAATACACTTATAAATGTTTAATTTTATCATTTTTAATAAGCTACTTTAAATTAGGAAATGTCAATTAATATTTTGACTACTCGAACCTTCACTTCAGAAATTTAAAAACCCAAGTAGGCAAGCCGTTAGTAGACACCCAAATGAGCAATTATATCAATTAATAGAGTTTTAAGCAGGAATCGCATGTGCTCAACAAACTTTTTCACATTTGCAATTTTTGCGTCATTGATAGACAGACCGAGAGAAATTTAATTTTTTATAGTATTAATGGAAAAGGTCAGAAGACATTAGAAAAGCTTTTTCTTAGCTATGCCTTGTATTAACGGTCTTCTCAGCACAAATTTTTACTGCCATTGAAAAGTATTAATGAGACTTAAGTCTATGTATCTCTTAAAATAGTATTTGGGAATTAAAAAGGACGTCTAATGTTGATAAAGTTGTAGATATGATTCCATAAAACTAGGATACATGGAAACCATTTTTGTACAAGATTACGGTTGGTTAGTATATTTTTCTGACACATTCATGCATGTGTTAGTTTTACAGAAATTCAAAGGTGTCCCATTATTTTTATAAAATTTTATTGAAAAAACCTTTTAAAGTGTTGCTAAAAAAACAATTAAATAACTTTTGTGTCAAGTAAAACAATATTTCAATAAAAAAAATTAAAAATATGCTATTAAGCATTCTAAAGTTTTTTTTTATAGAAATTGTGTGTATAATAGTTTTTGGTGTGGAACTTAGGTCCACCCTGGTGTTAAAAATTGTGATCTACTTTTGTAAAAATATAAATTCTGAACTATTTCTAGCTGTAGTTAATGGACAAACATCAAAATAAACATTGTCTACATCATGGACATTTATACACTTAAAAAATTTAAATAAAATTACCTTGACGTTAGGCCTAATATTGAATATCCTACTACTTTTTGAAGCAAAAACTTTAAAACCATTATAGTAGAAGGGGGTGAATTGTAGATTTTTTGAAGAAAAATCACAAAAATGGCAACCACTTTTGAACCGTGAACAATATAAGTTGTGTCATGTTGTTCATAAGTTTTTGTTTTTGTTGTCATTTTTATCTATGTTCTAGACTGTAATTGTTTTCCACGTTACTTCAGGCTAGAGAGAGGGTTGTGTCATTATCACTTAGATCAAATCCATTGTTGATTCGCGGGATTTGAACCCAGGACCTGGGGAACCGAAGTCCCACGCTCTATCACATAGACCAGCTTGCTCCTCGTTCAGGGTAGAAAATATTAAGCCCGTGCGGGACTTTATATACACCCTGTATACTGTCTTGGAAATGAGTGAGAGTGGTTAGTTTATAAACAAAAACATAACCTCTCTTAGAGGTTATAACTAGTGATTGTTAGTCCTTTAGTCGGTGGTAATATATAAGGATTTGTACGGATTTAGTAGTATGGCGTAAAATATCGTACGTCACTCGTCCAAAATGTGTTTACCGGCTCGGCTGGTAAACACCTATTTTCAGGACTAGTAACGTAATATACTATTGTTGTTTTCCATAACAAATATGTAAAGAAAGACTTACACAAAATTATGATATCATCACATATCAGTCATTGAATAAACACTATATCATTGGTTATATTTACAAATTTAAAAGATAACTTTCTCCTTTCAAATTACACCATAATAAAAAAAAAAACATGGTTGAATGATTCCTTCTTCTATTGTCTTTTCCACAATGAGACCATTTTTGAGATGATATTAAATTGGCCTTTGCTTTTGCAACCTAGTCGTAGTAAAAAAAATTAAAGCATAAACTACTTATGAATTCTAAAGCATCGTAGTGTAGTAATAAACTTGTGAATGTGAGTATATACCTGTATTTTTTGATATGACAGAAAATAATTTTGCCTTAATATACGTAAATTCCATGAGGTCTTACTCTTATTCATTGGATCCATTGACAAAAAGTGTTTGTTTTCGTTTTGTAATCTACTTTGTGATATGACCAGCACTTCTGTACAAGCAATATGTTCTATGTATTTTCTTGTGTGTTCATTCCATCTTTATTGCTGATGCGTATCAAATATTACAAAATATGTATATATAATTATCAGGAATTGGTTATGTTTTACCATCTTTGACTATTTAATCACTTTAAAGATGGAAATTTTTTACATTTTCTGCTGCACTATTTTTGTACATTTACTAACTGTCCAATAATGTAATATTTTCAGGTTGTAACCCATAATTTAGTGACCTAATTATGGTTTAGGTGAGTTAAGTACTAACATTTGATAGTCATTAGCCAGTTTTTTAGCATAAATTATGTCTTTCAGTAGATGTTTTGAATCGATAAAGACATAGAAAGTACAAGGCTACTTTAAGCCAGCATTTGTTACCAATACGTGAATAGTTTTATAGCTTTGCTTTTACATTTTTATCACAGCATTTTTAAACTAGAAACTTTTTACATACATATTTTAAGAGCTTTTACTGTAGTGGTTTTGTAAACCTTGACATTTTGTAAATGCATATCAAAGTAATAAAATATCCAATTACATTACAATATTATTCTGTATACAAATTAATAATTATTTCCTAATGTCATTCTGCGCATAATTATTGACATCGGATTTTAATAACACAAATCATCTATATGGACCAAAAAATCGGGTTTCAACAAACATTAAAAACGTTCTGTCCTGGACAGAAACACACATTAGCATATTTACAGATGACTTGAAGATGATACAACTGTTTGGAATTGACTTTAATCGCTGCAACTAAGTGCTCAATTTCTTGCCAACCGTAGCAAATTCTTCCGTATGAATGTTTCCTCCATATTCAACATTTGCTATCTTTCCACAGTAAAAAGTAAAACAAAATATTCTAAGATTAAGGAGGTGACTGTTCATTACCTGTACTGCTGGTTTTATATTTGTGAATCATGCTTAATATAATCCATCTTGATAAGTTTAATAGTGAAAACGTTGTTTTTATGATAAACATGTTTAGAGAAATTTCAGATTTTTACATCACCAGAATACATCTTGTTAGGCGACAGGGGCGTCATTTGGGGGGGGGGCATCTGCCCCCCCCTGGATCCTGGGCTAGAGAAAAAAATATGCTGTACTAGCCAATATACAAATATTTTCTCCTGTCAAATCCTAAAAAGCACAGCAGACAAAAATCTGTATATTCTTGTACAGTAATTTGAAACAAAAATTATTATTGTTTTATTGTCTTAGACAGCACATTTTGAGTTTACATAAATTAGTAGTTTTGTTATTCATTTACTTTTTCTGTTTGGTGCTGTACAATAAACCACTTACTTCTAGTTTATATATATACATACAAATTCAGATTTTTTAGAAGCATTGCTTTGTCATTTACTTTTATGAATTATTCAAGCATTAAAATCGTACATGCGTATAAATTTTACGTAATTTATTTTGAACATTGTAGACTACCAATTTAATATAGTTAAATAGAACCTTTTGTACTTTTGTGTCAAATTATTTTATTGGTGATAAAACTTGATTTGCTTTTAAGTTCTTAAATACTTGTATTTTATTTAAAAACCAAAATAAACGGTTATAAACTATAGGCTATGAACAACCGTATTCACTGCTAAATGTTGTAGAAGAGAAATTGGTCATGAATCTAATAACAAACATAATTTTAATACATCATGGAACTATTGATCACGTTTCTTAGATGACCAACTTACCAACATAAAATTATTGTGTTTCTGTCTGTTGTCAATAATTCTTAGTTTCATCAATTTTCTGCCTAAATTTAAATAAATTTTACTCATATTTATTTTTATTTGAAGTGTTTTTGACAATTAAAATAAGCTTAAACCCCTCTTTTTTTGTTTCAAAACTGCAAAATTTTTCCCGGACCCCCCTTGTTTACTGGGGGGTATTCCATATCCCCCATGCCCCCCGGTGTTTGCCCCCCCCCCAAGGATTTGGTGAAATGACGCCACTGTAGGCGAAAGATAAGTGAATAGTTAGAGATAACTTTCAGGGTTCATTTAGCACCCAACAAGCAGCACTGCGTCAAATCGTCTACCAGAAAGTTTTAATTTTCACAATGCTTGTCAAGCACACAATGATTCTACTAGGTAATTAAACTTCCATTATGAATTGCAAAATATTTTTTTAATAAGTTATAACAGGCATAACAAGTTCAATAATATATTGTACAATATTACAATAAACAAAACATTTATTGTATATAAATAAATAAATACCTTAAATATTAAATAAATAAATAGGCCTACTTAGTAAAAGCTATGTACTACCTATAATTTTTTACCTTGGTAATGACACAATATTTACATTGGTACAAAATTCCAATTGTAATTCCTGCATTTGTACTACCATAAAGTGTATAGTCATTTTAAAACATTTTAATACATAGAAGAGTTACAAGTAACATAATAGAGCAAAGACTTGAAAAAGAAAAGAAATTGATTGATCAAATCAATGCAAATAATAAAATTACAGTAATGAATTGTTTTATAGAACTGAACATTGAACAAAGTCATTTGAACTAGCCCATCTACACAATTATTTATTTTTTTTCAAATTATGTGATATTCATGATAGTAATGGTAAAAGCATGAGTTGAGGTTAACAAACTTAAGTAATCAAAATGAAGAAAGCAATTCTATTGTAAAAATGGCACCTGGTTAATAAGTATGATTGGAAAGAATAACTTGCATATAAATCAAATGTTATATAGAGTAGTATGTTAATTATTTTATACACTGAAAATAAATGTAAAAGAGTAAATGTATAAAATTGCTGATCTTTTAAACATTTTCAGAAAATCTACCTCAAGTGGGTAGGTCATAGACCAAAATATACAAATCTAGTAGTTTCCTATTTTCACTACAAAATAGAACAAGGTTTAGTTTAATTGTGTACTTAAAAAAATACACAATTTTTTATATTGAAAAATTTATGTAAGAAAATATATAAATGAAGGTAAAACAAAAACACAATTTTTTTTAAGCACAAACTGTACAACTAAAAGTGCTACGCAAAAGCATTGTCACAATGTTTGAGAAATACAACAGAAAAAAAGAAGTAACAAAAGCTGTAAGCATTGTGTGAATGTAGCTTATAGTAACAGACTAGGGAAGAAGTGTGTATATTTGTTTCGTAAACAAATATACTGAGAGACATTGAAAATTAGAAATATTCGTACAATAGTAAAGAAAATCGAAGAATACACTAAAGAGGTAAATAAGCTATGAGGACTGCAGTTACGTATTGACTTTGGTTTGAAATTAAGTACCAACATTTAGATAAACCAATGATATTGCTGAAGGTAACTTATAAACTGAGAATTTCAGTTATGTTTTCCATTGAGCGTTTTATACAGTGTGAAAGAAGTAGAGATAGATTTAAATTTACAGAATGAAGTAAAAGATTGAAATGAAGAAATATAGTATTTTGAAATTTTTGTAGGAGATAAAGGTTTTTTAAAGAAAGATATCAAGTTTTGAAAGATTTTTGAAGATAAAGTAAAATATTTACTTAGCTAAGTAATAAGTTTCAGCGTTTTAGAGCGATCTCTCGCTCCACCAATACAGAAAATGTTATTCTGAGAAGTTTTTAGTTTTTTAACTTAGTAAACTTATAGCTTACCGTGGGACCGTCATGTTATAGAATTATCTCATACCAATAGATTGGCGATTGGTTCTCCACTATTTATGCACAAAAAAACATAGAAAGGATAGTAAAATACGAAGGAATATCGAAACATTGATTAAACGAGAAATAGATACACGAGAGAAGGGCCAACACTTATAATAGGTAAACAAAAAGATGAAAATAAGACTGAACAAGAAGACAGACTAAAGATAAGTTAATAGGAGAGAAAGGTTGAGTTTTGGAACTTCAAAGATATACATACCTAACTAAAAAAATGTTAATAAGCGTACAAATTTCTGTTTAATTTACCAACAAGTCAGCAATATCACTAGTTTTCAATATCTTTCCATACAAACCTTGAGGACTATACATTTAGTGACCTGTAATGTGCCAACCTCCTGTGGATGTCTCCTTGGTGGTAAGATTCGTGGTGGTCGTGATGTTCGTGGTGATCGTGGTGAGGTAGGTAATCATCATGGAACTCGTGGGAATGGGAGTGGTGGGGGGTGTAGTGCACCAAATGGGGAACTATCTTACATGCCTTCAGCTTGTGTATGATGGAGGGCAGAAGCATCACTGTGAGAATGATGAATTTCTTGATGGCAGCGACGCCCAGTAGCGTCGGAATTAGGAGAGCTTTGATGCTCATCAGTTTGGCCATTATGATGAGCGGGACGATGAGATGGAGGTTGCCTCTGCCTCGAGCCTGAGCCGCTCTGCCGTTCTCTGTATGTACAACACTACACTGTACACTTCGGCACAGACAATGACAAGTACGCTACCACCACCAAGCTTTGTGAACGGAGCGAACCTCGTTAATCCAAACTAGTGCAATACACAATCCTTGACACCTCAAGATAAAAAACGCTTGGCCGTACTTCCCTAACGACGGAGACGGCGGTTGCCAGGTCCTCACATGTGGCCTAAAATTTTTTTCTTGATAAATTGATTTCACCGATAATCTGTTTCGCCGCGATCGCGGAAGACGTTAATGAAATCTGCGCGACCACAAAAGATCTGCACTATTTCACCATTAACGTAGGAGTTGTAACTATTCATCCGCGATAACAGAAGATATCCAGGATTTTATCGTGACCGCAGGAGTCGAAGATCATGTCCCCACAAACTCGGAAGATCTTCAAGATTTTGTCACAATTGAAGGAGGCGAAGATTATGTCTCCACGCTCACAGCCATAGTGTTCATGATTTCCCTGTGATCGCCATCGGAGGAGATGAAGATGACTTATCCGCTTATAACTATTTCTCCACGGCCATAGCCTTCATGATTTTGCCTGCAATCGCAGAAGACGAACATGATGTCTCCGCAATCGCGCATGATAACTATGTTCACTATTTTGCTGTGAACATAGAAAATGTTCAAAATCCCTCAGCGACCGCGGCAGATTGTCCTCGATTTTACTGTGACCACAGAAGACGCTTACAATTTGGCTGTGATTACAGATTTTGTATAAACCAATTAAAGTCTCTCAATTAATTACACAACCACCCGATTTTGATCCGATGCCCGAACGCCAACATTTGTTAATCGACCCGCAAGAATTGAAAAATGTCTGGCTAAGACCTAAGACCCCTTAATATTATTATTTAAAAAAAGAATAGCCTTATTTATTAGCTTAGTAACCTAGGTCTTGTTGTCGATCGGATTGTTGGAAATAAAAGGTCAATTCATCGATTTGAAGCTTTACCATGTGTGTTTCTAAACCCGTAAGTTCCATCCTTTTGAAGAATCAGAAAATAAAGGGGCACTTCTGGTGAGAGTCGCCGGGGGAATCGATTCTAAATACGGCCCTGTCTAAACGTTTGTTTTCTGTTACTTGTCCATTAAACTCCCCCCCCCTCCCCTCATCGTGTTGTTTGGATTTTGGATTAACAAGGTTCACCTATAATAGATTATTTTCCTGAAACGATTTTAATAAATAATTTAGTTATAGCTCTAGTATCGAGAGATGACATTCATTATTGTAATGTCTGAAATTTTTAGAAATAATTTGCCATAACCCAATTAGTCTGAAAGAAACATCAGCTGATTGACAGGTTTGATTAATTTCAATTGTTAACCAAATCAGCTGTTATTAGTTAAATATGTTTGTAATGGCAACAAAAAGATGTTTGTAATCATATGGAGATATCAGAAAACAGAAGAGAGGATGGGTTTCTCTAGATTGTACACCAAAAGAAACCACAAAACAAGTTTTACGATGTTTGCTATGGATAGTAATGTACATGATGTTTGAAACTGTATCCTGCATTCAAACATGAAGTTTAATCTGGCAGTGTTATGGTTTTATTTTTAAATGGCACAATTAATTGAAAAATAGGATTCTAAGATTTGTTTTCTAGTGAAGTTTCTATAAAAATCCTGTAGTAAGTTTCTTAGGTAATTTTTTTTTCAAGATGAAAAATTACCAATGTTAAAATCTGTGTCAAAAGTTGAGTAAAATAAATGAATTGCAAATTTATGTACAATAAATAAAGTAGTTTGATATATACATAAGTGCTGGGTTGTGAGGGATTTGTGCTATTTCAGGTTAGTTAGCAAATATTATATTTTGTTAATGAAGCAAAAAGCAATGCATACAATGTTAATGTATAAAGCACATTTGGTTAGTACAAGTTACTACATAGATTTGTTATTCTACTATATTTGGCAATCCTATGCTAAAAAGATATTTGTCAGTTCAACTAGTTTTGAAAGTTTTGTGAAATCTGAAGAATTTATCTAAATAAAAGAAAATTGTAAGTTGTATAAGATTGAAACACATTGAGTGTGTTTTGCATGTCGACTTAGTTTTTCTTAGTTATATTTTTCGAATATGCTTTGCTTGGAGTCAAACAAAACAGAAAATTTACTTTCATAACACAAAGTAAACACATTTCAAAAATAAAATTAGTCAGTTTTATTTTTATTTTTGAACTAATACCAAGCATCTTTGCAAGTTTAATCTCAAGATTTTGGTCCAAAAATGACTTTTAGTTTGGATTCAACCAAAAAATTTGAATTTATATTTCAAAAGTATAACCTTGAAACATTCTGACAGTAATGAATGTTCAAAATCAGATTTAAAACTCTAGCTAAATTTACGGCTGTTCCGTTTGCTGGGGAAATGGCTCCGGTTCTGCAAAAGACATGGTGGATTTTCCGTACCGTGTCTTCCGTTGGTTGGCGCCCCAGTCCTTCCCGTAACTTCCACTTTCGTAACCTCCATAGCTTCCGTAGCCGTAACCTTGTCCTCCGTAAGACGTCACATCATGGCCGTACTCCTCTACCGGCTGGTATACCGCGGAATGGTATGCCGTGTGGTATGGCGGAACTATCTTGCAAGCCTTGATCACAGAGAGTATCGAAGGCAGAGCCATTACCCCCAGAATTATCATTTTCTTAATGAATAACACCCCTAACAAGATGGGAACCAGGATTGCCTTGATGATGCCGAACTTGAGTATGACAAGAAGTGGGAAGAGCAACGCCAGCTTCTTCTTGGAGTGGATTCCTCGAGCTGTCGGGAAAGAGTGTTAGAGCATGCTCTTGTAGGGTTGACTATGGAAACAGTGGAGTAGACATTACATTAGTGAAGCTGGAGCCAGTTCACAATAAAAGAAAGCACTGTTAAATTGAGCTGGAAATTTTGGTTACAGAAGTAACGATATAACTAGCCGTAACAAATTAAAACGTAATTTTTCCCAGTTTCTAAAGATATTTGTTATCTAATTCAAGCTTTCAGTTCTTCTGAAACTGCTTCCCTCTTTTTAAAGTACCCCATTCTAACAAACCAAATATTTAAAATTGGCTGAATAAAGAAGGACTGATTACAAACTGGAGCTTCTATTTCATTCCAAGTTGTTTACACAAAAACTGTTAGAAAGTTTAACATGTAGCACCAAAAAAGTCGCTCTGTGACTACAAAAACTGGCCAAAGCTGATGCACATAAATGGAATGTCTACTTCAGTATCCAAGTCAATATTTGTAGGTTAGAATGTTAATAACTATGCTAAACTATCGATCAATCTGTACACCAACATTTGTACCTCTCTTTTTTTTGTAACCAAGCAAATTTTCATGCTGTAAAATTAAGTTGGTTGTATTGTTTTTTTTTTCTCCTAGGACTGTTTAAAATGGTTGACTTTAAATCAAGTATTTAAAGGTAAACTAAATTACACCTGAAAATCTGAATGTATTTTCTTCTTTAAATTTTAGTAACGTTTACCAGACCAATCACGTAATTGTTGGCAACAAAGTTCTAAGAAATATCCAAAATATTTTGCACTTATCCTAAAACTTTCACACTAAAATTTGGAAGACCCAATCAATTAAACTTGACTCAAATATTATCTAATTTATCACCAATCCACTAATCCCCATGCAAAAGTACTTATCTCCCCAGTCACACATTTATTTACCTAAAACAAATACAAAAATACTTTCTTGAACAAAAATGTTTCAGTTTGAAACAATTCTTGATATAGCAATTTAATGTTTTCTGTCAAATATCTTTTAGAAACGTCAAAAAGTAAACAACAGATCAAATTGGTGTATGAAAAATAATTGGTAGAAACTAAAAGACTTTGGTTCAAGAAAGAATTTTTATTATTTTTTTTTTTTGTAAATGAATGTGTGAATAAAAAGTTACCGGTAAGTAGTGTATGAGTTCTATCTTTAAGTACCAAATTGAACCAAACCCATCATAACTAGAAATCTTTTCAATCCCTACACTCGTAAGTTAGTTGATATTTACCCTCAACGGTGTTGACTCTGGTTCCGTCGTCATGTACCACGTAAGGTCCTGCTCCGGCGGAATCTAAAGGCAGCGACAACCCGTGAGAGTTTAGGAACAGGTCGAGTTGCCGCACTCCATACTTGAACATCCGCAGAAGCTCGGGTTCTCTGGGTGCATACTCTGCAGCTCGGGCCATGAGCTCATCTTGGGTCGAGTTTCCTCCAGGGATCGACACTAGGCGCAGCGGACCTAGCTGTAACAAAAAAAATTACCTCTTCATCATTTGTATAGCATTAAAAAGGTATTTTGTACCGGTAATAGTTTTTGTAGGGGTCACAACTTTTATCTTGACCTGAACAGTATAACTTTAACCTGTTTAAGCAGCTAATAAAAGTTTGATGAAAAATTACAAGTGAATACCGTATGGTAGTGATTCTTTCAATTGCAATAATGTATAGCTTAAAATAAAAAAAGGTAACTTATTTCTGGTAGAGATCGCAAGTTACATCTTAAACATACAGCCTAAAAAGAATTTTAAGTGTTTTATCTAATTTCTTTTTTTGGTGGGGAGATCCTTTTTTAGTCCTTATTCCGTAGGGGTCAATTTGCCCCCCCCTCCCACCCACAGATCAAAATACATATGACCATAGTCCCCCTGAAAAAATCTTTATTTGCCCTTAACACACGCTCTTACAAACAGTTACTCATAAAATTTTTCTAATTCAGAAAGCTCCAATTGAATAACCTAAGTTTGAAAAATTTGACAAAACAAAGGTTACAAAACTTTCTCCTAACGCTATGTAGTTATGTATAGTAGGGCGTTTGTAATTTTAAACTACGCATTGTGGTTTTCTGCCCCCCAGGCAACCTTCTTGTATTACAGACTCCCTACTACTTTCTATTGGTTTACTATATCAGCAATTTGCTAGAGCTTGCAGAATGTTGAATATATGTTCCTTATGTATGGTTTATTTTTGTGTTTGATTTTTTTTTACAAAGCACTATGCAAATTATGTCAAATTTTTACTTTTTCACATATACATGTTTTTAATTTATTTGTAATGAGTTTAATGTCTGTTGTTGGGAGCTGTTATTATATTACAAAAAATGGAGATATGTAAAAATTAATTCCCAAGCTGAATTCCTTGTCATGACTTGTCTTCTACTGGCGCCGGACCCTGTGTGTAACGTTTATAATGTATTGGCCAAGTTTATACATGTTTTTTTCGTACCGTTCGTGTCTTATGTGTTTTTCGGTGTGATTTCAAAAATTGACGACCTCTTCACGTGAGGAAAATGTTTTAACTTTTTGACCTTCACCTGAAGATGTGCTCCACGAGCACGAAACTGCAGTAGTGACAAACTACACGCAAGGACCATATTGACAGAGGTAAATTAAACCATTATTACTGAATTCCTTGAATAACAAACAGTTAATCTTCTGCCTAGCTTGGTCTCGATCTAGGTACAGTATATTGTTACTTAAAAATATAAACTAAAATCTTCCGGTTGTATAAAAAGTGTATTAAACAATCTGTTTTATACTAGAAGAATTTTAAATTTTAATTTTAATCAGCTTAACAATCATTTCTGAAATTATAACTGTGAATAAACCTATTTTATCTAGTTAATCATTGATTTTAAATTATTTTAACTAAATAACTTATCCAGCTCCTAAATAACAGCTGTTTACCTTAAGTCGGGTAAATATGTTTCGTCTACTAGGTACCTATTTTTGTTACCAGCTGTTAAATGGATTAGTAAAAAAAAATCAAAATCATTCCCACTACATACAGACTGAAAAGAACTCATGTTTTAGACCTCAGCTCACGATTTGATTTAAATTTTCTATTGTTATTTTTGTTATTGAAACATTTTAAAGTCAGATCTGTGATGGGTAGAGATAGAGACTAACTACTAGCGTTTTATCAATTGTTATTGTATTTGCTGAAAGTTAAAAAAACTGAACAGATTGTAAATAAAATTGTTGAACAAATCTACTTCATTGTGGTATATTGCTATATATTACATAAGTGTTTTCATCAAATATTAAAAGTGGAAACAATACAATAATATTATTAAATTTTTGTCCATAACCTCAAAATTCAAAACTCTGGAGGAAAGACTCAAGTTTTGCGCCTGCAAATGGCGTGTGAAAAACTTCAAACACAGCTGTGTAGTGTATATCGTAGGCCTAATGGCTCAGGGAATTTTCGCAGGCAGGCAGTATCATAGATTAAACATACTCCTGTTTAATCTATGGCAGTATCTATGTTTTAACGATTTCCCTTGTTCAGGAGGAAGCTATTTCCGTTGGTAACACCTAGACCCGGGTAGAGCTGAATAAACTTGAATGAGTTCGCGAACCAACAGGACGGGTTATGGAAATGGAATTTAATGGGGTTGTAAAAATGTTTCTATTTTTTTATTCAATTTTTCCCCCCTTAAAAGGGTAAAATGCCAATTTCTTTCTGAAACCATCGTGCTGAGCTTAAAAACAAATTATTTTGTATGTTGAAGCGTTGTTGTAGAATTAAAGGTACCTGTACTAAGACGATTAAAATAAAATGAAACTTTAGCCTAGATTAATAAAAATTTTTACATTTTCCTAAATGATAACATGTAAACTGTTGTAGTTTGCTTGTTTATGGATATGTTTTGATCAAATTTGGCAAATTTCTTTCTTTCATCCTTTACTATTAAGACACACCAAAAAGACTTTTGACGCCAAGAAGGGCAAAAAGATTGGTTTTTGTGCTAGGCCTATTAGGATAGCTTTTTCAGCTTATGTTACAGGATATGTTGCAGAGATATCCATTATTGTAAATATAGATTTTAGTACAAATCCAATCAGACAAATGGAAATTCGCTTACTTTGCATTGCATCACACTTATAGTCCGGTGGCTTAGTGTAATTACCGTTACATGGCGGATAAAAGCATCAAATTTGGTATGAAGGTACCTTAGGGTATACTAATAAATTTTAGCCTAGGAGCCCTTTTGAAATTTTAAATATTTCCACACACGGCACCAAAATTCAAAATGGCCGACAAATACGACAAAAACTACCTTTAAAACAATCCATTCTCCTGTTAACTCTAAAATATAACTTAAATCCAACCAAGACTCTACAATACAAACCGGAGACATACTAAATTATATGAAAGAAATCTTATGTGTGTCTGTGTGTGAGTGGGTGGGGGTATGTGTGTGAGTATTTATGTAACGAAACCTGTACTGGACATTGCGCAAAAATGGGCAAACCAATTTACTGCAAATTTGGTGTGGACTTTGTTAGTATCATATGTCAACATTTAGATCTGTTTCCTTTTATTTATCTATTTTTATAATTTTATTTAGTTTATTTTTACAATTTTCATCTATTTTTTTTTAGATCTACAGGGTTAGGCAAAAGTATGGAACCCCCCAGTTAACTTTTTAACGCGTTGCAGTAGGAAAACCAAACTCAGCATATATTTACACAATAAAAATTGCACTTTTTATCAAAGTTACAACTTTGCCTCAGCCCCCAAAATGGGGTATTTTGGGGGCAGCCCCAAATTTTCAAACTTAAAAACCTATAATGTGACCGCTCATTTTAAAGGGTTTATCAAGATAAATTGAATGGTGTAAACCAGAGGTCAATATCCCACTCCAAATCGAAATGGCAGCCATTTTAATTATTTAAGATGAGCAAGCAAAAGATAAAGTCTTGATAATCCCAGTTAACTTTAAAAATTTAATATTTTAATACTGGCAAAAAGGTGAATTATCTTTTTTAATAAAGGTATGTAGAGTTTAGTGTTCCAGCTATAACCTGTTACAAAGTTAATAAGGCATATTTCAAAATGACTGCCATTTTGATTAGGGGGGAATATCTTGGTGTCATACTGGACCGCACACTGAAATTTAAGGCGCATTGTATTGCGACAAGAGGTAAAGTCTCAGCGAGGAATAATATCATCAGGAAGCTCACCAGCAGATGCTGGGGTGCTAACCCTAATGTCCTCAGAACCTCAGCTTTAGTGCTCAGTGTGTCGGCTGCGGAGTACGCTGCACCAGTATGGAATGCATCGTCACATGCAAAAAAGGTTGACATAGCAGTCAATGACATGGCTCGGATTGTAACTGGGTCTTTGAAACCAACCCCAGTACACAAACTATCCTATCATAGGGATCGCCCCTCCATCAATCCGACGTGATGTCGCTGCCGACGCAGAAAGGACTAAGCAAAAGACAGACCCTCGTCACCCATTACACGGCCACCAACCTGCTGCAGAGTGACAGCTTCGGTCCAGAAAGAGCTTTTTATCACGGACACGAGTCCTGGATGGATCACTCTCAATCAATCGGGTGGCAAGGTGGGAGGCCACGTTGACTAACCCTTCCTTACCAGCCAGGGAGGAACTGGCTCCTGGTGGAGGCCTTCTTTACACGGTGTGGAAGACCCTAAATCGAATTAGGGTCGAGGTACCAAAATGCAGGACAAACATGCAGAAATGGGGTCTCTTACCAGACAAAGAAAACATCTTGTGCGCGTGTGGTGCTGTCCAGGATCCTGGCCATCTGCTGATCTGCCCACGCCTAGACCAGTCTTGCACATTTGATGATCTTTTACATGCGAATGACAAAGCCATATCGGTAGCTAATTTTTGGAAATGCGAAGTCTGATTTCCGGGCACGGAAAGTAAGTAAGTAGTATTAGGGGGGCGATATTGACTTCTAGTTTGCGCCATTTGATTTTTCTTGAGAAACCCTTTAAAATGAGGGGTCACATGATAGGTGTTTACATTTGAAAATTTGGGACCGCGCCCAAATACCCCATTTTGGGAGCCGGGTACAAGTTCTAACTATAATGAAAAAGTAATTTTTTTTATTTTGTAAACATGTGCCGAGTTTGGTTTTCCCCCTGCCACACGTTATAAAGTTAACTGGAGGCTTCCAGACTTTATCTTTTGCTTGCTCATCTTAAATTAAAATGGCTGCCATTTTGATTAGGGGTGCGATATCGACCCATGGTTTTCACCATTCAATTTATCTTGATAAACCCTTTAAAATGAGCGGTCACATTATAGGTTTTTAAGTTTGAAAATTTGGGGCTGCCCCCAAAATACCCCATTTTGGGGGCTGAGGCAAAGTTGTAACTTTGATAAAAAGTGCAATTTTTATTGTGTAAATATATGCTGAGTTTGGTTTTCGTACTGCAACGCGTTAAAAAGTTAACTGGGGGGTTCCATACTTTTGCCTAACCCT